CCTGCTGCTACTTGCTGCTGCCTGCTGCTGCCTGCCTGCTGCTCCTTGCTGCTGCCTGCTGCTGGTGCTGCTGCTGGTGGCTGCTGCTGCTGCTGTGGTGCTGCTGCAGTGGTGCTGCTGCAATCAAACAGCCTCCAAAGCAAGAAACAAACAGCCAGACACCCTTTTCGAAACACATCCGAAACAGCAAAACACAACCTAATTTCGTGCCCAAAACGTAGCAAAGGAACCCCAAAAAAGGGCCTAACGTCACTTCTGAAACCCTACTATAAAATTGCAACTTTGCCGCTGCCTGCCGCTGCCTGCTGCTGCTTGCTGCTGCCTGCTGCTGCCTCTGCTGGTGTCTGCTGTGCCGCTGCCTGCTGCTGCCTCTGCTGGTGTCTGCTGCTGCCTGCTGCTGCCTGCTGCTGCCTGCATTGGGCTTGCGGCTGCCTGCCTGCTGCTGCCTGCTGCTGCCTGCTGCTGCCTGCTGCTGCCTGCTGCTGCCTGCTGCTGCCTGCTGCTGCCTGCTGCTACCTGCTGCTGCCTGCTGCTACCTGCGCTGCCTGCCTGCTGCTCCCTGCTGCTGCCTGCTGCTGGTGCTGCTGCTGGTGGCTGCTGCTGCTGCTGCTGTGGTGTTGCTGTGGTGCTGCTGCAATCAAACAGCCTCCAAAGCAAGAAACAAACAGCCAGACACCCTTTTCGAAACACATCCGAAACAGCAAAACACCACCTAATTTCGTACCCAAAACGTAGCAAAGGAACCCCAAAAAAGGGCCTAACGTCACTTCTGAAACCCTACTATAAAATTGCAACTTTGCCGCTGCCTGCCGCTGCCTGCTGCTGCTTGCTGCTGCCTGCTGCTGCCTCTGCTGGTGTCTGCTGCTGCCTGCTGCTACCTGCTGCTGCCTGCTGCTGCCTGCTGCTACCTGGCCTGCTGCTCCTTGCTGCTGCCTGCTGCTGGTGCTGCTGCTGGTGGCTGCTGCTGCTGCTGTGGTGCTGCTGCAATCAAACAGCCTCCAAAGCAAGAAACAAACAGCCAGACACCCTTTTCGAAACACCTGCTGCCTGCTGCTGGTGCTGCTGCTGGTGGCTGCTGCTGCTGTGGTGCTGCTGTCGTGCTGCTGCAATCAAACAGCTTCCAAAGCCAGAAAGCTGCTGCTGCTGCTGCTGCTGCAGCTTTGTGTTATTGGTTCCATGGCTGCAAGAATGTTGTTGTTGTTGTTGTTGTTGTTGTTGTTGTTGCTGTTGCTGTTGCTGTTGCTGCTATAAAATAAAATTAAAATAGAATCTTGCTGCTGCCGTTGCGCTTACTGCTGCTGCGTCTGCTTGTGTCTGCTGCTGCCTACTGATGCCTGCTGCTGCCTGCGGCGGCCTGCTGCCTGCTGCTGGTGCTGCTGCTGGTAGCTGCTGCTGCTGTGGTGCTGCTGTCGTGCTGCTGCAATCAAAGAGCTTCCAAAGCAAGAAACAACTGCTGCTGCTGCTGCTGCCCTTTTGCGTGCTCTTGCCGATGTTCTTGACACCCATTGGTGCCATATAAATGAGAAAATTGCCAAACGTGACGTCTGAAACCATATAGAAATATATACAAGATATATAGAAGTGCCTAACGTGTCGTCTGACATCCTAGAAAAACACAATTTTTCGACAGATTCTGCTGCTGGAGGCTGCTAGCAGTAAAACAGTTTCGAAAAAATCACCTCCCGGGGGAAAACACCAGGGCTCTGAAGGACGAGCGAGTGCCAGAACCACGCCAAAAAAGTGCCTAACGTGTCGTCTGAAATCCTAGAAAAAGCTAGATTTTGGGTAGGCTGCTGGCTACTGGCTGTTGGCTGCTACTGGCGCTGGCTGCTAGCTACTGGCTATGTGCACCTTTTGCGTGCTCTTGCCCACGTTCTTGACACCCATTGGTGCTATATAAACGAGAAAACTGCCAAACGTCACGTTTGAAACCCTATAGAAATATATACAATATATATAGAAGTGCCTAACGTGTCGTCTGACACCCTAGAAAAACACAATTTTTCGATAGATTCTGTTGCTGGCGGCTGCTAGCAGTAAAACAGGTTCGAAAAAATCACCTCCCGGGGGGGAAAGCACCAGGGCTCTGAAGGACGAGCGAGTGCCAGAACCACGCCAAAAAAGTGCCTAACGTGTCGTCTGAAATCCTAGAAAAAGCTAGATTTTTGGTAGGCTGCTGGCTACTGGCTGCTGGCTGCTACTGGCGCTGGCTGCTAGCTACTGGCTATGTGCACCTTTTGCGTGCTCTTGCCCACGTTCTTGACACCCATTGGTGCCATCCTAGAAAAACACAATTTTTCGTGCTGCTAGCTGCTGCACTGCTGCCGTTGCGCTTACTGCTGCTGCGTCTGCTTGTGTCTGCTGCTGCCTACTGATGCTTGCTGCTGCCTGCTGCTGCCTGCGGCGGCCTGCTGCCTGCTGCTGGTGCTGCTGCTGGTGGCTGCTGCTGCTGTGGTGCTGCTGTCGTGCTGCTGCAATCAAACAGCTTCCAAAGCAAGAAACAACTGCTGCTGCTGCTACTTCTGCTGCTGCTGCTGCTGCCTTTTTGCGTGCTCTTGCCCATGTTCTTGACACCCATTGGTGCCATATAAATGAGAAAATTGCCAAACGTGACGTCTGAAACCCTATAGACATATATACAAGATATATAGAAGTGCCTAACGTGTCGTCTGACATCCTAGAAAAACACAATTTTTCGACAGATTCTGTTGCTGGTGGCTGCTAGCAGTAAAACAGGTTCGAAAAAATCACCTCCCGGGGGAAAACACCAGGGCTCTGAAGGACGAGCGAGTGCCAGAACCACGCCAAAAAAGTGCCTAACGTGTCGTCTGAAATCCTAGAAAAATCTAGATTTTTGGTAGGCTGCTGGCTACTGGCTGCTGGCTGCTACTGGCGCTGGCTGCTAGCTACTGGCTATGTGCACCTTTTGCGTGCTCTTGCCCACGTTCTTGACACCCATTAGTGCCTGCTGCCTGCTGCTGGTGCTGCTGCTGGTGGCTGCTGCTGCTGTGGTGCTGCTGTCGTGCTGCTGCAATCAAACAGCTTCCAAAGCAAGAAACAACTGCTGCTGCTGCTGCTGCAGCTTTGTGTTATTGGTTCCATGGCTGCAAGAATGTTGTTGTTGTTGTTGTTGTTGTTGCTGTTGCTGTTGCTCTTGCTGTTGCTGCCATAAAATAAAATTAAAATAGAATCCTGCTGCCTGCTGCCTGCTGCTGCCTGCTGCTCCTGCCTGCTGCTGGCTGCTGCCTGCTCCTGCCTGCTGCTGGCTGTTGCTGGCTGCTGCTGGCTGCTGCTGGCTGCCTAACGCCGGCTGCTGCTGGTTGCTGCTGCCGGATGCTGCCTGCCAGACACCTACTGCTGCCTGCTGCTGGCTGCCTGCTGCTACCTGCTGCTCCTGCCTGCTGCTGGCTGCTGCCTGCTCCTGCCTGCTGCTGGCTGTTGCTGGCTGCTGCTAGCTGCTGCTGGCTGCTGCTGGCTGCCTAACGCCAGCTGCTGCTGGTTGCTGCTGCCGGATGCTGCCTGCCAAACACCTACTGCTGCCTGCTGCTGGCTGCTGCTGGCTGGTGCGGGCTGCTGCTGGCTGCTGCTGGCTGCTACCTGCTGCCTGCTGCCTGCTGCTGCCTGCTGCTGACTGGTAGTAAAAGTAGCAGTGCAGCACCTCTTCTTCCCTTACGCGCTCCCCCTTGCATCGGCCGGGGTCAGCGAATTATTATTATTCTTTCCTGGCAGCTGTGTCATAAACTCTTTTTCCCTTACGCACTCCCCCTTGCGTCTGCCGGGGTCGGCGGATATATTTATTCTAAGTGGAGCACGTAGTATGTTTTCAGCTTATCATCATCATCATGGTGGTCTTGGACAGCACCCTCACTTTCCTTCTTGGCTATGATACGATCGGCAGCAGCTGCATCCCCACCATGGATCTGAATGATTTGCGCACGTGTTTTCCATCCTTAGGTATCGACAACATAAACATGGTTTTGATATCAGACACTGACGATGTGTAGAACCAACCGCTTGCCCAGGACAAGTTTCCCATCTTCTTTCTGGAAGTTGTGCGATCCGTGTGGGACCTAAAGCTTTCCACCCGAAGCCTCCAGCCAATAGGGTACAAGCCCTGGGTGGCTAAATATTCTTAGGTTGACCATGCAACATTTTTTTTGCATGAAGGAACGTAAATTCATCTGCATAGAAACAAATTTCCCTTGAATGAGGGTTTAAAGGGAACATTTTCAATTCCAGTGGTTTACAGAATATATGTTTCATGCATGAGTATTGCTTGCAAGTATCATGCTCCAATCCTTCCCCGCCGTTAACCATTTCTCAAAGAGAGCCGTCTTCGTTGCCTGTTTTGAGATCTGGTTTACGGTCAGTGCTGGATGGTATGTAACTTTGCAATCGCATCACCTGATATATGGGTATTGCCGGGTCAACATAGTTTTATTTTGCATGGTGGGCCACGGATGTTAATATCACCTTTAATTTTTGAAGTACTGAAGTTGACCTATCCAAACTTTTTTGTGGGTCCCCATGCATATCCATTTACACGCTACACCCCTTTCTGGGCCCTAAAACATTGGTTATATTCAAACATCGAAGCTTCTGTGAGTGGACAATGGGAAAAGTCTCAAAGCTAGCCTTCGCATTGTTCGTCACAGCATCTTTCCAAAGTGTGACGAAATCATCCGGAATGCAATGGGCTTCGGGATTTTTCATCCTCCTGGAACAAGAAGAAATGAATTCTTCTTAAAGATACACCATAACCACATCAACAACAATGTTCATTTTTTGGGGTGACAAATGAATGAAATAAGGCCTCTTGAACTCCCCTTGCAGAGCTTGTCTCTCATTGTAGTCTTCTGGCACGATCGCCTGGTGGAGGTTTTGTAGATACGTACATAAACATGTGTACGTACGTGTGTACAATTATCATTTGCTTTTATAACAACGAGACTGTTTGATAAAATACCCATGAGCACATGCATGTGCAAAAATGACACATCCTTAGGACATCAGCCTTGTCAGTTGATTCTACATGTACACGATCAGCAGGACTTTGAGGTGTTGTGGGAGAGTGCTCGGGTGCTGATGCAACTGCTTTGGCTCGCACGGGTGCTGGCTCTGGCGGTGTCGCGCTGGCCGTGAGGGATGCCGTTGATGCTGATGCTGTTGTCTTGGGTTGAGGCGATGATGCCTTGGATGCTGTGGCTTTCGGGGCTGCTGGGAGGGGGGTGCAAGTTGTTTTTTGTGCCAAGGGAGGCGGTGCTGGAACGGCTGGAACCACATGATTGTTTTGGGGTGTGGCGACATTGCACGGTGTCAACACTGCTTTGTATTCTTCTAACCAAACGTAAAAACCCACCAGTTCCTCACGAGGCTCATAGGTGCACCAATCCTTTTCCTCTAACTCGAACTCCTTCTTCATGTGTTTCATGTAAGCGTTGAACTGAACATGGTTGCGGGCCTCTTTGATTTTGACTTCAATCTCTGCATCACTCTTGTTTTCCATCCCGTCCAAAAGTTTTTTCTCGAACGCTACCAAGTCTTCAAAAGAAGGGGGGCTTGCAACGCTTGCTTTGGGAGCTGGGGGTTGCTTGGGGGGGATGAGGGCGCTGGCAGCTTTGGCTGTGGAAGCCGAATCTTCGGCTTCGTTCGACAGTCTTGCCGGTGGCGGAGCCAAAGCTTTCCCCACAGGGGCAGGTGGAGGTGCAACGGCATCAGCCTTTGCACGGGCTGCAGATGGGGGTGTTCCCTCTTCTTTCTTGTAGGGTGGTGGCGGTGGTGGTGTTGGTACAACTGCTTTGGCTGGGCATGGCTGTGGTGGTTTGGGCTCAGGTTGTTTTGCTTGGGGCGGCGCTGCATGTACGTGGGTTTTCGCTGCAGCAGGGGGCGGTGGGCTTTTGAAGATGGGAACCCGTTTTGCTTTGGGTGATGCACAGCGCAAAGGTGTGGTGGGGCGCTCCAAAGGGCACAGCTGAGGAACCCTGCGTGTTGATGGGTCAGGCGGTGTCCATTCTTCTTTGGCTGGAACGGGTGGAACTGGCATGGCCACATGAGCTTTTGTTGTTGGGCGTGGCTTCGCTCCTGGGGGAAACAATTCCCTTTTCAAGCATTTTCTTGATTGACTGGGCGTTCCAGGTGGGCAAGGCGGGATGGACTTAGCTTTCTTGGCAGGTGGGTCGCTGTCTGGCGATGGAATCCAGGGCAATGTGCTTGCCGTAGTAGAGCGGGAAAATACTGCAGGTGAGATTGACCTAGGGTCATTAGCAGGTGTCCATGTGTCTGCTGGTGTGCCATATTGGGTTTGATCACAAGTTGCATATAGTTGCATACACACAACACCGAAAAAAGATAGAAAAGCATGTGCAAGTGCGTTACTGCTAGGCCTATATAATAGTGGTCAGGCATTCAACTTTTCTATCATGTTTCGGTGTAACGTTGTAGGTGATAAAATCTAAGTCACCAACTCATTCAACGAGAGGCGTGAATCATGCTCCCGAGTGATACCCATCGCTTCAGGCCAACCAACTGTGGATGGCGCCGAATCAGACAGATCCTGTGGCATGGCCAGGACAGCCCGGCAACCAGTCAAGGTACATCGTAATAATAATATTCTATATATATATTATTATCATATATATATATATTATGTTTATTTCTTATATGTATATATATATACTATATATATGTTTATTTCTTATATTATTATATATCATATGATTTTGAAAAGCATTGGACTATTATGGTTTGCATAGATGCTGTACGGAGGGGAAAAAGATAACAATCCCAAATTATGGCAATGTTCAATCGATACCACAGGCAGCATGAAACTATTGAAGGGGCTCCTCATTGCTAGCACCTGCTGCTAAAGTGGTCGCTGGGGAGTCAGCCCGTTCTTCTGGAGCAGGGCACCCATCCTGTTGCTTGATAAACCCAGAATCTTTTCTAAAGGGCCAAACACAGCAATCATCAAACATCACCATTCAAGACGAAGCATGGGTTACATGATCTCACACCAAACCATGGCTAAACTTTGTTGAGCCACCTTGGCGTTGGCACCGGGCCATCGCTGAAAGAACTCATTAACTTCTTGTCCATTAGGAACATGAAAGCGGAGAGGTGGCCCCTCTTCAGCCTCTAGAGTGTCTGTTGGTGACACCAAGGAACCAATATGGGCATGGAAAATGGCAAGATCTTGATACAAAATGATGTGCGGAGTATGAGGGCATGTTGGTTTACAATAGTTAACCTCTCGCCTTTGCAGCTCCCTGCCCACCACCGTCAGCAGGAAGCTTACGCCCACTGCCAATCGCCTAGGACAGGTCTGTCACTGGGTGGTGTATAACTGGAAGGAAGTGGCTGGGGAACATTGAAAGGTATGCCAAGGCAATCATGAAACTTGTATATATTATATCTATTTGCATATTCTATATATATATATGATATATCTATATGCCCCACCAACATTGAAGTCGCTGTCCAAGTGACCATCCACAGCCACGCAAAGGTAGCCGGCAGGCGGCGAAAGTTTTTTGGTGAAAAATACTTCGCTGCAGAAATGAAATAATGTTAATTCAAGCACTTATGGTCGTGTTGGTGCATGTTTGACACATATTGTGGGTGGTCCACAAAACATAAAATTCTTTCCGATGCTTTCCGATGCCCTTTCCGATGCCGACCCCTCAGGATACCTCAAATCGCTTTGTTTTGAGGGCCCGATGGAAACCTTTCCGATACCTTTCCGATGCTTTCCGATGCCTGTCCGGTGCATAAACAAAATGAACAAGTTGTTTCCGATGCTTTCCGATGCCATACCATAACATGAATGTCAACAAAGGTTTCCGATGCTATATATAATGAAAGGTTTCCACCAAGTACCCAAAAAACACCCTGTGCTGTGAAAAGGTGGCCAGAATGTGCACATATTGGCACGTGTGGCAATTTTCAAACCCGGCGGCCAACTTATGAAGCTGTTGTATATTATGTATATGGAACCTTAAAATTTGATAAAAATTGAACACTTTTCAAGGGATTCAAATTTCAAACTTTTGGGCTGCCCATGGGCAATTTCTCTCACCCAGCCGGGTGAAGCCACGTGCGGGCTAATTAAGCTAATTAAGCTATGGGCCAGGAGTCTCAGACCAGCAGATCATGTCAAAGATCAGGCCGGCTGCTTTCGCTTCCGGGAGCGCTCGTTGAGCATGTTGAGAAGGAAGGATTCCACTTCATCCAGCCTTTGTGGCACCAGTTTTTGGGAGTGATGGCAAACAATCGATGACAATTTTAAGACACCCTCTTGACAATGACCACATGCACGGCCTAATACCTATGGATAAACTCTGTGATGAGGCCCCTGAAAAACATATTTTGAGCTAATACCTGCAATCACCTTCACATCATTGAAAATGAGATTCCATAACCAGTACGTTGGATAACCCGAGTCCCCACAACCAATGATAAATGTTGCTTCAACATGAATCCAAAGAAGTTGGATTATCTTCCAAAGCAGGTTAGCATGGATCCCCCTCACAGCGCCTTGCATCAGCCCACATATCGGGCGAGCCGTCGATCAGTTGCTGTCGATCAGGCATCTTTGCTTTCTTCGTGAACAACTTGCAGACCTCAGGCACTGGGTGAGCATGGAAAGGTTGGATGACAGGATTAGCAATTTTCCACTTGGGGCTGAGTTTTAACAAGTGACCTGAGGACCCTTTTTTTGACAACAAAAAAGGGTCTCCAGGTCACTTGTTAAAACTGTCCGAAAAGGGCCAATGTATACATTTCAAACCATGCAAGTGGAAAATTGGCAGACAGGATGGATTAAAAATTGAGAATTTGAAAACGGTGTTCAAACTGCCAATTTTCTTCTTGATTTCATAGGAAAGACCCCAAACCATTGGAAAATTTGGGTATGCCAACCCAAGGCCGGGGGGGGGGGGGCCCTCGAAGGGACTTGGGTGCCAAATTCTGACAGCTAGCAGGAAAATTAGCAGTTCAAGCACAAATTCAAACATTTTTGATGTTTTAGGTGACCATGAACTTCCTTTCAAAGTTGGAAACTGGTTCCAGCCAAAACGCCTCCCGTCCAAAAGCTGGTGGGTACACTTGCGTCTCACGGAGTTTGTCCTTTGCGCCCTGAAATCGTTTCTTAGTGCCCTTCTGATACTGGATGGTGCTGTCGCTCTTGGCAAAGAGTTTCTTGTTCAACTTCCTTTGCGGGTGAAACAACTGCAGAAATAATGCAAACTCCAGGGAGAATGACCCCACATGGTTAGTAATTAATCATAGTTTGGGATATTATAATTTTCATCAGGCTTGTTAGTATAGTATATAGCTTCTACAACGTGAAACCTGTAGATAACCAACCCCTGTTTATATGTATATATTTTATATAGCTATATGTTGTATCCTTTTGGAGCCCTGTGAAGGACCACCCCTCATGGTTAGCAACCAAAGTTTGGAACCCATTCGCACTATATAGCTAAATAACCCGGACAAAAGCTATATTTGCACTTGATTCCTGCTAAGCTTGGGGATGATCCTACAAGCGACCCAATCACCACCATGCTAACCCCGCCTGTAGAAACCAGCGACACATGGGTCATCTGACACCAACCTTACTGGCTTCCATGTTTTCCCACCAAACATTCCCAGCCAGGTCAGCTGCTCAAAGAAGCCCCTGGTGCGAAGGATCTTCCGCAGCCGTGGGTGGTAGAAGATCTGGGCGATGGCGAGATGGGCAACAACAAGACGCAAAGCTTGTGATTTGTCAATTCCCAAAAGCATGTTCTTAAGGAAAGGGCAAGGCTTTGCTGGGGATTTTCCAGCAAGACATGTCCTTGACGTTGGAGGACGACGGCCACCAACAAAGCCACCTTAAATTCAATGACTGGTACCCCCGGAACAACATGTGACCTATTTTTTGGACTCATGCAGACCAGGTCCCACGCTCGACTCACCATTAAATTTCCTTCCTTCACACTCTTGTAGGACCTGCAACAAGGGCCAGCGTGTGTGGGGGTAGTTCATCATGTGCAGCAACCCCAACACACATATACAGTTGATGTATGCAAGGGTGTTCCATTGAAATAGTGAAATCACGAACCATCCATTTGGGATCACCTTTTTTTTGTGAAATCTGATTTATTTTGGAATCCCCATTCAAGGATTTGCTTACATCTTGCAATGGCTAACATGCATGGAATTCTGAATTCCGGATCTTAGAATGACACAGTAAAATGTACATGGTTTCGGTATTCCGGCCTCCGTCCTAGTGGCCGCATTTTCGTTCTTCGAGATGTTCCACCTCGCTCACTCTTCTGAGGAACTAGGCATGTATACTGCAGAAAAAAGATGGCTTGGGCCTTCCATATATTGAGACATTCCCATTTAAAATTTAAATGCATGGATATAAGAATAACTATAGCTGGAACATGCCGTAACCCATATTTGCAGTTCCCATCCTACTCCTTCGAGCTAGATTCAAGTTTGATTATGTTTGATTTTTTTCTGTTTCACTGACCCCTTCCAACCGTTTGCACTACTGTGCCGCCAAGCATCGGTTAACTATGGACCATGAACTGCATTTGATGCCGGCTGCAAGGAGTCCACCGGCAGCAATATTCATAACAGCCCAAAGGCACCGAATGAATCCCAATGGACTCAAAATATCCTTAGCAATAGGCCCGGTGGTGGGAATCAAACCCATGTTGCAAGAGATTGGAATCAAACCCATGCTGCAACAACAACTTGATCAACTTGATTTGTGAACCTTACATGCATTCAAAATATATAGACGAAAGTCGTCACGGGAATCATCCAGAATGTCGATAGAACAGGCCCGCAGGCCTTTCCGTTTGTATGCCTTTGAGATGGCCTTCCGGCCCGAGAATAGGTCAACACACTGAAACTGACCGTGGTGCTGAAATGCCTTAGATGGGTCATGGAGAATAGGTATGAGTGCACGCAACATGTTTAAAGAAAAATGAATTTTTAACAACCAAAATATCTATACGGTAGCTAAGTCACCTGGAGCATCAAACTCATGATGATGTGAAGCCGCATGGGTACATACCCAGGGTTGGGGCTGGTGGCATGCTTGGGCGGCTTTGGTAGAAAAAAATCACCATCACCACGGCTGATGCCATCTCTCCTTTTGAACCTCGGATATTGTACAACATATCGGCCGAATTACTGTATATGGGAATGGCTCACAAAACCGGTACCCAAATACGATGCCCAAACACATTAATAATATTTGTTTGTATGTCTTTCAAAAGTCTTTCTTTTAAGACACCACCATATGACTTTCATCCTATGGTATGACTGACTTGTTTCCATCAAGAAAAACCAAGACACTGCAGCTCTGGTCCCCATCCCTTTCCTGGCATGGCTCCTTAGATTGCGCAAGCTTGCGGCGTGAGGACTGGATTTTTTGGCAAGAAGATCAAGACATGAAGGGTCACGCAATTGAAGGAGAATGGGCGCAGCTAAGTGGCTGAGGGGAACGTGTGCTTGGTCGAAGTCAACTACGTGGGCCCCCCCTGCAAATGCTCAGCCCGTTTATAGATATGATTTTTTCTAACATATGCTTCCAATGGCTTCCAAGTGCGTGAGCAACACACATGCCTGCATACACCATGCAGCTAATATCTACATGTGCACTGTATCAGTATCTGCACAGGCTTTTGGCACACCATCGAGAAACTGCGAGAATAAAGCAGGGACACATGACTTCACCTGCGATGGTGTGAAAGCCTAAATTTGCCGTGATCCAGCACATTTTGCACTGGCACACGGAACAAGTTGTTGCACCAAGTGACTCTGCCTACCCCCATAGTTCCTACAGCTTCGCTACCCCCCCAACATTTGTTGGTAAGCTGTGACAAACCATGAGGCACATGGCCACTCCACAAAAGTCACACTGTGGATGCCAAGAAAACATATGCTCGAACAAAAACAACATTAAACTAGCTGGTAAATGGCACTGCCAGGGTTAAACATCAATAAAAAAAAAGGTTCCCACAGTATTGCAAAGCTCAAGCTGCTTTCAACTTATACGTACAAATCCCTCCTCACTCATCAAGCTTCTCATCATCCTCACCCTCACCATCCTTCGCTTCGCGCTTCTTGCGCTGCCGAGGCACTCCGGAAAGAGACGGCGAGATCATGTTGTGCTCCCTGAAAAGCCAAGATGCCCACTTGCCATGCTTCTTGCGAAGCTCAACATCATTTTCTGAAACTCTCCTGTAAGCCGAACTATACAGGGAATTGCCCTTTGCCGTAGGGGGGGCCATTATAGCATCATCGGGAATTGTGAAGGAAAACTCTTCACCAGCTTCACCGTTCACAGAACCAACCTCTGGGACTTCCTCGGGAATTTTCTGGTTGGTGCTGGAGGCACCCTGGTCAGGGAGTGGGGCCTTCTGGGACACCTTTCTGCGCTTGTTGCTACGTTTCGTCGGCTTTGGCTGCTCAGTGCTGCCCGCTGCAGGTGACTGGGAAGCGAGATCTTGTCCCGAACATGCCCGCTTGACCCTTGCCATTTTCTTCTTCAGGTTTCGCTTCTTTACCAGGATTGTTCCGTTCTTATTGATTTTCTTGTCAGTTTTCTTGCTGGTCTTGGCTGCTTTGACTTTGCCTGCCTTGGACTTTCGACCTTTGCCTTTCTGACCCTTTGCTGCCACGGGTTTCCTTCCACGGGGCTGACCTTGCTCTTCATACTTAGGAATCTCACAGCCAAGATCTTCATTCTGCATGTAACCAGGTTCTGCTGGCAACCTGTACTTGGGATCCAAGACCACCTTGGGACATTTGAAGTTCTTTGCTAGGGGACACTTCGCCAAAGCTTCAGCGCTCCAAGACTCACCAGTCAAGTCCACCTTTGGCTCTGGATGCCCACTGGCCTAAGATGAAAACGCTGGGCGGGACTAGAACTGAATGAAGGCCAAGTAAACTTTGAAACCCATGCCCATACCCATGTGTGAATTTTAGGCCATGTCACACATGCCACTTGGCGCGTGCGCGGGTTGTCCAGCGAAGCCTTATTTTTGCGCGACTTCGAACATGGTTCAAAAAAGGGTTAGAGTTTCGCAGCAAGCAAACACATGTCGCAAATAATCCATGTGCGCACATGTACGCGATCTGTGCTGGCTGGGGCACTGCTTCTTTTGGCTGTGGCGCTGCTTCATAGATCTCCCCATCATCCCAAATGTCCTCTATATGGGGATCTGTCAAACTATGGTCAAAAGGACAGGCATCAGGGTTGTGATCTATATATGCGTTGCATGAAAATATTTTGAACATCTAATATATTGGAAATGAACGGTAAACTTTGAACAACTATAATATAGCCATGCATGGGAAATAGAAGTCAAATCATAGGTGGAATGGAAAATTTGTGCGTGCATCTACATGTCAGGGCACCCCTGTGGATTTGATTGAATGTCCTTGGAAGAAAGGGACTCACTGCATTCGCCGCCATCGTTCGGAACATGGTCCTTAGTGTGGCCATATGGTTTGGGTAGCACCTTCGATGGGGGGTCAACCCAAATATGAAAGGTATGCCATTTTTAGTTTCCATTTGACACCCATGATAATTCCAATGTGTGATTCAATAGGTGCAAGTGTTCCTTGCATTCCAATTGTATTTTTCACTATTTTTCATGGCCGGCTAAATTCCATATATCCCTATCCCATCTGTGGTGGTGCCGCCTCATTATGATGCTTTCAGGGTACCCAACGAACTGTGGCCCAAGTTTCAGAATCCTTTCTGGGAACATGCTGGGGATCAGAAGCGGCATCCTTAATGCATGAGCAACATGTAAGGGAATGTTAAAAAAAACAGAGCGGGATCTATGGGTCAAAAAGTATGGGAATCCCAACCCCTAGCCAAGTTTCATCCAGCGACATGTTGCTGAACTTCGGCTCCAACCCGTCGCCCACACAATCCCAATTGAAGTCCTGAACCACGTTCATTGCAGACCCGAATGGTGTTTTGGTTGGACTACTAGGGTATAGTGGGGTCAAGGCTTTGTGCCATGTAATTAAGGAAGCCCTGTTAATAAGCCTACATGCAGCCATGTTGGGGCTATGTTGGGTTAAAAAGGCATTTTTCTTAACTTTAATGTATGCAATTACAGCCCTAATGAACATCCATAACTGGTTTCACCCCTCAATGCAAACCAGGAGCCAGAGTTGCAGCTGTGTCAAGATCTTTGCATTGCTGCCCAGCGGTGTCCTGCAGCGCGTTGTTCTTTGCTATATACATGCATGTTCCTTCAAACGTAATTGAAGATCGGAAATGACCAGTTTTCCCCATGACTATTACGTTTCAATTGTTACATAAATGGGCTGGGGCTTCCCCAATAAAAGATGCTGAATGAGACACTACAATAGCAGCGGTGGGGATTGCTTACCCTCAAGCCCCATCTCCTCCATTTTCGATTTGATTGTATGAAACAACAGTCCTCCGTAGACAAGGCATCCATGCTGATAGAGGGACCGGCATCAGCTTCTTCCTTGGCTGGGCAGGGGATGACTAAATGCATGGGGTGAGGATATGGTGTGAAATTTGAAAAATAAAATCACAAATCGACCATTAAAATAAGGCTCCACATGCTCCACGTCTAAATCCTCACCGTCCAACTGGGTGCCAGGGGTGTGATGTTCCTGGGTTGGATTGGCAACAGGAATTGCATATGAATTGCAAACATAGTAGCAACCAAGCATACTCACAGTCTGTGGAGACATTTTATACAATCCATTGATGTCCGCGGGGCATCCTCTGAAAGAACTTCAACCATATCATTGTCCATGCCCATGGCCGCCTGCATGGTGTTTGGAGTGTACGTGTTTTACATGAATCTAAAGTTTTGTTCACATGTCCTAACCCTGCATTGTCTACAGTTGTTTGCGCCACAGCTGGTACCAAGGCCTGGGAAGCTTCTGGTGGAGGCATCTCCGGCAAGGCAGCTTCATCGGCTTGGTCAGCTTGGTTCGGTTCATCATAATGAAAACGCTCGGTCACCCCGTAGCTGTCCTGAAATGTATTGTAAAGGGAACGTGGGTGATTTTAAGGCAGGCTGCATCAAACTAGGTTCCCACATATGCTGGATCAAAATCTGAATTGAAGACGGGGATCATAAGTGTAGCCCGGGTTGCAATAAGGGTTCACCCAGCTGGAACACGGTGGGGCGTAGATCATGTTGATTGGACGACCAGGTTGAGTGGCACGAAGGTGGTCCAACCGTTCCGCAACTCAAGCAACATTGCCATCACAGTGCCCAAGCATGGTGACTGATGTTGTATAATCATACCCCATATCCATGACCTGCTGAATGGCAATTTGTTTGGAACGGGTGTCAACATCAATTTGGGAACAGGCTGATGGTTTCACATCCATGTCCGGCCCAAACGGGATTATCTCCGATCTGGTAGGCTCTCGTACTGCTGGTGCATCCCGGTCGGATGACGATGCAATCACCTGGTTCGAGGCACAGTGGTGGGAATGATAAAACATTTTGCATAGCGGGGGGCGACCCTTTAATCTAAGATAGCAACGCGTGATCACACAAGACCATAAGTATAACCCCGGCTTGCCTCTGCATCTTCGGCCATTTTCTTTGAAACTGGCAAGTGGTGGAAATTGTTGGGTGAGTGTTGGGAAGGAACAGAAAAAATGATATGCAGAATCAACAAAACATGGCTGACCTGGGTTCTTGCGCTTCTTGCAGCTCTCACGGGCCCGCCGAGCGTTTGGTCTACAAACAGCTTGCAATTGAATAGCTTCAGGGGAATTGCACTTCCTTTTTTTGAGAGAGTTCCGCCAATATCTTCTCGAATAGGAAAGAAGGGCTTGGACAACATATGCCTCCTTATGTTTGCACCATTTGGCGAAGAACATGCAAAATGCCTTGTGCTGCTAGTTGCCTTTATTAACAAAAAATATATTGCAAAATTGATCCACTAATTGCAGCCCATGGTCATTTGTACACCACTGTTTCCTGTCTTTTTTGAAACGGCACTGAGAGAACTTGTTGTCAGCTTCGTCATCAAGGCTTGCAAACACAACTGCCAAGCTGCCCATTTGCCAAGCCCCTTGGCTGGTGATCAACCAACACTATTCACATGTTCTACATTCTTGATCATGTACCCCCGATCAACACATCCCTAGATGTATTCAATGTATTCCGGTATAGGAGGGCTTTTTATAGGGAAAATGATAATACTCAGCCAAAGGCACATTGTGGGTCTATGGCGAACAAAGCGAGAATGAGAGGAAGATAGAACTTCATGTCAGAGAACCCCACCCGGAAGCTGTTTATGTGCGGAAACAACGTGTTATCTGGCCGCTCGGTCATAGCACATTTGTTGAACACTTCCATGGGCATGTGGAGCTTCAACGCACCTTGTTGTCGAATGGCAAATAAACCCATGCACTAAGAATGTTGTGTTGGGCTGAAAAAAATGGTTATATTTTTGAAATATATAGATTATAGACAAGCATCTTTTGATCTTTCCTTCAAGTTCCGAGAGCGACGCCATTGCTATATGAGCCCTATCCATAAGCTTGTGCCATATCATTTATTCATAGTGTTGGGTGTTGTCAAACTGGGATTTACACGGAAACCACCATATGCACAACCTGCCCACACCAAGCATTCTGACAGACAGTCCTCGCTTGCAAATTCCGCGAGGCATTCGCCATGAGAAGTCGACGGCACATGCCAAAGCCGGTGGAAAAATGAATCTGCTTGGGAATCTCTGTGTGTATGGTTTCCATCTTTGGGCATCGAATGTTAGATTCCCCATGAAATGTTTGGGGTATGTCTGTGTTCATGCCATCTTAGTATACTTCAATGAAATTCTTCGCACCATCGGTGTGATCACATTTCATTCATTGAAGAACCATGCTTTTCTGGCTTCAGAACCTCCTGGACCCTGGTGGACCCTCGGTTTGAAATGGCCAGGGTTCAAGACCTTCATAGTGAGGTTCGAGGGTCAGAACCCTTCAATCCAGATCCAAAACCCTCCAATGCAGATCCCAAAGATCGTTAGGGTGGTGGATAGAATCTGCTAGAGCAGACATGTTTATCATAGAATGATTGAAGGGGGATGGAAACGAATTGATCCTGAACCACGTTTTGCACTGCTTCACTTCAAAGCATGCACGCACAGATACGCACAGCTAGCTGCTAGCTGAGCTGAAATGTGCGCTTAGCTGAATTCAACCGTTCAGGTACTGTTCGTTGGGTTGCGGGTGTTTGTACTTTGATTGGGAGCTTTTGAATCTCCTCAATGAGAGGCGCGGCTGCTGGGCGCTCAACAGAGAGTGGCGGTGATTGCTAAGAGTTGGGGATGTTTGGGGCACCTGTCCCAGTCTCATGGCCCATGATGTGTCAAGTTTCCCAATCGTGATTAATCTCTACTAATTAAAAAACATACTGTAGTTGTTATGTCACCACGCATATACAGTATATATTATAACATGCATTGATTTAAACACATTAACATATGATGTCGCATCATATGAAATATATGAAACAAAATCATATAATTACTACTGTATGTGTTGTGAACTCGTGTGCGAACTTCCTCACGATATCGGAGGCTGTCCATTGCCCAAGTCTGGTTGGTTGATCCCGCCTTCCGTGGCACCTCGGATTCTGCCGAAGCTCGGGCCTTGACGGCGTTTGGACGCTGGCCTCTTGGAGCACACCAGCTCCGGGCTGTGACAGGTTACTGTTGGTTACTGTTGGATCACCTGGACATCCCTCAACCATCCTCAACCTAAAGAATTGAAGCCCTGAATGCCTTTTTTGAATGGACATGTTTTGCACGCATTTGGACGCAGTTCTTTGACAGCCAAGGTTTAGTGGTGCCTTTGACATCTATTGTTTCGCCAGTGCAAAGAAACTGACGAAGTGGGCTGCAGCCTTTCACCGCGGCCGTGCGCATGTGGTGATGCAGTGCGACAGTGTGCAGAGCCTTCAGCGCATTCTAGCGACATTCGCAGTCAGAACCAAAGAGGTTACTTGGGTAAACAGGGAACTTTGATGAATACTATACTTAATTATTTGATGAACTTTGGAAACATACAGTATGTTCAGCAATAATTACTCTTCTCGGTTGCATCAGTTTCTGATGTTTCTGGATTGATATCCCATGTGTCATTGGTATCCACGGGATTCAATAGGCAATTGGTCGTATCAGGTCCGTGTGGAGGGCGCAGCCAAGGACTTTTCCCATCCTCAAAGATCGAGATTTCTGCGATGCTGTCCTGGAAGATAACGCCATAAATCTCCAGATGCCCTGCTGCAAGTTGGTGGAATTTTGAACAGATCACAATGCAGCTTGGAACTCATCATAATTTGTTTATAGTTGTTTTGTTTTTTGCCGTCTCAAAGTTCGGAATAGAACCATCCTCCCTTTCATTCACTTATGTGTTATTTTACCCTATTAACATTATAGGTACATTATATCTTATAAATTCAAGATTATTTTGCTCCTCCTCATCATCACCATCATCAACAATACTTGATCATCATCAACAACATTCAATATGAATAGCAACAATATTCAATAATCAGCAGGGATGATATAATCAGTAATTCTGATATGATACCATCCATTATACCATCCATTATACCATCCATTATACCATCCATTATACCATTATACCATCCATTATACCATTATACCATCCATTATACCATCCATTATACCATCCATTTCATGATTATATACTACAATATCATTAAACAAAATCAATCATAATAATCCACCAGAATCATCAGGAAATTCCGCCACCTGAGGATTTTCAGCCAGCGGCTTCAGCGCCGCCGTCCCGGTCCCGGGCGCCGTCGTGGCCCCATGCCTGTGGCGGCGGTGAGGAGCCTGCGGCGCTTCACGGGAGAGGAGGAGCTTGGTCGATTGCCCTGGAAGTGGAGATTGAACTAACGTAACGAACGAAAAATGTGAAAAAAAATGCGGATTTCACTATCACATACTATCACTATGGGGATTAAATGAACTTAACCATCAACACTAGGGATTTAAGGGATTTAATTAATGTGATTGAATGGGGATAAAATTTCAATTAATGGGGTAGTGGGATATGATATACCCTCCGGTTGTTGCCATGTCGTGTTTGTTTTGGTGTTTTTCTTTTAAAAATTTGAGAAGGTGATCACACAATTACTTCTCAGTCCTGTTGACTTAATAACTTGCAGTGGATCTTTTTGTATATTGTATAATGTTCCGCTCAATACATGCCAAAGTTGGAAAGCAGTTTCCCATTCTTCGGACAAGGGTTAGAATCATCACGAGGTGACGCCGGCAGGCATCGCCCAGTGTCAATCACCTTTATTTATTTTAATGATGATGCGGACAGGTCAGGAGGGGTGTAATGTCATGCAATATCAACCTGGAGAATTGAACCCCAGTTAATTCATCATTGTGGGTGGTTGCCAAAACAGTGATATTTCGATTTATACATAGTACTCTCAATTGGTAAACTAGTGGTTCTATTAATCGTGGATTGCTATTATTGATATTATTCGATTATGGAAGTATCTCCAATTGCATCGGACGCAGACAATACTGCCTGGTCGCTGGCACTGTGCGGAGGAGACATTTGAAACTCTCCAGAGCGATTACTGGCAGAATGGCACCTTGCTTGAAACTTACAGTAATTGAGTGCATAACTTTGAGGCAACTTGTGAGCTCACAAAATTGTGCGCAGATGCCGTACAGTTTAGTGACTTAACCATACACTGCATGGTGTCCTACAAAAATCAAGATCTAGAGGTGTCCTACAAAAATCAAGATCGAGAGAGAGACAGAAAGATGCATGATGATTCAGTTTCATGCGCGATCTAGTCAAACCATGTCAAACCAAACAGCTTCCAGTGCTATCCCGTGTCAGGGACGTGGGTGCCAGATTTCTTGTCCTTCGCCGAAGATCTGCAAGACAGCTGGATTTCCGAGCTGGAGCAGCGATATCGATGAGAAAGATCGCAGCGGATGGCACGTTTTCCCCGGCGTGGATGGCATGGAAAGATATGGAAAGATATGGAAAGTGGATATGATGGGAATATGATGGCCTGGAAGATATTTTGGGTTTGGATTCTCGGAACGTGTGCGTGCAGAGATCATTTTGTTCTGCTGTGAATTCTTGCCTGTAGTATAGATGAGTTTCCTTTCAACTTTAATTCTTTAATTTTTGCATGGCTGGGAGTGATAGTCTCATAATATTTGTTGATGTCCATAATGGTTTCGTGCTTTTGGTGCATGCAGCCCATGCCTACACTTAAGCTCTTAACAACGGACATGACAAAGACGTACTTGTAGCAGATGATACTGTGACAGCAGTTGGGATACTACAGACAGTCTCCGTATTGATCCTTTGCAAAACTGAAAAGGGGACTCAGCAAACAATGGAGATAACCCAAGACCCTTGTCCGACACAAGCTAACAATACTTCTCACCTGTTATTTTTTGGTCCAACCACACCTTGTCCGTTCAAGCGCGATGGATGGCGTCGAGGATCTCAGTCAAGGATGTGCTATGACGTGCTGTCAACTTCCAGCAGGCAAGTATATTTGTACAATTCTATGTATCATATCGTTATTATAAATTATCATTTATTGAAACCTATTGGTCATGTCCATCCGGTCCATCCATATAGACTTATAAACACATGTTTGATCATTTGGTTCATTTTCAGATGAAGCATTACGAGACTGTGAAATTGACTTGACTCCATCTAAGGGGATGCAATTGTGGGTGGCACTGTTGAGTGGCGAGAAGGTGACGGGAATCGAATGCACCGAATGCTCGCTGGACAACATGTTCGAAACAGCGGTTGTTTTCTTTCTGTAAGAGTGTGGAGTGGGTGTGGAATGTGTGCAAAGTAAATTTACCAATCCGGCTGTTCCGGGGACTTGTGCCTCGAACAGCAGAGCGGAGTCTGAATGTATGCTAGTTACATGGCCGGAAATCGACATTCAACATGTCAATGTCCTTGGGGATGAAGAGAGCATGACATATACACGTTGATATTCATTGATATTCAATGATATTCATGTATTTGATTGATATCCTAGCATTACTATGAAGTATATGGCATGCTTTGGCAATCTATGGCAGCTCTTGCCGAAGGCTTAGATCGACCCACATCCTTGCTGGCCCGACTGCTTGTCTTTAAAATCTTGTAGCCAGACATAGCAAGTGCGCCAAGTCCTTGCCCGGGGCAAGGCAGCTCTGAATGTGTGCGGCAAAGACACCGTGCGAAGCGTGAAGGCCAAAGCGCAAAAAGCATTGCAAAGGCAGGGTCAGAATCAGTCAGAATCGGTCAGAATCACACAGAGCAGTGGTGGTTTACTAATGTGGTGGTTTCAAACCTTCGCCCCATCCAATTTGAAATTATAGATTACAGGCATTACAGGTTTCGGTCCAGTTCTGGTTAAAGCCAGATTCTGCTTGACCCCAAAATTCGCACTGTTCCAGACCTTTGCTGGGCCTGGCCAGATCGGATTCACCAGCTGAGGCAAGTCAGCAATCGATTGTTCGGGCAAAGGGATTAAATTGCAAAGATTGGGGACGGAAGCTGAGTGCAAAACGGCTGCATGAAGAGTAATTACATGATATTACAGGATTTTGCTCATACAGGTGCCTCTGCCCAAAGATGCAACCTTGGAGGAGCTGCAGATTCCAGAGGCATGGGGGCCTGACAGTTGCAAGAAGAAATCAATCGGCTTAATATGGCTCAATTTTACTCATGCTGGTACAATTCCACACGGAAACATACTCAAACATACTTGAACTCAAGTCGATGTTCATTAGACTTGGTCTTTACCATGGCTTTCGATTGGTGTTTTCATTTGCAGGGAGGGAGAGACTGACAGTAAACGCAAATTTTGCTGGGGCGAAACCTGCGAGAACAGCGTGCTCTATGCCTTGGTCGGTAGACTTCGTTGGGAGCACGGCTTGTCAAGATACCTGCGCCTCGACTGCTTGAACTCGACGTCATGCTGCTGGCATCAGGTGTCAAATCGACAAGGTTTGCATTTGCAGCTTGCCAGGCCGCAGTCCGTGGTGACATGGTGACACAGAAGTACATAGAAGATCATAGAAGCATATGGAAAGTGTGGAAAGTGAACATTCATCATCAAGATCATTCTGGATGCAGAATGAACGTCTCCAGGGCGATGGTTCTGCTGTGGCTTGGGGCTCACCTTTCGCCGGAGGTGACACGAGTGAGGCCCTGTCACAGATCTGATGGCCCTGATGGCACCGGGAGCTGCTCCCATTGATGACATTGTGTATATTGTATATAATATAATATAATATAATATATATAATATATTAATATGTGTGTGTGGATATATTGAATATGTTGGGTTGTGGCACAGGTGGCAGATGAGTTGGCTGAAGATGTTCAGGACCCTGATATGCTTTCACAGATTTATCTCAGGACACCCAACGGTCACAAGAGTCTTCGTACATTTGCTTTCTAGATGAGATGGGTCATGCTCATTTGTGACTTTTTTTGTTTCGGTGAGTGAGGTTGTTTATGTTCTGGCACACCTAAACCTACAACGTCACTATGTCACTATGTCCTCCAGTTGATGGAGGATGTTTGTGCAAACCTGATGGCGTTTACGGCGGTGAAGATCGACGGCTCCGTAGTCACGCGAAGTCCTGAGACCTGCATGTGCTGCAGTTGATCCAGTGATTTGCACCTTGCACATCACCATGACCGTTGCTTGAAACATCTCCATCCCGTGGAGAAAGACAACCTTTTTGAATCTTTTGTATTTGTTTCATTTGTTAACTGTTAACAACAGCTATGTTTGGGATTACAACCTGCCCAGCTTCCAAAGGTGGGGACACCAATCCTGTGGTGGACAAATTAGCGAAGAGTTGAAGGCAGGCCTTTGGAATCGTGGGAAGATGCTGCAACTTGCTGCAACCGCGCTTGAACTGAGCTTGTGAGGCCCGCTTGAACGAGAATGGTGGGGTCAACTTCTGAGAGGAAAGTCGACCGTTTGTTCTTGTTGTGTTCTCGTTCGCAAACGAATGTGAATGCTTGTCATGAAGTAACAAATGTGTTTAGATGGTCCAAGTCCAAACATGACAATTTTGTGACTTGACAGATCCGTCGCACTTGACAAAACTTTGTGAGGTCAAGAAGATTGTTTCGAGCAACCGTGCGTTTGCAGCCCTAAAACGTTCTTGCCTCATTTCACCTCATTTCACCTTGCCAGAACCCTTATTGAGCCTTATTGCCTTTGCTCAGTAGTTATATCAGACTCGCCGTGCGAGCACTCTTGGAGGTGATGGAAGCTTGGTCTGCTGGGGTTGTCATTACCATGGTGTGCGGGACTCAGTGCCTTGCAGATTTGGTATGATTTGGTGCATTTCCTCAAGCACTGATGGCTGAATTGCATTGAATTGCAACAATTGTGCTGAGGGTCAGATGCCTGAGTTTGGTTGCAAGAAAATCAGCGCTGGACTCAGCTACTAGGATGAGCTGGTTTGGGGATTAGACTTCGCAAGGTCTGGACCTTGTGAAGTCCCATGCTTATCATGCTTTGTGACATGTGTTTTTCTTTCCTTTCTCATAGCGGTCATAGCGGGTGATCTCAGATTTGCCAACCAGGCATTGTTTGGATGTCCCATGTTCTGCAGCCGTCCAAACTTCTCAGGCAACATCTTCTCCACTCGGGGTGCCTTTGCGGCAGCACACAGCTCAGAAGGATTTTTGACCACGCATGAAAATCGAGCCTGTCAGCATGCTCCACTCTGCATCAGTTTTTTGAAATATTAGTTATTAGTATAGATACTTGTATCTTAGATGCTTAGATAGTGTTGTAGTGGACTCGGTTTTACCATGTTTTACCTACTAATTTGTATTTCTTTCCCATTCTCCCATTTTGTGGAGGAGTTTTTAACCAACCCTGGCAGCCATGAGCACCTCATTTGCTCGGTCCGACAGGTGGATGAAGGTGGTGCAGTGGTGACTTGGGGTCATGGAGGTGCAAGAAATGGCGAAAAATGCTGCTCCTAGAGCATTGAGATGCATTGAGCCATGCCATTCTCCGGATGCAGTGCAGAGTGTCCCTTGCCATCCACTTCTTGCCTGCAGCTTGTGGTGGCGATAGCTCAGCAGTGACCGCGCAATTGCAGGCGCGGTCCTGCAGACGCCTGATTTCTTGTTGGAGAAATTGATGAATGTTTTTCGGATTCTGATGGTGAGCTCCATCTCATGACGTACCACGCACGAAAGTCCTTGCCATTCGTTCAATGGGAATTCCAGGATCCTAAAATGGAGGTACTGCGACTGTACCATATAAAGCCATATTTTGGCTGTATATCCCCTTACATAGACCTTATATAGGTTTTATATGTGGTAGGTACCTCCGATTTAGGTACCTGAAGTGGCCATTGATTCGTTGGAGATTGATTTGCATGTATGATATGTATACGTTGTAGACTTCTACTGTATGCTAAGATATCAGCCGTGCAATTGCGAAGCGGAACTAAACCCGTGAAGCCAAGCTCATGGCAGGAAGGTGTCACCCAAGTGTGCGCCTGGGGGAACATCAGCAGCTGAAGGGTTTGGTTCCAAAACCAGTTGGCCAAACTTGGCCGAAGAACTCAGGACAACCATGACATACCATGACTTCATGTCATCATGTCATAAATGTATATAAATGTCATAGTCATAGTACATCGTCCAGGTGATCGAACAGAAGTATAGTACATAATCTGGGCAACACTGCTTTGATATACAAGTAATTAATAGGTACGCGAATGACTCAGCATTTGCAGCCCTGCGACGTGACAGATCAGCAAGGGCCTTAACTGCACCTCTTGAACAGCTGTATACATGTTTGATCATGTTGTTTTGAGATTGAATAAGTTAAGTGCCTTGCCTCCTCACATCAGCACTTCGAGAAGCTGAAGCAAACTGACGATTTGCTGCCGGCTTTAGGTCGTAGCATGGGGAGCACCCAATGCTGGTGGCAGTGCTGAAGAGGAGCTGACTGGAGTCATCAAGGCGCAGGTTGAAATCCGCCTTGATAGATATTTGATGATGTTTGTAAAGCAGCGTTGGCGAGAGGAATTGGGGATCATCTCCAAACTAGTCGTGACGGGCTTGATGTATTACTGTATATACATGAATTCTCATGAGTTAACATTCTTAACGCTAGATGGCTAGATATATCTTGAATTGATGTATGATATTGTATGCATATTGGTAACACACAGTTTTGCACTGGTCACCTGCGTTTCCTACATGACCGATGCAGGTCTTCTCTACAGATGCGGCCTTTGCCGTGCTGCGGGCTGCTGGCGAGGTTTTTTGTTGGGGCGATGCCCTTTACGGAGGATGCTGTGGCGATGTGAAGGTCCGGCAGCACATCGTTTCTGGATGTTTGGGAACCTTTTCTTTTAAAACCCATAGATTATCAGGTTTGAATATCCTATACTCCACTTTTAACTGGCCATAGATTGGAGGGGTCGCTGTGTTGAGATAAACCCCGCGGGAAACCCAGTGAGTCTGAGTCTCATGGAGCGATGTCGCACATGCAGCATAGGAGCAGCCAAGAAGATAAGAGAAAAAAGAGAATGATCAATTAGGTATCACAGAAGTATTTACTGTAGTACTTATTTCATATAATTACCGTAGTTTGGGGAACCCTATCGCACCCTGCAAGACGTGACAGGCACAGCTCCAGGGGGTTTGTGATGTGTCTTCATCCGGTTCTGCTTTTTCAGCTCTCAGAGATGATGGCTCAGTGGTGTCGGGAACTTGGTCATTGTGTGATGTGTGGCTTTTTGAGGTATCTTCACTTGTCCAGAGTGACCACCCGGCCAGATCATGCAAGATTAACACGCAAACAACTTGTGGGTGACTGAACCGCGACCCTTATATTATGTGGAGTTTGTACCATCACTGGTACTTCTGTGTTGTTACTTCTTGTCAACTTCTTGTGTCTTTGGTCCTTGTGGTTGGGTTTGGCTCCTTGCAGTCGCTGAGTTCTCTGATGGATTCACATCAATGGGAGTATACACATGACACAGATGATTCCAAAGAAGTCTGGCAGATATGTGCTGGGAACATCTGGGAACCAAGACTCTGCAAAAGCTTAAAGGTCCAAAGATGTCCAAACGAGATCCAACAAGAGACCAAACTCCCCACACAAAGCCTCAAAAGGAGCTGCTAATGTGTCCACACTTCAAAAGATGAGCTCAAGACCCGTGCAACATGATGAAAACCATACATCATATATATTATATATATATATACAATTATACACTTATATACATGAGATATCATGAGATTAAGGATCAATGTATGCATTTGCAACCCGACCTGGATATCTACTTCCCTGTTTCGAGCCTGCCATGGACTCCTGGCTGAAAGCTGCCCGGGAGCAAGCTGCGAAGATCGGACCTTTGATGAAGTTGGTGTGTGGAAACCATTGGGAAAACAGTAGAAATCAAGAAGTGGCAGAGGTTGCCAGAACGTGCCGGACAACCGGTTCCCTCACAATAAATAAATATCTTTTGTGCGATTTGAGCCTGCTTGCTGCATGATTTGTATATCTGTTTTTACTGAGGAGAAGACATCCAGAAGCAGGCGATTCTGTTGGCAGATGATGCCGGACAAAAGGGCAAACGGGAGATCTCCTTTGGCAACTTGACTAAGATGCAAGCCAGCCATAGCCAGCCATGCCAGTTGCAATCAGTTGCATCCAGTGGCATTCCATTCCCAGTGTCAGATGATGTCAGATGACTTACTTTCAGATGCGGTCTAAGCACGGCCCGTTTAAGGAGAAGGTCCTTTGGGCTTTGAGCTTGATGGAAACTTGGCTCATGATGCCTATAGAATTCCGTGTCTTCCATTTGTTTTGTCGCAATTTCTGGTGTGATTATTGATTCGTACCTCATGTGCTGCTTCCCGGTTGTTCTCGGATGGGTGGTTGATGGTGGTTGTTTCATGGAGCATGAGATGGTCATAGATGGTCTATTTGGCTATTTGGCAAGCGATGACATACCGGAGGTGTGTACATTTCTTCCGTCGACCCTGGCGGCCAAGCAGAGCAGCTTGGAGTACGGCCAGGATCTGCCAATTGTGCAGTCCCACGTGTTCTTGTATGCTGACATAGAAATAGATTCCATTGAAACAGTTTCGGCTGGGTGCATTGAGTCTGCATGGCAAGTCCGACGGTGGCAGTATGTGGCAGTTACCTTGTATATGCTGTGCATATCATTATCGTATTTGCATGTATTTGCCTGATAGCAAGGACATGGCAAGTTTTTGTTGCAGCTACACCATGTTACATCTCTCCACATGAGCAGAAGTGCAGAAGTGTCAGGAGACAAGCTCGTCTCCATTCAAGGCTTTGTCATTCCCCAGAATCCGAAACCGGAATCAGTGAAGCGATGGCCTCCTACTCAATTGCCAGCAATGTAGCCTACAGGTTGGGATCCGGACATCGGATTCATTGGATTGAAGGAGAAACCAACACTTCAAGTGAAACTGCTGAAATTCAAGTTGATGTTCCATTTTTTCCAAATTTCAAACATGTTCAATTTGATGTTCCAATACCCAAAGATACCCAAAGATCAACAAAGTCCGCCGGGATAAGGCTTGATGAGATGATCCGACCAGGACGCCTGACGTTCCCTGGAACAGACTCGGCTGGATGCGCTGACTGGATGTTGTTCAGTAGCTGGCAACAGCAGTGATTGGGTAATGCTTTAGCGTCCTTCTCTTTGGGGTTTGCGTGTGCAATTTTGGACTTCAAGTCAGCGTATCATACTGTGATCATGTTTGAGTGCTTCTTAAGGAAACATAGGAAACTTCCAACTTCAACCTTAACTTTTTAGAACCTTTTTTTTGCCAGTTTGGGTTCAACAATCCGACTGAGTCCTGGTGCTTTGAGTTCGGCAGCGCCGAGGTTTTTCTCTGAAGCACCGGCAGCTGGCGCTCCAATTTCCACAACTGCAGTGGTATTTCCAAAAGAGTCTGACACTGCAGAGCCTTGGATTTTCACACATGAGAGACCTGCATGATCATGAGCAGCCAGCGGAAGATTGTGAAAGGTGAGAGGCATGTTCTATGCATACAACCAGTGGGGGACATCCCGGGAAGTCTCCCTAAGGAATCTGGTTTGGTGGCCTTTGACGAAGATGGCTGGAAGGATGATTTTGCTTCCCCAACTGCCCTACAGGAGGACTGGGAGTCTGGGAGTGCAACTTCCTCGTATGGAGTGTTGAGAAATGATGAGAACTTGTCACACAGGACGCCTCACCCGCCGCTCCAGTGCCGGAGCTACCGGAATCACTCATGGGGGAGGCTTGATGGATTTTCCGGCAGGTGGTAGCATGGAAGGGAACATAGACAGCATGATTGTGCATGATTTGCACATGTTGCCCCAAGACTTTGGAAAGTGTTGGCGGGAGATAGCAGTAAGAATGGCTGGGATACTAGTGCCTTGAAGCCGGGATGCATGCTCTTGGATATGGAGGACAGGAACCCTAGATGTCAACCAGTGACCTTGGACTCCTTGGACACTTCACAATTACCCCTCCCAAACAGCGATGAGGCAAGGCTGCGAGCGGAGCTGTATGCTGCTCGTGATGAGGTGCGTTCACTTGAGAGAGACTTGGCAGGGGCGGCAGGTGCACTCGATGATTTTCTGTTAATTTAATTTAATTTATATAATGTTTATGTTTTCAATTGTTTTCATGTTTTGGGTATAAACTGGTATTGTATAACAATTCTACGGAATAGATGTAGGGAAGGTAGGGAAGATCAGCCACAAGAAAGAAGAGTCGTGGCTTTGGGCTTCCCAGAAATTCGATTCAACCTGGGGAGATTCCAAGAGCTGGGCCCTGGGCATGGCATGGTGGCATGGCATGGCTCAGGAGAGCTTGAGGACTGCAAAGCTGAATGTAAAGAGCTTCGGCAATTCGCAGCTGAAAAGGCTGGGAAGCGCAAGATGATGGCAATGTGATGAACCAACGAGAATTTAAGGATACGGACACCCACTAACAGGGTATACGAATAATTACGATAGGCGAAAGGGAGGCAGCCAACAAGATCCGGGACAACATTACTGTAGAAAGGTTGCATTTTGTGTCTTGTCATGATGGAAGTTAAGAGACTTCCTCAAACTAGTAAGACAAATGTCAACAAGTTGTACCCAGTTCTGGCGTGCTATCTCAGCCCTCCAGGCTGATGCGAGCTTGACCGAATCCATGTCTGAGCAGCGGCTGCAGAGGCTCAATGAACAGCTCACATCAGCTCGAAAAGAGGCGGAGGCCAGCGGTGGTATGGGATGTCAAGGGCTTGCCATGGCAAACCAGAGGTGTCCATGCTCTTATATAGGAGATCATAGGAGGTTATGGGAGGGCCAATGTTTTCAGTCATTCTTTCTTGCTATCCGTTCATTGTTGGGGTGTGCGCTTTTGACCCAGGGGATTCAAACCTTGTTTATTGTGGTGCTAGCAATGATGCTCGAAGAAAGATGCTTGCAATGTTGCCGATATTTCAGAGATCCGCCACAGAAACAGACCCAAGCTGTGAATGAGTGGGCGGCTGACGCCGTGTTTGCCACTGATGGTAATTGCAAAGCATGGCACTTATTCAACTTATTCCATCATAAACTGCTTGGGCACCCATGTGCCATCCCAGACGCTGGACCTGACCATGCAGAAACATGCAGAAACCAATGTGGATCAGCTGTGGTGCCTAGACAGGTGTCGCGTGGACGATGCCGTCAGCTTCAGGTGCAGCTGGTGTGGCTCACATCTCTTGCTGGTTTGGAAACCAAAAAAGGGCCGATGGTATTTAAAGAAGGAGATGAACATCCATTTGCCAGCGATTTTGATGTTCAGTCAGGTCGCAGGTGTTTTACCATGTTTTACCATATGGGGCAGAAGATATCACACACAACGTTGTCGGCTATATAGGTGTTGCACACAGTTGAAGATTCATTTGGAACTTCCCAACACCCGCACTGTTGGAAGAGAGCATGGGTTGGACTACAGCAAAGGAAGCCTGATCATTTCAAAGATGGTTTTATCAGAATTGCCTGGTTCCATCCTGTACAAGGACCCAGCTTGTTGTGCAAGTTGAAGGTTGATGGATGTTGATGGACATTTGATGAATGAAGGTGAAAACGATGCGGAACAGCCCACATCAGGAGCATGTCATTGCGAGCCTGGCAGGCACAGCTGGACAGCCTGTCCGCCCAATGTGACGAGCTACGCAAAGAGTCCGCACAGAATGAGGAGCGGATGGAAATCATTTGGTTGTTCCCCACATCTGAGTAACTATATAGAGGCGAGTAGACGCCAGAAGAGTCCAAAATCTTCCAAAACCACTTCTGAGTTTTCTTGTTGTTTCTTAGGGGGTTGGATGTTGAAGGGACATGTCTTTTTTTTTGGCAGACACACCCTAGGGTTTTACCTAGACTTTCTGCTGACGATGACGGATGTCGAAAGGCGGCTGCTGCTGCTGCTGATGATGATGATGATGATGATGATGAAAACGACGAAGATTCTTATCTCTTGCAGCCAGAGGGTGAATGTGAAACCGGGGGGAGGCCTGCATTTTATCCCTTCCACCCGCATATGTTTTATATTGTTTTGTCATGTTTTGTCATAGGACCGAGCAAGAGAAGCAATGGAAGGGAGAGAAAAAGTATTGGTTGAAGAGGCCGCAGCCCTGTGCAGCCAATCGACATGTTGCACACCATTGGACTAGTTGCCATCACTGAGGTCGGCATCAATGCTGAAACAACATGCCACAGCATTTGGCTCTTACAGCAGACAGCACATCAATCATGAAAGTGAATGGCTGTACAAGCACTGCGGCCCTTTGAAGTAGACAATGATACAGTATGATACAGTAATAGTTTGAAACTAGCAGGATATGAAAGAAAGCCTGTGAGAATCTCTTTTGGAAGAGTTTCGTTGGAGTTGTAGCATAGTGATCTCTCCATGTCGAGTGCAGATTCTGTCTCTGACAAACAGGAGCTGCTGAGTGCGATTGCCAACGATGACGCAGAGCAAATGAGTATCATCCTGCAACGCAGCCCCAGCTGTGTAATAGAAAGTGTGGGCTCTGCTCTGCATGTGGCAGCAATGTATGGCTCCATAGCCTGTACTGAGCATTTGCTGCAGGAAAGCTGTGAACTGAATTGTGAAGATAAGGATGGTCATACTCCTTTGCACTATGCTGCCGTGGAGGGTGACCCCGAGATTCTTCAGATGTTGATCTCTGCGCGGGCAGACCTGTACAGCACCACGCGGGACACTCGCGCCAGATTGATGAGTGGAGGCTTAGTCATTGACATGGCCGGTGGTCGCAATTCCCTGCATTTGGCAGCTGAAAATGGCAATTCCGAGGCTGCAGAGGTTCTATACCGGGCCTGCCCCCAGCTGGCAGAACTGGAAGACCTGGACGGTGCTCGCCCACGTGACGTGGCCTTGCGCGAGGGTGCCAGGGCTGCGACGATCTCCGCTGGGCGCAAAGCTGTGGTGGATCTCCTTGGGGCAGAGCCGATCCCATCGCAGGAAGAGCTCCGGGCTCAGGCCCAGGCAGATGTGGCGAAGGGGCGAAAACGGCTGGACCTGGCGGAAGCGGCTCAGAAAGTGAGGCTGGCAGAAGAGAAAGCGTTGAACGGCACACCAGCAGATCATGGCTATCAGAGTCGTTGGCCCAAGCTTTATGGCCTCCAAGGCAGCGACTTGCATTCCCTTTTGCATCCAGATTTGGTGGCTGCATTATCCCTGAAAGCTGATGCCAGAAGGGAAGCTGTTTTCAAGATTTGTGAGGAGATCACTCCTGGAGTTTATGCCTTTCAATGTATCTCAGATGGCACAGCTGCTTTGAACCAGCAGCTGCTAGAAGAGCTGGACAACATTGAAAGTTGGGCTGCTGAATCTCCCTGGCAGCTCAGTCGGCCTAATTCCATGAATCGTGCCTTGGATTTGGACCCTTAGAGATTGATCTGTCATGCATGTTGCCAGCAAAGGGGCTGAGGGAAATTGAGGGAATGGTATAGTCAATAGTGGAAGTGCAGAAATGTGAACCTCTGAAGTTTTTGCATATTCGGGGATCAACCTTGTGACATCTGACCTTGTATAAATCCACTTGAAGAGCCATGTTTTCCTCAGGCTACGGCGTGGTGTTGCAAGATGTTGGCCTGGGAGCCATCGCACAGAGCCTTACTACGGCTGTGGTGTTGCCGCTGGCAGCAGCTCTGTGGCCAGGTCGTTTCAGCCGCTTGGTGCGAAGGTGTTTGTAGCGTGCTATTATGTGATTGAATTATGTATCTAACTACATTTAACTTTACATTATAATATTGTGAAACGTATGACACGTTGGACTGACATGACTGACTAGATTCTCGAGCAACATCGATTATACATCGATTAATTATTGGGGATGGTCATCAATGCATTTTCATATAGGGGTGAATGTGCCCATTCATTGTGGAATCCCCAGTGCTGGTTGCCTCAGGTGACCTGTCGGACATCCATGCCTTCACGGTACGCTATCGTGAGAATGAAGATCGGCTCCTGGACACCCACGTGGATTCGAGTGATGTGACGCTCAATCTATGCCTTGGCGGTTCCTTTGAAGGAGGTGACATCCTCTCAAACATGACTCAGACGTTGCATATTGATATATGATCTACTTTATTGGAAAAAAACTTGAAAAAACATTGTTGAACAGATGTCATAGTGTGATCCATAATGCCAGTCAGTTGCTGTTTGCGTTTTGAAACTTCCAAAGGTGTGGGGCTGCTTCGTACAGGTGATGTCTATTTCCATGGCCCTGCTGGTGAGGGCCGTGATCCCATGACCTCGCCCCACCCCGGGGGCCCCGGGCCCTGCTCTCATTGTCGAGCCAGTCATCAGCACCACAGTGGTACAGCCTTGATTCACCTGGGAAATCACATCCACGGAGCCCATCAACTTCGCAAGGGACGCCGCACCAATTTGATCCTTTGGTGCCGGGCAGGCCAAAAAGAGGCCGCCCTTCCAGAGCTGGATTGAGATGCCGATTGAGACCTGTGCTTCCAGAAGCTATTCATGGGAATGATGCGCAATGATGTGCATATATGAGAATATGTTATTGCAGGATCATGCTAAAGCAAGTCCCTATCAAGATGCTGAAACTACTTTGCAACCGTTGCTAGCAGTTGACTGCGCCTCACTGTGCCTTGGTCCTGGCACTCTGAGACTTGAGCATTTGCACCGCTGTACAGGGCCTGGTGTTTCCGATTGCTCAGAAAAGGATGGCCAGGCAGATGTCACAGCCCCGTGGACACATACATTTTAGGCTTTGGTTTTCATAACATCTTCTAAGTTGGTATACGGTATGTCCAATAATTAGATAGCTCCAATTCTGAAACGGAAAACTTCATGCGGATCAGCAGCAATATGGATTACTGATTGCAGTATCTGTTACAGTATCTGTTACATTATCTATGGAACAATGCCGACTTTGTCCAAAACCAGGCATTTCCGTCATATGGAAGCACCAACTGCTCTGACAGCCTGCAGGTGGAAAGGCTCAGGGAAACCATCCACAATTTGAAGACAGAACAGCACAAGAGCGACTTGGCATCAGCATCAGCAGAGGTGCTCCTGATTTCTCCACGTTGATCAACAAGGCAAAAGGATGCAAAAGGTGTTTAAATGATTCAGGGTGAAGTTTACCTCATTTAAATTTCATGAAACCTGTGTGGCATCGTGTCTCAGAGACGGACGGGACGGGGTTTCTGCAAGGTGTGCGTTCTGTCGAAGTGGAGCTTCGTGATGGTCAGGACAGTCCAGAGACATGGGTGGCGGCAGCATTCTTGCTTTGGCCACCAGCTTGGAATATCTCGGTTGGTTGGTGCACTTTTTTGCGGTTTAATTATGTTTAATTATATACTATATATTGTTTTCTGGTGCAAGAGTGTCCCTCCATGCTTGCCGTTTGATGAGGACAGGATAGACGAGCTCGAGAAACGGGTAGCTCATGCAGCGCAAGAGAAGAGTGACCTCGATCCATGTCTGAAGCGTTTCTGCCATAGAGTGTATGCAAAACATATAGACTATATATAGTTGTGCCCTGCAATGTGGATGTTGTGGTCAGGTGTGCAGGTCATATCTGCACTGTTCAATAACAACAAAGCGGATGGCGGATGAATCATAGATTTCCCACTGAAGTCATGGTAAGGGCAATGTCAGTCTGGGTGGCCGCCGTTTGTTTTCTCCGAACGAAGGTCAAGTTGGAGGCTTCCAAGAAGTCAATGAGTGTATCATTTGAGAATGATAATCATCAGTATATTATGATATATTATGATATCCCCCTTGGAATTTCCCCTAAGGCCCTAGGAAATGGTGGTCCAGGACCCCACGATTCTTTAGAGATTTGGGTTTTATGGGTTTTCCATCTTTGACCATTTGACCACTTGCATTCTTTAGAGGAATATTGGTCGCTATTTGACCTCATCTGGTGGAAGCTGGAGGTTCCATTCTTTAGAGTTCAGGGTTATCATCCGGGATCACCTCTAAATTTTCAATTTCCCATTCTTTAGACACCAGTTGTGTGTTTAAAAAAAAAAGTTCCATTTTTAAGAGTTCACTGGTTCAATGACATCAAGGGGTATGTGCTGGGGCCCTCCATTTTTTTGGGAAGGCTGGATGATTGTGCATCTAAAGAACGGGCCCCCATAGGCAGGGGATAAAAGAGCAGCAAATCAATGCAAATCACATCAAATCACTATAGAATGGAACTCATAGGCAGTGGTTGGTGTTGTTGAACGGACCCAAAAAACTCTGAAGAATGGAACTTTGACAGTTTTCAAGGTCGACCAGAATATTAAGAAAATCTCTAAAGAATGGTATTCCCAGATCCTGCAACATAAACAAGATTTTCACATAATTTTACAACTTCTCTGCTTACCATTTTTTAGGGAAAAAATGCGGGGAAAAAATGAAATTCAGCACTTTTCAAGCCAATCACCGGTTCCTCCATTTTATAGACATGCCTCTGTTTGTAGGACCCTCGGAGGTTCCATTCTATAGAGATGGGGGTTCCATTCTATAGAGATTTGTTATGATATGTTAGTCCAGGCCCTCCATTCTATAGAGCTTGGGGTTCCATTCTATAGATGTCCCACTTCTAGCCCCCCCGGCCCGGGTCCACTAAAGAATCGGCCCACCCACCCTTTTTACTTAATTCAAAGGGGGATATTATGATTATTCTGCACATATGTGCACATTTTTTTTTTCTCATGGTGTTCACGCTGGGGGCATGCCGCGTGTCACCAGCTGCACTCAGGAACGTTTGGTGCAGGAGGCGGTGTCTCGTGGGATGACGGCAGAGAATCAGGCCTTGAGACCTAGAGGTTTTGCATTTCCGGATGGTCCGAATGTTGATTTCCGAATGCGGGTGTAGAATATACCATAATATACCGTAGATATCTGTAGACTATAATTATATTAATATGATGTTGATTTGATTTGTTTTGGATTATTTGTTTTGGGTATTAATGTCACTCTGGGTCCATGTTGGACCTGCTGCAAATGCTTCAGCGGTTTCTTTCTGCAAAATTCTCACTTGAGGGCCCAACATGTTTGAGCAACTGCCTACAAAAGCTTTGAAACGTTTTGATCAGGCAGATGTTGCTCGGAAGGAGATTTGCAAGCTGGAGGCATGTCACATGAATGAGGCCAGTGAGCCAGCGACTGCAAGCTGGATTCGTTTTGCCATAGCAAAAGGCAACAACCAAAGCAAGTAAGTTTGTTTCAGACACGGAATGGCAGGATTAAAGCCTTTAAAGCCACACTTTGGAGCGGCATCAGCATTGTTGTCCCAGGTTTCGAGCCTTCAAACGCGCTATGACCGGCAGGTCAGTGATTTGCAACGACGCAACCTGGTTTGAAGTTAGCAACACTCTGACCTTCCCATTACTGTAGCATACTGTAGCTACTTAATTAGTGTGTGGATTTTGCCTTGTGTGTGTGTGTGTGCGTGAATTCGGCGCAAGTGAATTAGATAATTAGATTATCCATGATTATCCTTTGAAGCGGCAATGGCTTTAAAAAGTCCAACATTTTTGAGACCGGGGCCAAATCTTTGGACACTTGCTTAAGACACCTTAAGACACTTATACTTGTTTCCCAATTTTAGCGTTCCTTCGGGACCCATTTTTTTTCAGATTCAGCCAGGCATTGACGAGTTGGAGAGTGAAAAGGCCTGGGCCCAATTGGCCCGCTGTGGCCCCTGCAATGTCCCGCTGTGTTCCAGTGGTCCATGGTCCACGAGGCTCAACAACCCGAGGGAACTTCCAAGACTCCGGAAGAGGATGCTGCACAAGAGCCTGAGAAGGAGAAACGACGTGGAAAAAAACGGTAGAACATTTTACCATGATGATAAGTATCAAATCATCATCATCATCATCATCATCAACAACAACAACATCAACATCAACATCATCGTTATCGTCATCGTCATCGTCATCCTCATCAACATCAACATCAACATCATCATCATCACCACCACCACCACCAGTATCATCATCATCATCATCATCATCATCATCATCATCATCATCATCATCATCATCATCATCATCGTCATCAACATCAACATCAACATCATCATCATCACCATCATCATCATCATCATCATCATCATCATCATCAACATCATCATCATCATCGTCGTCATCATCATCATCAACAATTGTTTTTCAAATCTCTCACTACGTATAATACTTATTCTGTAAATTAAATCTGGACCTTGGATTGTTACTGTACGTAAAAACTGTGCCTCCCACCTGTTCGATGTACTATATATGATTTACTGTTTTTCCAAATGGGAGCTTAATAGCAATGGAACAAAGGAATTTCGAGCGTTTTTTGAACGGAAACTCGATCGCACAAGACGAATGCAAAAATTCGCAAACGAGCGCAAACATGAAAAAAATACAAGAACAAAATCACATGGGCTCAGATTTTCATTCGATTTTGAGTTAGAACTTTTTCGGAACTTGTAACCTAAGACAACTCGTAATTAAACAAAATGTGAGTATCAATTGAAGGTCCGGGTATGTGTGTTTGTGTCGGATATTGGTCGGATGTTTGAGGAATGATGGGGATGGGGAGAGAGAGGGAGAGCGCCCGTGAAAGTAGCTGAAACAACATGAAACAACATGGTACCACCAAATTTGTGATGACCTGGGGACCTGGTCAATGGATGTATGTTTTGTTATGTTTCGTTATGTTTCGCTTCAACCCTTATATACGTGATGATAAAACTCTCTTGGCTGATGCATTCAGGATGCGTAAAAATAGCCACTAGAAACCACAATGCACTTCATGTGATCCAAAACGTTAAGTCCCAGCGACAGAGATGATTCACCTGCAGGATGTCGAGGAAACCCCAGAGAAACCGGAAGCCATTTCCGGTTTGGATGCTGGGAGCTTCGATGCTGTGGAGGTGCCTGGCGTTTCTTCATGTTTCTTCGGTATCGGTGTCCACTGGATACCGATGCTGGGAGCTCAGATCAACTCGAAGCCTCCGATCCTCAGGACGTAGGGGAGCTGCATGCTCGTATTCATGTCCTGGAGAACCAGTGCAGCACACTACAGAGACTTGGAGCTGAATTGGTAAACCGCCTGATTTTGAGCTGTTTACACCCATATGAGATCATGTAGGTTAGGCGCTAGGCCATTGGAAATCCATTGGGATGTTTTGCATTGCGGATTCACTATTTTTTTCTCAGCTCTACTACAGGCCTTGAAGAGGAATAGGCTTGCTATGGCATTCCCAAGAAAGGGAGATCGGACCATCAGAAAGATTGGAAGATGTGTTTCGGTTTGTGTGTGTGCCTTATGATGCCTTATGAATTGTAAATTTTCAAGTTGCTTCTCCATCCTTGCAACATATCATCATATCCGCAAAAATTGGATAACATATGATAAAATCAGACATAAATGACATAATCAGACCAACGTGAAGATGCTGAAGGTCAACTGTTTCAACAGGTCACGGCCTGACCTCGATCCGAGACCGAGGAAAAAGCTCAACGCTCGGCCCATTGTCTACCAGACACCTGGCAGTGGCCGACGACGGGCTGCTTCATTGGCTCGTTCCACATCCTTGATGGGCGTTGTGCGAGAGATCGTGGTGCCTCAGCTGGGTGTTGCTTCAAGCCATTGACTGCATGTCGTTCTCTCCACCATTTGTAGATTCATACAGGTTCATTTTGGATTCATTTATAGTTACAGTATGTTGCAGTATTGTTACAGCTGACAACAATATTAATCAGTCTCTTGAGCAATGGATGGAATACAAAAAACACGTCTGAGATACGAACAATGCAACGCGGACTTGATGGGCATTCTGTGCCCATAGTGGTTTGTTCTATCGGCAATGTTTGCTTGGAGGAGCAGCTCCTGCGCAATTTTACGGAAGAATTGCTCAAGCGCGACGCTTTTCTTTGGGCCTGTTTCTCAGCACCTGGTGCATTGATCTGTGGGCTGACTGTGGTGGAATTTGAACTTTTTTGAGTTGAAGATTCGCACTGTGTTGCTTGTAGGTGTTCTATGGCCACCTTTGCATTCTTTACGAATCTCGGCTTTTGAGAAGGCTTGCATTTTGCGAGGATCCGAAGCTATAGAAGATGGATGAAGATCGTATTTCTGATGCTTTCTGGATCTTTCTGACTAGCCTTCAAATTCAATTAAATCATGTCTCCGGTCTACAAGAGTTCCAAGAAGATTCTGGTTGCTTCCTTCACGACGAACTTCACCATTCTCAGGTAATCGCTGCAAGTTGCTACGCGCAAACCGGGGTCACCTCTACGACAGTGGACGTTGACCTACACTCAAAGCAAGCGCTACGTGGAATTTCCCCAGGCGCACGGGGACGCAGGGAGGTTTGCGACTGATGATTAGCGCGTTGGAGCAAGAGTGGATTTATTTAGTGGATTTGCATTGACTGAGGTTAACAGCAAGCAGCCCGCAAAGTCGAGCCTGTTGAACAGACACAGACGCGCTGATGCCCATTTGGGTATATACCCAACAGATTTCAAAGGGGCCATGGAATGCGCATCTCCTAGCCATATCTTCAATGCCGAGCACAAAGTTGGCTCATGGTGCTTTGATGCGTTTTCTGGATTGCCTAACTCGCTGAAAAATGGATGGCAGCCTTCAAGGCACCTGAAGTATCCTGAAGTATCCTGAAATGCCAGTGATCAACAGCGATTTCTCCCTTAGAGCAGCCTGACCCCACGGGTGACTTCCAACGGCTCTTTTGAGGTCGTGGGGAAATGAACTGGCAGGTGGCGATAGCTCTTTGGCTTGATGTCGGCAGCTGTAACAGGTGTTGCCGCAGTGTTGCCACAATAAATAATTCACATCCTGCATTGGTATTGGATGTATTGGCGCCCAAAGTGTTTGTATAGCTTAAAGTATGTTGGTTGTTGTATGTTGTTGTATTTGTTGTGTTCCAATTATCTCCAGTTGAGGTTCACATGTGAAAGATCAACTTCACGATTCTGTTTCGCGTGTCTTTGGCACAAGCGCTGCTTTCGCCGCCGTGAAGAAAGATGGATCCGCCAGGCTCTCAGTGCATCGCCGAAGCGTAATAAAGTCAATAAAGCCTCGGAAGTGTTTTATTTTTTTCAAGCATTGATAGCTTTCAATTACAGTATATACATGGCTGTTCTTTTTGGCTACGAATTTAGGTGTTGAGTGTAGTGAATTGATGCCTCGCAAACTCCTTTTCACAGCCTCCTGTCATTTTGCCGCTTTGGTGAGGTGGTGACATGGGGTGACCCCAATGCAGGCGGCTGCAGCCCCTTGCCAAAAGCTTTCTTGTGTGTTTTGGCTGTAGAAACTAAGCCTCCAGAAAGCCGCTTGTCATTCATTCAGCACCTCAATGACCCAAGATCCCAAGGCAATGCAGTGAAAGATCGGCTTCATGACGTGCAGGCGACATTGGCCCACAGTGTATACTAGCCTTGCCCAGGAATTGCGAGAGACGGGTACCGTATTTAAAGCTGCATTTTGGTAAGCTTCACCGATTAATTGCATGAGCACACATCCACTGCGTGATGCAGTCAACGTTCGGAGCAAAGAAAACGACCGACTGGTGGTAGCTGTTGTAGTGCAAAGTCGTGGTGCAGGATATTTATGCAAGCCATGCAGCATTCGCAGCCATTCGAAAAGATGGCTCGGCTTGGGGCACAGGTTTCGTGATGATTTCTAGTTGGGTTGAGACATTGGTTGGAATACACGCCACAATCCATGCCTTCACTAAGGTTGTTACCTGGGGAAGCCCAGTGTATGGAGGAAACAGCAGCTGTGTTCAAGATGAACTTTCCTCAGGCTGCTGGTAGCCTCCTCTCAAAATCTCTCAAAGTCTAGCCAACTGTAAGCTGCCTCAGCAAGAAGACTCGCAAAACACGTGCGGTTCAATCTTGTCGGCTGCATTGTTTTGGAAACTGCTTGGACTTCATTGCTCCGCATGATCCAAAAGCAGATGCTATCATCGCAGGCGTCGTACGGATTTATGCTGCGGAGTGTGCCTTTGCGGCTGTGAAGTGCGACGGCACTTTGGTTACGTCTTTTGGCCCTCAACATTGGCGGTTGACAGATGGAGCACTGGGATGTACTATGATTGTACTATGTGTCAGCAGAGCAAGCAGCATTAGACGTGGACCGAGTTTCATGGACACCTCGCAAGTTTGCAACATGTTACATCAATCCCAACTGATCCCAACTGATCCCAGCTGACCGTCATTGATCCATCATGAATCATCATCCACCTAACATCCAGATACCACATCCCAAAAATGATGATTTGGAGACCTACAGGACCTACAGTCCAAATGCATGCAAAGGCTTTGCCTTGGCCAAGGTGGGGATATCCCCGATATGGCGGCAACTGTGAAGCTATCCGCCATCAGCTGGTAGCAGAGGTGTTGAGAGCCTCCTCTGCCTGTTGTACACCAAGATGAGGGGCCTGGTGCTGGGGCTGGGGCTGAAATCAGCCATACGTTGGCACAACAGCAGGCTCTTTGGTCACACCATTGTTGTTCCACACTGCTTTATTGACCCGTCATTGCTGACCAAAGTGTGACAGTGAGGGAAAAAGGGGTTGGCCATATTTCGTTATCCTTGATGGAGTTGAAAGCTTGCAACAGTCACTAACAGTCCTTGCATTTTTTTTGGGGGGGGGTTGCTGAGACGTAATGAACTGTAATGAATTGTAATGAGCACAGAGGACATGGTAGCTCACAACACAGAGATTCACTGGCAGATACCGGCAGATTGCCACATGATTGCAGCAGTTGCAGGCAATTTTGCACGAGCAAGTCGTACTAGAAGCAAGGGATGATGCAAACCTCCAATCTCATGGTTGAAACTTGAAACGGATTTCCCCGTTTTATCTTATGCTTTATGCCAGGTATGCCAAAACCCGTATTCCGTTAATCACGCAGAGGGCTGGGACATGCTGGGACATACTTTCCAGATCTTTCCAAAACCGTGCCTCCTTCAATCGCAGTTCAAGCTGCAGAGAAGGGCCAAGATATGCCAAGATCATATTTTTTCCAGAGATGTCGGATGCAATGGAGATCAATGGAGCAAGTTGGGTGGATTCGAAGGCTTAGATGCTGTCGGCAGCTTAGACGTGGTTGACTTCTGGAACAACACAGCTGCTTCATAATGAGCACATCATTGGCATTACTTGTGTCTGGGATCAATCATCCTTCATCATGCTGGATCATCCTGGATCCTGAAATGTCAATGAGACAATTCTACATTGAGCTGCGGCAGCTATGTGCATGTCACATGCGCAAAGAATATTAAATAATGGAACATGTGAACGTACAAGGTACGATAAATGATACATGGGCGATTGAATTTGGTCCCATGTACATAGTGTTTTCATCAAAGGTTGCTCCATGCAAGCTTTGGCTCATGCTTGCTCAGTTATCTTCCGCTACAAATAGGTGCTAACTTCCATGATAGTTTCCCACAAGCTTGGCTGATACCTATTGAATGACAAGAAGAAGCAACAATCGTAGAAAACAATGACAATACAAATTGATGAGACGTCTCACGCCTTTTCATATGGCTTAACATGAGAGCAGTTCCAGCCAAAAAGAGTTGAAGAAGGTCGTTGAATGTGTTTGCGACCAAACCTGGCCAGTTGCCATCTCCTGGTTTTAGCCATGGACTCCTGGCTGAAAGCTGCCCGGGAGCAAGCTGCAAAGATCGGACCTTTGACGGAATTGGATGGAATTGGTAGAAGCCCATGATGGGTGTAGATTTGATTTCTGCAAACTTTTTTTTCTTGCGCAATGACGCAATGATAATGACATTTTGTTGCCAGAGTCTTTTCGTTCACGCGCGGGCCTCTCTACACCTGGTCAGCTGAGGAGAGGACATCCAGAAGCAAGCGATTCTGCTGGCAGAGGATGCTGGAAAAGACGGCAAACGTGAGTTCTTTTTCGGCCACTTGGCTGGTTTGACCAACAGCAATCTACCAGTTCCATTGCTGTCGAACTTCGCGCTGGACCTTAGGAGAAGGTCCCTTGGGCTTTGAGCTCGATGGAAGCTTGGCTGAGCTCTTGCTGCTGGCATAGCACTTTGAGGAAGTGCTGCTATGTCATGCTATATGTAAAGTGATGTTAATCAACAAGTATTATGGCAACTATAGCATACTATAGACTATAGATCTATATATATATATATCTATATAACTTATCTAAGCTAATCTCGGATGCTTTTGATTTTCACCACAACACACACTGCATCACATTGCGGCACCTGCGCTTCAGCTGTGACCTGCAGGTGTATATGTTGCTGTCGTTGATCCCGATGGCCAAGCAGAGCAGCTTGGAGTACAGACAGGATCCGCTCCAACTCCTGGGGGCACTTGCCCAGTCCTGGCCCCTTGTGAGTACGTCTGCTGACCTTGAAATCATGAAACAATGGTTTTGCCATGTTTTTAGCATGTTTTGCCCAGAAGCAGTGAGCAGGTAAAGGAATGATTGAAGCAAACGTTCTTGAAATATGTTGCAACTCACTTGAGCCTCGAAAATGTCAGGAGACAAGCTAGTTTCCATTGCAGGCGCGGCGGAATATGCAGAAGAATAAGTGGTTGCGATTGGCTAACCGCAAGTATCCAGAACTATATAGTTATGATATGTTATGATCGATCATATTGAAATAAACCATATTTCCTATATAGCTCTTACTGTTCGTAAGAGCTAAGGCTACGTCATTCCAGAGAACCCCAAAGAGGAATCTGTCAAAAGATGGCCGACAGCTCAGTGGCGAGCACAGAGCAGTGCATTTCGGTACGCTTGGACCCAGTTCCGGTGCTGTGGTGATGGTTTGCATGCACATGTTTGCACAGTGGTCAGAGCAAGTTCTTTGCGCTTCGATGTTGCATCAAAGGGCATTGAAGTGTTGATTCCATCATGAATTCCATCATGAACTGCCCATGAAGTTCCCCGGTCAGTGGATGTACTCATTGATGTCATCATGTTCTGCGGCCACTCTTTAGACGAAGCCAACGACGCACAAAATGACCAAGGCTTGACGAAATGATTCGACCTGGAACATTGATGTAGCCCAGCACAGATGTGGCACATGGAGGATTTGATTGTTGGAGTTCACATCTATGGACTATATTGGACTATGGGATTCTATGGCTAATTCTCCGAGGGGTGGGATCAGTTTTTTATTGTTTTTTATTAGAGTCTATGAAATGACCCTCTAGATTCAAACCAATCATTCCGCAATTTGATGCTTATGCAGCTTATGAGGGTATCTCCAAAACTTAGCATATGTTGTGGATAGTTTGCCTTTTTTGGGGGGCATGGCGCGAATATGATGGTCATAGGCTGTTGGTTTTGGCCTGCATTGTGGATGTTTGGTATGTCTTGGTCTTACTCATTTCCTGAGCCTGAGAGGACCTGTCGTGGCCATGTGTTGCCTCTCAGGTTTTTCTCTGAAGCACCGAAACCTGGTGCCCCAATTTCAACAACTGCAGTGGTATTTCCAAAAGAGTCCGACACTGCAGAGCCTTGGATTTTCACATAGTCGAAGCCACGAATCTGACCAAAGTAACACACTTGAACTTTGATGTTGCGCATCTCACTTCAAGTTGAAGATATGCCATCAACAATGAGTGAGAGATAGAGAGACAGAGAGAGCAGTGATGAAGTCTTCTGAAGGAATCCGGTTTGGTGGGCTTTGACGAAGAAAGTTGGAAGGACGATCTTGCTTCGCCAACTGATCTGCAGGAGGACTGGTATACGGAGTGTGAACTTACCTGCATAGTCACCATAGGCTCAAATCTCTCATCCGATGTGCTCCTCTCATGCTACTCCAGCAATGTGAGTCTCACAGAATCATACAGAATCATTCTACACTATGCAGTTTTTGTATGTCTTTGTTTGTCTTTGTATGTCTTTGTATGTCTTTGTAGCATTGCCGAGCCACTTGTTGCTGTGATTTCGTGGATCTCACAGGACGCAACAGCTACCCCTGCCGTTCCGGAGCTTCCAGAATCGATGATGGGGGAGGTCGCTGAAGTCACATTCGACCAACAAATGAATTCGTGCCATTTCGTGCCATAAAAAGAGATTCCTGCAGGCTACCAAATGTACAACCAAGATTCATCAACATTCATCAACATTCATCGACTCTAATATATTATGACTCAAATTATGACTATCATCACTGCCCCATCCAAACCCAACCATCAAAAACGACAAGGCAAGGCTCCGCGCGGAACTTTATGCTGCTCGTGATGAGGTACGCTCACTTCAGAGAGACTTTGGTAGCAGATTCTGTCGTGCACGGCACGGCTGTAGGACGGATATCAATTCTTTAGCTGCTTGGTGTGGTGAAACCACGTGACAGATTGTGACAGTCAATATGTTTTTGATGTTTTTGATGTTCAGCCATCTTTGGGTGGATGATCCCCAGAGACTTATCCTTTTCAGATGCTTTGACACATTTTGAAACCACCAATGAGTTTATAGGTGGATGAACGCGTAGCTTTCCATAAACCTTTCAGAGAGCGTGTCCGAGGAGAGCTTGAGGACTGCAAAGCTGAATGTCAAGGGCTTCGGCAATTCCAAGCTGAGAAGGTGGGAATGGTGGGATCATCTAGCATTGTTCAACATCCCCATGAGTAACCCATCATCATCTATAGAATCTATAGCAACCCCAAACAGATAGAAAAACAACATAAAACAACCATTATCATCTATAGAAACCCCCAAATCCATCCAAATCCCCGACTAAGATGATATTGATATCTAATAATAGTACTGTAAATGTAAATAATAAAAGACTATAATATTTGTTCTATTTTGTTGGGTGTTTACTAACCGTTGCGTTTTATCACGGAAGCCCCACCAAGGCCGCTGGCAGCGTGACTGAAGCCATGTCGGAGCAGCGCCTGCAGCGGCTCAATGAACAGCTTACCGCAGCACGAAAAGAGGCAGAGGTCAGCCATGGTCTGATTGGATGAAGTGAGGAACGAGGAACTCATCGGAGGTTTCTTAAGTCATGGCGGATTTTCTCATGGTCTGATGACGATGATTTGGGGTCACCCCATTTTAGGAGACCATCAAATGGCCATTTCTAGATCCATTTCTCTTATTCTTTACTCTGGTGAGATGCATAGGGTATCATTAGTATATGACGAATGCATAGTTAAGATGATATTTGATTTGAAAGATGGTGATGAGTTCTTTGCTTCTGGCCATGCTACTTTAACAAAGATGTATAATATCCTGGTGGTGTTTTGCCATGCAAGCTACTGGGATTGGGTTTTCTACCAGAACCCTTTGCCGCCGAACATACAGGTTTGTCTGAGGGAAACAACGATACCCCCAAATTTGATGGTTTGTCATCATCTCCACAATTGAACTTGAATAATTTTTGTAGGTATAACGGTATAACTTAACTAATTTTAAGTCACATCTAATATGTGTCAGTATTGGATTTCTTGTTGTTTATTCCATACGTGGGCACGCATGGGCCACCCCAGACAGTTGCATTGCCCATGGTTGGTTTGTCCTGGTCATGTTAGGTGGCCCGTGGACGATGCCGTCAGCTTCAGGTGCAGTTTCCAGTCGTAACACGAGTTGAGGATTTGAGCCGTACATATCGCATACCTCGTGACATGACAGCAAAAGCAGGGTAGGTGAAACAAGGGTCTCTTTTTGTGTTGAGTAGATGTCAAATATTATTTTAAAGGGATATATAGTGGCTTCATGCTTAGGTTGAGGAAACCATCCCCCATCAGATATCTATCAGAGGCATGCGAACCTGGCAGGCACAGCTGGACAAAATGTCCAGCCAGTGCGATGAGCTTCGCAAAGAGTCCGCACAGAATGAGGACTGGAAACAGCGGCAGGCTTGATTCAGCAGGTGCAAGAGTTGATTCATGTTGGTCCCAAAGTCTGCCAAACCATGCAAAAACAATGAATTTGTTAAGGGTTAGCTATAGATGCTATAGTTGCATGTGATGGCCGGTGATGGGATCTTATTTATTTTGGTGAATTTCGGATAAGATGAACCCATGAATGATGAAAGGGTGATTCCAATCTCCTGCTACAGGGATTGCTTTGAGCACCAGGGACACCCTGCCTCTCAGTTGTGAAAGTTGGTGATAGGACCGTGCAAGGGAAGCAATGGAAGGCAGAGAAAAGGTTCTGGTTGAAGAGGCCACGCGAAATGCGGCCACATGCTTTGACCATTGATGTTTTTGATTTGTAGATTCAACTCGACCTGACGTCGCTGTTTGCATAGATTTCTAAACCGTGCGGATTGACTCGCACCCTCTGTCCATAGCACTTCCTCCTTCTTCGCCTGCTAATCATGTTAGGGGACTTTGGATGACTTTGGCATTTTGCCGGGAGGGTGTTCTCATGTGTTCTCTATGTTTTTAGAGATTCATAGATATGTTTGAACATGTTTGAACCATACGGATCCATACGGGATATGGAAGAGCTTGTTTCCAAACAGAAGGCAGGTACCCAGCCTCCTTTGAACTGTGACTTCTTCCCCGCTAACCTCAGGTGGAAAGGCTCAGGGAGACCATCCACAACTTGAAGACAGAGCATTTCGATAGCGACTTGGCACTGCTTGGCTGACTTGGCAATGAGACTTACGGCGTACTTACGGGTCACCACAGCTTGATGCGGCTTGAATTGATCAAAAGGAGTCATTGGGATTTTTGTTGGCAAGGCTTGCGTTCCGTTGAAGTGGAGGTCCGCAATGGTCAGGACAGCACTAGGGGACCTGAGATTGGGAGTGTTGACAGAGCTGTAACGGAACTGTTCGATTTTTTTATGGTTGTTTTTCCTTCTTTTTTCTTCCAATTAATGATTTTTATGATGTACCAGGACCTTAGGCAGTTTTTTTTTTCCGCAACTTTCAAGTACATTTCCGCAATTTCCACATCAAAACATACTTACCAGGACAAAATTGAGGAGATGGAAAAGCGACTTGCACAAGCAGGCAAAGATAAGAGTGAGGTCGTTCCATGACAGAAAAGTGTTGTGGAAATTTGTGGCTAGTAGGCTCTGCGAGAAACAGCACGCGATCAATGACTCTGCAAGTCAATGAGTCAAGTCTTTGTACCCCAACCGCAAACAAACGCTCTACTGCAAAGTCCGCATGTTGAAATTGAAAAACCATGAGTATCAATTTGGGGGTTCATTGCTGAGTTTCATTCCCAGCTGGTATTGGTTGAGTGACCGGGTTGAACGGGTCCACCTCCACCTTACCCCCGCAACGTCTTCTGCACTAAGGAACGTTTGGTGCAGGAGTCCGTTACTCGTGAGATGACCGCAGAGAAACAGGCCAGCTGACACAAATAAAGCAAGCTCTCGGTGGCAAGTACAGCAAGGTAGCGGTATGATGTTATTATATATATATAAACATAATACATATGATTATATACACTTATTATGATTATATACACTTCTTAACATAATAATATATATGATTATATAATATATACACTTATTATGATTGCATACACTTATTATCATTATCGTACTATCATTATCATACATGATGTGGACCGGTGTGGATTTTGGTAGGGTAATTATTATAACATAATTTTATTATGATGATACACTGGTACATCATGTGGAAGAATCTGAATAATAGGCCATTCATTGAACAGTGAGATAGATACCCGCAGACGTCAAGTTCTCCGACGAGATTGTGGCCCGGGTGGAATATGCCATATGCCCAGAGTTCCGAATTTACCCAGCGTTGGACATAGCTCCGGAGAAATTGCGCTCAGATTGGACTCAGATGCATCAGATGAAGATTTGCAAAAGGTGTTGAGAAGGAAGATTCAGCAATGGAAGGTAAATTGGAGGAGTTCCCTGCCATTCTTTCAAACTATGGCGAAGGCAAAGCTTGGCCGTTTAGCAGTGCGGATGGTGGATTTCTTGCGAGATCAGCGAGTGCAGCTTGCAGCCCACCATGTTAGTATTGCGATGGGCGCATGTGGCGGGGGTTGGCAGCTGGCTCTTCATTTGCTGTTTTCTGCCTTGAAAGTGTCACCGGAAAGTGTGGATGATGTCGTGTACAACTCTGCAATCAACGCATGTAAAGTTGCTGGCAAGTGGGAAGCTGCAGTGGGACTGATATATGCGATGTCTTCTCACAGCATGGCATGCAATGCACGAAGCTGTAGCACGGCGATCAGTGCTTGTGAAAAGGCATGCGAATGGGAAAACGCATTGTCTCTCCTTGGATCTTTGAAATCCTTGTCGGTGCAAGCAGAGATTTTTAGCTACACTGCAGCCATCAAGGCATGTGCTGGCGCAGCACATTGGACAAGAGCATTGTCTCTGTTTCAGACACTTTCCGACGGGGGAATTGTTCCAGCTGAAGTCACCTATAATACTGCCATTGCAGCGTGTGGTAATGGGAGCCAGTGGCAAAGAGCGGTTCAAATTTTGGACACTGCAATTCAGGATGGCATTTGCACTGCTGTGACTTACAATGCGGCGAGTTTTGCTTGTGGAGAAGCTGGAGCCTGGAGAATCTCTTTGTTGCTTCTTGAACAGATGCAGCAGCAGCGGGCCCTAGATGGTGCAACCTTCAATACAGCTATCACCAATTGTGGTCGGAATTCTCAGTGGCAGAAGGCTCTGGCTTTGTTCGCGCAAGTTTCTGCTTCTGGAAAGATGGACAAAATAACCCTGGCAGCAGCAATATCAGCTTGTGACATGGGAGGTCAGTGGCAAGCTGCAAGCCTTTTGCTTGAAGAGGCTATCGACAGAGGCTTGCTCACACCGCAGTGCTTCACATCAGCAATTAGCGCATGTGAAAGACAGTGGCAAGAAGCACTTCATTTGTTCACCTACATGTCCCAGCTCATGGTGCGGCAAGGCTTCAAGAGTTACGGAGCAGTGATCAGTGCCTGTTGCCAAGCGGATCGTTGGGACATGGGACTTGCACTGTTGATGAATATGTTGGAACAATCTGTGACACCGGGTGGCTGCCATGTGGGCTCACTCGCAGAGTCCCTGACAAGAACGCTAGGTCCAGAGGTCACCTATGATTTGCTGCTGCATTTCCGTCAACGTTGGCAGTCACAGACACGGATGGACGAGGATACCACTACCCGCAGCGCATCACAGCTAGCAGACATCAGTGAGCCAAGGATTCTGAAGATCGGATGCTCCATTGTCGCTATTGCAAAACCATCAGGGACTCGTACGGAGACCATTTTTCAAGACTTCCAAGAAGCTGTAAGGCGTAGAGGATATCCGCGCTGCTCCTTGGTGTCACGATTGGATCTTCCAACTTCTGGAGTGCTCCCGGTGGTTTTGGACCATCCGGATTCAGCAGCAGCAGCCTGGTACCAGTCCTGTTTTGCTGGCCGCTTAGTCAGCAAGGACTATCTTTGCCTATGCGAGGGTGAAACATTAGGTCCAATAGGCACCAAAGATGACATTTCCGTGCCGCTCATCACACGGCAACTTCCAGATGGTGGTATCCTTGCCATGGCTTCCAAGGAGGGTCGCGCGGCTAAAACGGAGTACGAAGTGTTGAGAAGATTTCACTCAGAGAATCAGAAAGACGAGCTGATCTTGCTTCAGGCGCATCCTCTTACAGGAAGGACTCACCAAATTCGAGTACACCTGGCTGAGATTGGAAGACCATTGGTGGGTGATGCCACTTATGGATCAACCTCTTTGAAGTGTCCTCGCCTCTTCCTGCACTGTCAACGAATTTCGCTGCCGGACTTTGCAGGGCATCATTTTTCAGCCGTGGCAGATCTGCCGCTGGATCTGGAAGACCTACTGTCAGTGCTTGATGAAATTGATGCTGAATGAGATTGAGTCAGAAAAAGTCAACGCCACTTACCGGCTTTTGAGCTCACCATGTGTGAGATGTGTGTTGGCACTGTTACAAAGCCGACTGGAATGCAATTTGGTGTCCATCTATTAGCTGCTAATAGCTGTCATTATCTATCCTTAGCAAGTAAAATACTGATGTTGCACACTTTTTTCAAATGAACTGGATGGTCATGGTTGGTGATTCGTATCAGTTGCTGCTTATAAACCTTCTTAATATCATCTCAGAATCCAATATCAACTATAGTAGGGGGTACTAGATATGATTGTTTAAGCATGTTTAAGCTGTAAATATTGTTTGAAGGAGGGCATGCCCCTATAGAAATGACAATCCCTTGAATTGATACATCTTGGTGCATCATTTGTCGGCGTCATCCATGCCATCAGGCAGACATTGCCCGGAAGGAGCTGTGCAAGCTGGAGGCATGCCACATGAGCGAGGCCAGGTGAGAAAGAGGAAACGCCATGCATCAAGGAAAATGCACAAGGATACATGCGAGATCATGCGAGCAGAGGAACGATAGATATTCATTGCAACCATCTATGGCCACATTGGACATGAGGCATGATAAGGCTTTCAAATGTGCACTAGTGAGTCACCAGTGCATAGTAATATACCAGCTGGTTGACACTGGAGTGACACCACAGATGCCCGGAGCTGGCAGGTTTCAAGCTTACAAGCACGCTACGACCGGCAGGTTGGCGATCTGCAGCGGCGCAACCTGGTTTGAACATATCGTGGTGTCTCTTCAAGACGCCACTGGAAAGTATTTGAATAATTGGTGACATCTGAATCTAAAGTGCTCTTGAAATCTTGTGATCATATGTGAAGAGCCTTGATTTGCTAGAACAACGCTGTTAAAGAAGGGATGATGAAGTGGCTCTGTCATGCATTTCTCGACGTGAGGCATTGAAGAGTTGGAGACTGAAAAGGCTGAGAAGAAGCTGAGTTGTCAACATCAAATCTGGTTGGGATGAACCCGTTCAATTTATAATCAATTCGGGGTCAATGGATATACCTTATTGATTTCTATTCTGCTCTACTTATACTTTATACTGTATAGTCTACTTAGTATAGATATGTATAGATCATCATCGCATAGACTCATACATCACATAGCCATTTCTAGCCCCTACTATGAGAGTGCACCCATGTGATCGTGCCAGCCCATGTCCCGGAAAAATCGGAGGCAAGCACCGCAGAAGCCGCAAAAGTTGAAGCATCTGAAGAACGGGAGAAGGCCATGGTGTGGCATCGCCATACATGGCGTAGTTCATGGCATATCACCCTCTATGATGCCCCACGTCGATCCAAAAGGAAGCAGTGTGGAACACTGCAGGACAATCAGAACAATGCAGAACAATGCCGAACAATGACAGAAACTTCAAGGGTTAGACACCACATTTGATTCCTTTTGAGAAACTTTGCCTCATCGTATGTCTTCTATGTGATGCTGCCAGCCACATGCGCAGATTGTGTAGGCCTCGCACGGCTGGTGGATTCATCATGGAATAAGGTAGATCATGGATTGGTCACCTATTGTCGATGGCCGTATATCTATAGATAGATAGATAAATAGATAGGATAGGATAGATAGATAGGATAGATAGATATATAGATAGATAGGATAGGATAGTATAGGATAGAATAGATAGATAGATAGATAGATAGGAAAGGATAGATAGATAGGATAGGATAGGATAGGATAGGATGGAAAGATAGATATAGATAGATAGGATAGGATAGGATAGGATAGATAGGATAGGATAGGATAGATAGATAGATAGGATAGGATAGGATAGGATAGGATAGGATGGAAAGATAGATATAGATAGATAGATAGGATAGGATAGGATAGATAGATAGGATAGGATAGGATAGATAGATAGATAGGATAGGATAGGATAGGATAGGATGGATAGATAGGTAGGATAGATAGATATATAGATAGATAGGATAGGAAGGATATGATAGGATAGGATAGATAGATAGATAGATAGATATAGATAGATAGATAGATAGGATAGGATAGGATAGATAGATAGGATAGGATAGGATAGGATAGGATAGGTAGATAGATAGGATAGATAGGATAGATAGGATAGATAGATAGATAGATAAATAGATAGATAGATGGATGGATAGGATAGGATAGGATAGGATCGGATAGGATAGGATAGGATAGGATAGGATAGGAAGATAGATAGGATAGGATAGGATAGGATAGGATAGGAAGATAGATAGGATAGGATAGGATAGATAGGATAGGGTAGGATAGGATAGGATGATAGATAGATAGATAGATAGGATAGGATAGGATAGATAGATAGATAGATAGGATAGGATAGGATAGATAGATAGGATAGGATAGATAGATAGGATAGGATAGGATAGGATAGATAGATAGGATAGGATAGGATAGGATATAGATAATAGATAGATCTATATCATATAGATAGTAGATAGATATAGATAGATATAGATAGATATAGATAGATATAGATAGATGTAGATAGATATAGATAGATATAGATAGATATAGATAGATATAGATAGATATAGATAGATATAGATAGATATAGATAGATATAGATAGATATAGATAGATATAGATAATTATAGATAGATATAGATAGATATAGATAGATAGATTAGATAGATAGATAGATAGATATAGATAGATATAGATAGATAGATAGATAGATATAGATAGATATAGATAGATATAGATAGATATAGATAGATAGAGATAGATAGATAGATATAGATAGATAGATGGATAGATAGATAGTAAGTATTTAAGTAAGTAAATAAGTAAGTAAGTAAGATAGATCTATGATATACATTGGCATAGATATATCCAGTTGCCCAGTCTTGGAGGATGGTGAGGAGGCCCCGGCTGAGCCCAGCCCAGTTGCTGGTGGGAGCTTCGACACTGTCGAGGACGGTCCACAGGTCGTGCTATGATGGGAACCGTTCCATGCTGGTCAGCTATGTAACATATATTAACATATTATAACGTTATATATAATATATAATACAGTAAACTATAGTACATATAAATAAATATATATATATATAAATAACATAGCTTTCTCATGTAGTCTTTGGACTATCCAGCTTGGCTGGTTCATGTTGGGAACATGGGATCATGAACTTTCAGGATGTCGGGGAGCTACACTCGCGTATTCACGTCCTGGAAAATCAGTGCATCAGACTGCAGACACTTGGACGCACAGATTTTAAGGAACACATAAATCACAGAAAAACTACATTTGCATACATTTGCGGCTTTAGTTTGTATGTTGTCCAATTTCGTTATTTGGGGACTAGCATACCTCCAAGGATGAGCATGTAAGTTTCGATAGTGGAGGTTTGCTCAGTGTCGGTGGCAGAAACCCAAACAACGACCGTCCTTTTGGTGATTCGAGAGGTGCTCTGGATCCTGGCTTTTCCTCACCGGGGAAAAATAAGAAATTGAAAGTTGAGGCTGCAAATGGAACCTCAAAGCATAGATTTGGATGGAAATGAGGCTACTATCGGAAACCAGATCGTTGATTTATTTCTAAGTTGGAAGTCATCCCAACAAGTAGATCAATTATAGGTCCCATATGGTCCCATCAACTGAAAGTCATGGATGGTTTTTGTTTCTCTCAGAGCGCAGGAAGAAGCTGACGGCACGGCCAGTGGTCTACCAGACCCCTGGCGCCAACCGACGACGGGCCGCCAACCTGGCCCGCACCACTGGGATGGTGGGCGTCGTGCGAGACATCGTGGTGCCTGGGTTGCTGCCATGGCAAACAGGGAAAAAATTGAAGATGACCATGTGATATATTGTGATATATATGTGATATATCATGTGTGTCATTTGCGACTCACTATTCCAGGTTTGGTTCATCACTCTCAACTGTGTAATTTGTCTTACTGTTGTTTGAGAGTTCCACCGACTGATTGCCGGTCCAATGGTGCACCCAAGCTGTCTACACCAATGGTCCAACAGCAGTTCTTGCACCATTTCAGTTGAACCTTGATGGTACCATGTTCTACCTGGTAGTACCTCATTACTTCTTAGGAAGAGCTGCTGCGAAACTTCACTGAACGTTTGCTTCTGCACGATGCGTTTCTTTGGGTCTTGCCCTCAGTGTTTGTAGCATGGCTCGTCTGCAGAGTGTGGCAGTGCGGGTCACACACATCCTAAGATGTCCTAAGAAAACAGTTGCACTGCAGCAGTCCGCACATGTCCCACATGCACAAAGAGTTTCACAGTCCATTCCCAACGCAGTTTCTTTCTGTGTGCTACTACTGTAGGTATTCTACGGCCACCTTTGCGTGCTTTACGAACCTCTGCCCAATTGTCAATATATTTTTCTTTTGAATTGTTAGAACCAGAGATATTGCGTGCTTCGATGTTCTCAGTCAGCGTGCCATTCCGTTTTAAATGCAGAGCTATGAGAGGATCACGTTTAGCAGAAAAGTTATTTTCTGGACGCTTCAGACTTGGTCTTCCTTTGCTGGTGATTGATCTATGTGGAATGATGTTGGATGCAACTGATTGAACTTCATCGAACTTCTCTTGCCTTACTTGTAGCATCATTGTATTGAACTCAGAGGTTTGTGGCACAATGTGGGTTTGTTGCTGTTGCTGTCCATTCTTGGTTCATTGATTTCACAGGTGATCGCTTCAAGTTGCTATGCACAAACTGGAGTCACTTCGTCAACAACGTTGGACATTGACCTCCACTCAAAGCAAGCTTTGCGTGGAATTCCCCCAGGCTGGGCGCGCAATGAAGTGCTTTGAACATTGGGTTCGTGCCTGTTTTGTACTAAATGGATCTAAATGGCACTAATTATATACATGTTCCATCATTTTCCCTAACCAGCTGCTGTCTACAGATTTTGCAGTGTTTCGAGTTGCATTGTTAGTTGACTGAACTTTCCACCAGCCATCGGGTGGCGAACTATCCTTGCGGGCTGAGGTTAACAGCAAGCTTCCCATTGCCCATGCAATGGACATGGGAAAGCCAGGATTTGTTTCGCAGACACAGACGCACGAGTGCAGTTTAGCTGATTTCAAAGAGGCGATGGAATGCCCATCTCCTATCACAGCCATACCCTCAGTGCCGGGCACAAAGTTGGCTCTGGCGCTTCTCGATCGCCTGACACGCTGGAAAATTGTCAATCTTGCCGCCCAGCCCAGACAGACGAGATGCCGTTTTGCTCACCTCGTAGATTTTGGGATATTTTGGTCCGCAAAGAAGGTTTCGTCATGAAGAAATGACATGACTTGGTAATTAAATTTCGTCATTTCGTGTGACCTGAAAGTGCTTCTTTGCAGCTTCAGGTCGATGGGAGAAGCTGCTGACAACGGTCTTGGGGCAAAGGCAAGAACTAGGTGTGAAATGAGGGGATAACAGAAGTCATACAGAAGTCATGTAAGGACCCCGGATTGCAGTTGGACATGGCATTTCTCAAGCCATCCCAGCTAATTAACTCTGATCCAGATTCATGTTGCCATTCACCAACTCTAATTAACAATTAACAAAAGCTTGTTGATGACGTGCGCACTATACAGTATTACTTGCTACTTGTGATTTGTCCATATTTGTCCTATGTCGAGGCTCTGTCATGCTGATATGCTACATTGCATACTGTATCACCTGACTCTTTGTACTTCTCGGCCGGTAGATGACTCTTGGGTTCGACTCGTGCAAGGTGAAAGATTAAAAAAGGATCCGCTGGTCGTGGAGGGGAAAAAAGGCTTTGGTCCAGGTTGCTGGGACTATAGTATCAGATATGATATAGATAGATACAGTATTAGTGTGCTTTAAGAACATTCAGAAGTCAGCGCACTTGGCTGATTTTGTTGAGAAGTCAGCATGATTCCAGATGGGAATCCTCCAAATAGATGCAAGAGACACGTGGAAACCAGATGAAACCAGATAGTCAAGCAGTCAAATGAAGGATGCACGCATCGATCCAGACTGTTGACTGCTGCTAGCCTTTGGGCTCCTGATAATCAAGCCGCAAGTCATGCTGATGTGGAAGAAAGAAGAATGTTGATCCACAGTGATCTCATCACCCAGTGGCTTTCACAAACAAACATGTAGCAATCAACTCAAAGAGTCTTGAAATTGGTCACTTGTCATCCATCTAGGCCCTCCATTTTGCATACGGGCCATTGACGTCTGCGGGAAGGTTGTGCTGTTATATGCCGTCGTCCTGTGAGTGGCAATTCTGCGGAGATGCGAAGGCCATCAACCGCTATGGCTGGAAGCGCCTCTGCCAGGAATGCTGCCACGAGGCCTTGGACATTTTCTCTCGAGCCATCGAGCTGGATCCGAACTTCGCAGAAACCTACAATAACCGCGGCATTGCTCGTAGAATCGCAGGTGCTAAAGGTGCCTCAGACGACGAAGATGTGGCTGATGCCTTGACTATGCATGATCTTGAAGTCCAGAACAGGTTGCGACAGCAGCGGAAGTGGATGTCATCCACTTCCGCTGCTGTCGCAAAATGTGTGTCGGCTGCAACGCACGAGGAGAACCTGAAGGCGAGAAACTTGCGACCCGGGCGGATTTTCTGATCTCCTTTGCCAGCCCGGACAGAGAGGAAAACAATGGAAAACAATCGGATCCTCCACGAACTCAAGGGGGGAGTAACCTATGGTGGAAGTCTTCGCTTCTTTCTGTCAAGTCAATACAGGAATCCAATCGAATAATATCGAATATACCTTTTGAAAAGGGCGTGCCGTTGCAGTTCAATGTGTTGTCTTTTTTGGACCTTGGCCCTTTTGGTTCACGCATTTCTAGATCAAAAGGACCTTCCCGGGGCTTTGTGATGCTTTGTGTATGTTTTTAGCAAATATTATTCACATGACATGTTTGAGCGACTGAGGACCGGTGACCTTCTGCACCGACAAGTCGACGAGACGCTGGAACCCGATTTTTTCAGATTTGGATCAGCCGCGGCAGGCCGGAGAATACCCTCCGTGGTTCAGGCACTACAAGAAGGCTGCGGAAGAAACCAGACATGGACTCCTGATCTTGCAGGTGACGGATGCATATTTGAAGCGTCTCAGCTCAGTTGGACGACTGGTATAATTACTGCGTTTTTTGTTGTGAGGGAACGCGGGGATGTGACAGAATTCGGCGGTGTCTGATGATTTTGCTCGTCTTGCTGAGGTCCAAAGCCTGCCGGTGGGAGTTCGGCTACGTGCGACAGCCCCAGCTTGTGCATGTCTACCTGCCCGGTGGCGACAAGTCACCTGGCAGAATCGTCAAATGGGAGGAGCTGATGGATGATGCGGAGCTTTGCAGGCGTTTGTTTGGAGAGGCTTTGGATCACACATTCCAAGGCGACCTGGATGCAGAAGATCCATATGGTCCAACGCAAAGCACCTTGAAGCAACTCAAGCAGATGGCCAAGACTGCAGAGGAGCAGGAACACCAGGCATGGTGCGAGCTGCCTTTTCGGCAATTGGCTCACAACTTTGCCAAGAACACATTTGGGGAGAAAAGTCTGGAGGCTGTTGAGAGTGCACATGAACTCGTTGCAGTCTACCTCCAGACCGGATTTCCAGACAGGGCCCAAAAAATAGGAGAGGTTTTGTTGCAAACAACAGTGGACAAATTTGGCAAAGAAGATCCCGGAGTAGCAGCGGCTTTGGCAAAACTAGGCATGGCGCATGGATACCTGGGCGACTACACAAAGAAGAAGGACCTGCTCGAGGGTGCCTTGAGGATCCAGGAGCAGTACGGGCAACTGCACATCGAAGTAGCAGCAACCCTGACAAATTTGGCCAGTGCGCATGGGCAGCTGGGTGAACTTGGTAGACAGAAGGACCTGCACGAGCGTGCCTTGACAATCAAGGAACAGCTCTACGGGAAAGAACATCACCTAGTAGCGATGACTTTAAAAGGTTTAGGGATTGCGCATGCACAGCTGGGCAACTTTAGCCAAGTGAAGGACTTGTTTGAGCGTACCCTGAGAATCGAGGAGCAGCACTACGGGCAAGAGCATCCTGAAGTAGCAGCGACTTTGACAAATTTGGGCATTGCGCATAGAAAGTTGGTTAATTAAATCAGTTTATCTCATACATGCAAGCCCGGCGGGGCACTCTTCCTAGATAGTCGTCCCAAAGCCTCAACACACAGACCCGGAATTTGCACATGCAGCATGCATTCAGACAATTGAATGGCCAGGATTGAACTTAGTATTCAGACAGTTTTGGGGTCCGGGAGCGGGAGATAAATTGAGGGAAGGGATTGCAGGATCTCTTCTCTATCCTCAGTGGTAGGCTTGCTGCGTTCAGGTCTAGCTTTGATGATCAACTTTGTTTACCCTCATGGTTAATTGCTTCATTGGCATTCATTGGCTACATATCATAGCTACTTGCAAGGAAACAGAATGTCCGAAACCTCGAGAAAATCAGCACCCGGCAGAGCACTTCCACAGCAAAGCTGACCCTTGTCCCTCTTGAGCCAAGGCTGCAGGCATCGGGCATCAATTTGTGTTACTGTGCGGTAGTGCCATCCTCGGATATTCTTCAAAGGTGACTGGAACAATATCAGATGTGAGCTGCGTACTTGAGTTTTGTTGTCGTTGTTGTTTCAAAAGCATTGAAACTTATCACTGAGTATATAGTTTCTAAGTCATGCAGTTATTGGCAATCCAGTTGCATTGATTTCAATAGGCGAAGCTTTCGTTCAAGTCGGTATGATATACAGTGGTCAGTTGCAAGAAGTTGCTTCCTTGCAAACGGCTCGTCAACAGCTTGCCCAATTTAGCAATTGATGCGATTGCATTGCAAACCAGCAGCCATGAACATGAGAGGTTCCTGCAGATAGAGAAAGGAGCCAATCCTCTTTCCCTCAATTCTGAATCATACTGGTACTGTCAACTCGCTGTAGATTAACAAATATAGAAAAGCCAATTTCAGATAGCCTATATAATAATATAGCTTATATTCCTTTGCGCTTTTGTTTTTTTGGGGATTCCATGTGTTGACAAACCAGTGACTAGTAGGAAACCAGTGACTGGAAAGCCCCAGCTTCTTGGTGTCCACAATGCCATGGACAGCATTGATGCTGCACGCCAAAGCTGGGAGCGATGGTTCCTCCTTTCTCTTTGTTCCAAGTGCTGCGTTTCCAGTTGTATTTCTTTTATCATGGGGTGTATGTATATATGTTATATATATATATTTATTGTTATATTATATCATTTATATATTCATTAATTCATATATACAATCACTGTATATCAAAAATGCCATCATATACAATCCATCAATATATATATATATGTATATATTGTTCCACCATGCAGCGATGCGGCTGGAGGAGTCAGAGCACCAGGAGTTGCTACGCTCCGAGCGAGTTCTCTCAGCCTTGCGCCAAGCGCAGCAATCACTGCAGAAGCGCCAGGAGAGACTGAAACTGGTGGTCGGTTTGATGGGTTGATTATTAATATATTATAATTATATATTTATAATTATTTTTCATTAAATATATGATATTATATCACATGCTTTCATGTGTTGAAATAGGATTCAGTTATTATGTATGCAAAAACCTAATATGATGTCGTGATTATTTGTTAACATGGAAGTTCCGCTAGCGCCAGGATGAGCTCTCCGAGGAGTGCGACAGTCTCGGTGCAGAGGTGTGCAGCCCAGTGCCATTGAAGCCAGGCAATCTAGGGCCATTTTGATGGCTATCCAATTGTGAGGTCCAAGATCCAATGGATTGAGATTGGAATGATGATTTGGACCTGGGAGTTTCATTTGAATAGGGGGCATGGACACCATACTGTTTACATCACTTCACTTGTAGATGCTGTATGTCGTTAAATCCAACTGCAATGCGTGAAGGCCATTTACATTTCAGGCGCCAATATAGAAGGCTCAGCCATGATGGACGCGGCGCTTTGATGAGACATGTCTCGGCATGTCTCCGGCTCCAGCACCGGTGAGCTTGGCGGCAATGAAAGCTCTGCAAGCGTCGCAGAGTCCAGTGAAAGTGATGATAGTACCAGTAGCACAAACGAATCAGGGAGGTGCTGTTGCTGCAGCAGAGCCAGTGATTCAAGGGAAGCTGGTACCAGCACGACTTGTATGGTTTTTTTGGTCGACGTCCTGAACGGCATCTCTCAAGTTTGTTTCTTCACAAACAGCTGCGCTGGCGTCGTGTTTGTGGTGGCCATCCTGATTGGAACCCCACGAACTGCTGTCATCCTGGGCCTTGTGGGTGTTTTTTCTGGTACCAGCTTCAGCTGGTGTTTTGGCCTTGATGTGGAGGCTCGGAAGGATGGCACCTTGGGTTACAATGCCACATTGGTGGGTTGTGCTTTTGCCTTCGCCATCCCTGACTTTTGGTGGGCTGTTCTGGCTACAGTTGGGGCTGCAGGGATGTCAGCCTTCGTGGCCGCGGGGCTACTGAAGGTCATCAAACCTCAACTGACGTTGGCTTTTAACTTTGTAGCGCTGTCTACGCTGGCTTTCATCGATCTCAAGGGCAATCATGGTGGGACAAGAGTTTCGGGCTTCACCTGGAACAGTGTTTTGCCTCAGATGAATGGCGTGGAATGCTTGGCAGCCATTTTGAACGGTGTGTCGCAAATCTACTTTGTTTCCAGCCCAATCTCTGGATTCATTATCCTTCTGGGAATTGGCTTGGCGAGTCCTTTCATGACATTCAGCACTCTTTTGGGCTCCCTGGTCGCTACGCTCTTAGCGGCCGGATGCGGAGCAGATCTCCCACGCATACAGAAGGGAATTTGGGGGTACAATGCTGCTTTGACAGCCCTATGGATCTCCTTTCACTTCAAACAAATGGGATACATTCCTGTGCTTCTCCTAGTTTGTTGTGGAGCTGCAGCTGCTACAGCAGCATTTGCTGGAATGGATGTGGTGGTTGAAAGGACACACGGAGTTGCGCCTTCTTGCTTCACTCTGCCGTTCAACTCGGTCGGTTTGTCCTTAGCGGCCCTTCAAAGTTTAATTAAGGGCATTTACGCAGTCGCACAGACTAAGCAGCCATCGCCGGAATGTGGGGAGCAATGCTAGGCCAGGCTTCAGCAGATTCCACAGTTGGTTAGGCTTGTCATCTTATTAGATCAGCTGCCAATTTCATGCAAGTTCCTAACTTGACATATCAGTTCCATGGGAGCAATGGACATGTTCAAGGCCCACAGCCTGGGCAGCCCCCCAAACCCAGCAGCTAATGTGGCACATACACCAAAGTGTGTGTTGAAAGCCGGGCTTGATGAACCAATCGCATTCGGCTTGGCCACGGATAATCCTCCACTTGGCAAAAGGAAGTGCAGTGTTTGGACGTCACCAGAAGTCATGTGAAGTCACCCTAAACCGGACAAACACCGAAGAACATGGGCACCACAGGTGCACCTTTCCCATCTTTCCTTGTGAACGCTAGCAGCAAAGGTTGCCAATGACCCTCGGGTGGCAGCGTGCGTGGCATTGGAACGTGACATTGAGGCCTTGGGAGCACCGGCTGACAGTTTTTTGTACTTAATTAATCAATTTAATCATGCAAGCTTGATGACTTAATGACTTAACGGTCATACATTATACATAATTGTGCCATTAAAAAAATAATTTAAACCATATCACAACATGGAAAAACCTTCGCCAGGCGCTCCAATCGACACTGGAAAGCTTCGGCCCCAAGAAGTTTGCACTGGTGCGCGAGCAACAGGCTCAGCTTGAGGCCTTCACCGGAGTTTCCGAAGTCGGCCCCTGGGGTGGGACAGACAGAAAGACATGTGCTGAAGGAAAAACTGAGTAACTTGATTCATTTTGATTTATCTTTATTTATCCTGTTTCATCTTGATTCAGTGAATGATTGTATTGTAAGTGAATAAAGTGAATAGGTTGGCAGTACTGACATGTATATGATACTCTACATTGTACTTCATGCACATATAGCGATAATCTTGCAACTTAATACTAGCTGCACGCAGGCAAATGGTGACACATTCCATTCAAAACCTGAGGTAGGCTCGTGCATTCAAAACCTGGTTCAGTTCTTGATGAATCTAAATGATGGTCCCTTGGATGGGCAATACCCAGCTGACTGCTGATTTCAATGGCTACAATTCTACAATGGTTTGGCAATACCCAACTGGTTGCTTGTGTTTGTAGTGAGAGATAAAGATGAAATATGATAAAATCCCAACCTCATTATTCCCCAAACACATTGTCAGCTAGGATCTACTAAACTTGTTTGAATGCACACGTGCAAAATCAGCCCTGTTTAGGCAAGGGAGCTGATTCAAAGCTCACAGTTTTACAATGAATGTTTTACGGTTATATAATAAGTATGATTAATTATGCTCAAATCCCATCCTCAATCATCTGATGTCAAATCCCCAGTTGTATTTTCCATGTGTCAAATACATATCCGCAGAGTTGAATGGCAAACCAATACACACCTACCACTTGGAATGGCATGGTTTATGGCTTGGGGCTTAGCACATTGAATCCAGGATCAGCCCCAGGCCATCGAAACCCATGGAGCTCGGGAAGCCGCAGTCCGGCAGGAGCTTCAGGACCTGGAGAAGGCGCATCGTTGCGATTTTTGTGGCGATTTTTTGGCAAAAAAAAAACGAGATGGTCCTGAGATGTCCTGAGATGGTTTCTTAGATTTCTTAGATCAGACATGATGAACCAATTGTCCACATCCACTTTGTCGTTTAGCGAGAGGCACCATTTCTGGACTTTTCACCAGCAAGACATGATACATGTTTTGCCAATCAGGAGCGAGATTTGGTTTTTGAAAATCTGAAGAGTTAGCATTTTGAAAATGGAACAATAGGCCGCACCTACCCCTGTATGAATCATGCTTACAGTACAGCGCCCCACAACATCTTTGATTCCCAGCCAAGTATGTGTCCTGCGATGTCCTAGTGCCTTTGAGGCTGCATCTTTCCAAATAGAACATCATAGAACCCATTGAAACATATTATATATTATATTTGAACTTAAACAATAGGAAATCATAGAACGTCATAGAACCATCAATAAGCATTTCAATTGCAGTTCTGAGGCTGCTCTTATCCACTGAGGCGGAGCAGCTTCTGCAGAGTCGCTTGGCAGCTAGCAGATCCAGGGGTGCAGAGGTGGAGCAGCAGGCGCGGTCCCTGGTAGATATGGAGGTGCTTCTCCGTGCAGAAGATGAAGCACAAGAGCTGAAGTTGCAAGTGGAAAAGGCTGAATTGGAAACATCAAAGATGAGGCAAAACTTGGCAGAGTCCTGGGTGACAGACGCTGCAGATGGCTTGATCGGCGATGAAATGGAACATTTGGAAGAGATGGAGCGCAACCTGCGGTGGTTAATGAAGACACAGCAGGCCGCTGACACCGAGAGGCAGTTGGTGGAGCGTTTGGAGCGCAAAGAGGGGACGCTACAGAAACGCCTCCGCGAAGTGAGCGAAGAGAAAGCCACGTTGGCCTCGGCCCGGGTGGATCTGGGCGATGCTGGGAAGGCCATGAGAGAAACCATGGCATCTCAAAGCGAGGGCTACGTCCGGCAGCTCACTGGCTTGGAAGAAGCGCGGCGCATCGCCTTCTCGGAACGAGTGAAGTTGATGCAGGACTGGGATGGTGGTTTATGGATGGCTTATGGATGGCTTGGGCTACAGCTTGGATGTTTTGAGCACAGCATTGTCTTCGATCTAGGAAATGTTCACACATTTGCAATCATTTGCCACGTTCCGGTTCACCCCTCTTTCAACAGATGGCACGAGATATCAACAGCTTAATCACGCTCACTCCACCAGACTGATATTTCCCTCACTGGGCTTTCAATCAATGCGCAATTGACAACCAGCACCATGATTAGACATCCCCCTTTGCTTTCATCGTGGTGGTGCCGTAGCAGGGTTTGCAGGACTGTGCTGATTTGCAAGACACACTGGACAAGTTGGCTGCCACTGAACGTGGCGGTCCTTTGATCCAGGGGCGCCACACCAAATTGCAGGCCTTTGATGCCAAGGATTGTGTGTGATTATGTGTGGTTCCTATGTTTCTGCGACCTGGTTGTGATCTATGTTCTGGCGCCACGCATGATTGGGTTGACCTGTATCATTATTTTGTTGACACCAACAACTTTGAGAATTCTGGCCCCCGATCCATGTTGATTCCGTTTAAATGCAGCGAAGATGAAAAATGCGGCGCTTGCATGGAAGTGCCAGGCAACTTGCCGCAGTGTTGCAGATGAAAGTGGGCGCCTACGAGTGGCCCAGCTATATATTTTCAGGGCTCCTGGTTTGTTTTGACGGAATTTGAATTGATGGGAGCAGAGACTTATGATAGACACTGATACTGTGAGCAAGTAGCTCAGCACCGCGCCGCTGTCCTTGAGGACATGAATGCAGTCCTTGGCGAATTACTGCTGAGTGATGAGCTCGTTGAGAACGCGGAAGCCGAAGATGAGAAAGACATGGCCTGAGCCGCAGCTTCCTCCATAGCCATGCAAAGTCCCTCACATCATGTCATTTTTGAGAATATCTCAAATTTGAATATTGTTGAGAATGCATGCATTAAGCACATGCAACTTTCGAAGTTCCGTTTGGCAAATGTTCCTGGTATGAATATGTTTCCGTCGAAGGTCATGCGTGTCCTAATCTTGCAGAAGAAGTTGCTGGAACGCCAGGACGGTGGGGTATTCGAATGATTTCGGATGTTTGGCAATTTAACAACAGGCTTATACAGGCTTCAGGCAATGACTTTGCCAGGCTGATGGGCTGCCAGTTAGGTTTGTCTGAAAAGAGGCTGCCCCACTCCATCTTTCATTTCCATGCTCATCATGCTCTAAAGCCCAAGTTTCCTCATTCAAATTGCCATTTTTTGGGAGAAAATCATCATGTTTGGACAGGTCTCTGTTGGCTCAACAGTCCTGGCCTTGAGGAGTCCTACCATTCCGAGCAGCAAAAGCTCCTGGAGAGGATCCGAAGTCTGGAACGTGCAGCCGCACCTGGGACTCAACAGTGGATGTGCGGTGGGTCACAATTGAGGCCATAAAGGGCAACAGATTTTGAGAGATCCCTCGTAGATTCCTGACTTCTAGTATACTAGATCTATATTGAGTATACTGGTGTATTATCTTTAGTTTCAAGATGTTTTCAAGTATGTTTTTGTGCTCATGTTGTCATAAACGGTGCATATTGATGTCCTTCTTTTGGCAATGCACCATCCCATACCTCCAGATCCCCCACATCATCCATCATCATCCCACATCCTCAACGTGTCTTTTCCGAGCGCAAGAGTCGGCGAATGAATCGAAACTGTTTGGACATCGTTATTTTTGTTGCATTCGACGGTTCAACTTTGTGCAGGGCGTGCCGGTGGAAGTTCCAATTTTTGGATGAGGATGGCAAATTTTTAGTTCCAACATTGAGCTGCCAAAAGTCGATTCATTCTTTTATGTTGACCTTTTTTCTTCAGGAGCCCAAGCCAAAGGTGTTCCATTTTTGTTCGTCACAGTATGCCACAATTGGAAGGGGCAGCACTTCAACTTGTGACAGCCTGATGCGCACCCTGTATGTTTTCTTCCTCGGTCTTTGAGGCTTTGCCTGGGACTGCGGAGGCAAACACTGTCCCCGCAAGTTCTCAGGCCCGTTCTGACCGTTCTGGTTTCAAAATCAGTCACGCGTGCTTTTTCTATTGTTAACATATTACACCTTCCGAGCCTGCACTCAACTTGCAAAGGCCTCCTGAAAATGACCAATCAGCACCGTAAGCAGATGTCAGATGTCATGGGATGTCAGAGGATGTCAAAGGAGTTTGCGTTGCAGGACGGCACACCTCAAGCTGGCCTAGCAGCAACCATCAAATCCTGCGTTACGCAGTGGCGGGACGCCTTGACACTCGAGCGGCACATCGCATGATAATGGTCAGCACGGAATCTGCATACTGCTGACTTTCTGGAAGAGCACAGGTCAATATCCAGTTCAAATCAGAGATGGAACCATTTTAAGTCATCATTTCACAAATCCCCTCGCGCTTTCGCTGAGGAAACCAACGTGAGAGCCTGCGACCCTGATACCAAAGGCTTGAAAATCGAAAAGGCTGCGAGATTTTGCGGGTTAGCAGTCTCATTTGAACATCAGACTGCTGTGGTTGCTTTTAGAAGCTAAGAGTAAGCCTGGGCTTCAGCGTCCCACCCGTAAGTTGAAACAAACGTTGTCAAGTTGTCAGTTTGTTCCTTGGCGGCTAAGGCGTTCAACAGCAAGATGATTCATATTGAAGATCTATATCGAAGCATCGAGGGTCATCCGGTGCTCCATTGAGATCATGAGCACGTGCACGGGGACAGGATGCCAAGCCGCTAAAACGAAGGTGGGAGATCCAACATCCTTGCTGTTAGGCCTCATGACATTGACAAACTGCACCCAAGAAACCACCATGGAGCCACTCCCACTAGCACAATCATTCTTCGTGCATGTTTGTTTTGCATATTAGATCATATTAGCGGACTCAAAACGGATCGTGCCGCACAAGCCAGATGATGTCATGGTGGGGGCTGAGACCGATGATGACAAACCTCGCATCAGCCGACTTTCTGGGTCAAGTTCAATGGCGGTCGCTCCACACGTGCTGGGGATCCTTCATTGCAGTCATGTGCCACGAACGGTTGCGACATCACATTTCAGCTCACAACATCACAGGTGCTGAATTCGGACTTGGTCAATTAGTTGGTTACATCATGTCAGTTCCCGTCAGAGCTACGCTGATGCCGACCAACTAGGCATCAGTATGGGAGACAGTCAATGCCTACGTGAGTGGAATGACCATGGTGAGGCAAGGTAGGGCTGCAGTGCCCAAAGCAATGTGAAAGTCCAAGCCAAAAAGCCCAGAGGGCGAAGGGGAAGCAGTGCAGATGAGACATCCTGAGGTGGAAATGGCTTGCAGAACCGTGCTGCTAGCTGCTGACATGCCTGGGTACCCTTAATTTTTTCCCGGTCTGAAAGGATACATTAGAATGCATTAGACCTAGGCGAGACGATTGGAAACCCCCAAGAGGGAAGGTGATGGAGATAGTTTGGCCAAGCCACGTTTCTTTGCCTTTTTCCTGCTGAGCAGCCAAACTGGCCTGTGCAGGCTACTGGCTCAAGCCTCAAGACCCAAAGGGCATGGGGTAGAAGACCTGTAGCCGTGCAGCCAGTCCAATAGTTTAGTCCAATGCTCAGTGCTACCTGCGGTCACTGAGGAGTGTCATGTCATGACATCCTCTGAACAAGTCGCGGGGTCCATTGGAAATATTGGAATTTGAGCGGATCTTCCATGATCTCATGATCTTCCATGCTGTGTGAATTTATGTTTGCTCATGTGTTTCATGCAGCGCCGTGAGGTTCAAATGTCGGAAGAGGAGCCAAACTCGCCGCAAGGTCGGGAGATCAACTGCGGCTCAAAGATTCATGCAGGGTACCCTCCAGAAAAGTGTAACTAGTAAACACATGTAAAATATGGATCTATATGCAATATCCATCAATATCCCCTATGTGTAGATGATTTGCATGACACATTCGAACATGGAACTTTTCCATTATTTTACATTGCCATTTCGGGTAATTAGTTCATGGAGAGCGTCCAGTCGCAACATGTCGCATGTCGTAACGGCATCCCACGTGGGATTTCCAACGCACATTGCTTTGAGATCTTTGAGGCGATGGGGTGCAGAGATGTCCCATGCATTTGGCAGCTCAGCTGTTAAACGAGCCCCAAAAAAAAAACAATTCTCAGACCCAGCCTGCCGCTGTTGATTGGAATGCTTTGGTGAAGTTACTGAAGTTTGATTGTTTCATATTGTTTCATATTGTTTCATATTGTTTCATCGAAGGAAGTTTAGAAGTCAAACTTCCGACAATATGGACAGATGAAAAGCAGAGTAGGGGAGAGGCAGAGAGAAGAGGAAGATTAGAAGAGAGAAGATGAGAAGAGAAAGAGTCAGAAGAAAGAAGATACAGATGCGCGAAAAGGTAGGAAAGTCGCAAAACACTGTGTTTTTCCAATGATTTGTGGCTCAGGAGGGTCGAAAAGTAGGCTCGCTAAAGCGGCGGGTGCGGAGCCAGCTGGTCACAGGAGCGATGAAAAATTGCACGCCGTTGTGGCGCGAAGCACATTTCCAAGTCAAAAGGTACAAAACACCTCAGGTCCGGACCACTTTTGGAAGTTGAGATGTCGAAAAAGCGCGCGCCGGTGTGGCGCCAAGCACATTTCCAAGTCAAAATGCACAAAACACCTCAGCGTCGGACGACTTTTGGAAGTTGCGATGTCGAAAAAGTGCACGCCGTTGTGGCGCGAAGCACATTTCGAAGTGAAACTGTAGAAAACACCTCAGTGTCGGACGACTTTTGGAAGTTGCGATGTCGAAAAAGTGCACGCCGTTGTGGCGCGAAGCACATTTCCAAGTCAAAAGTGTAAAAAACTGACGGTCTCGGACCACTTTTGGAGGTTCCGATGTGGAAAAAGTGTCGAAAAAGTGCACGCCGTTGTGGCGCGAAGCACATTTCGAAGTCAAAAGTGGAAAAAACTGAGGGTTTTGAGCCTTTTTTGACGTGAAGATGTCGAAAAAGTAGACACTGATTAACTTAACTAACTTGACTAACTTAACTAACTTCACTAACTTAACTACCCTAACCTCGACAACAACAACAACAACAACACCAACCACAACAACCAACCACAACAACTACAACTACAATAGATCGATAGATAGATAGATAGATAGATAGATAGGTAGAGAGACAGACAGACAGACAGACAGACAGACAGACAGACAGAGAGAGAGAGAGAGAGAGATAGATAGATAGATAGCTAGCTAGCTAGGTAGGTAGGTAGGTAGGTAGGTGGATAGTCAGAGAAAGAGAGAGAAATAGTGAGAGAGATCAATCACCTTTCGCTCCATCAGTGGCTTCGCTCTGCCATCCCTGATTCACAACAACCAACCTCTCCTATAGGTTTCCTATTTTTGAAACTTCCGCCACCGCCTTGCGCGGTACTACTGGTAATTATTCATGTTTTCTTATGTTTATGTTTTATGTCAACTATATATCATATATGTCCTCCATCTATTTGGAGCATTGTGAACGTGCCTACGGCCGCTGCCAAGGTCTTACCCGACCTAGATCGATGTGATACCTGCCAGGCCAGGGCATGAAAATTGTGGAGGTCCAACCTCATATTTCTGGACAATCTGGACACACTCAGAATCATAGAAAACCAATGAAAACCATAGAATCATATCATGACTGATATCCATGTGTATATATATATATAAACACATATCCATGAAAATAGTAAAGGCCATCTCCTCGTCCACATCATGCATAGACTGCATGGAGGGAAAGAGGAGCTGGGATGTATACATTGTGCAAAGCACATAACAATTATTGACATCCATGATTTATGGATTTCCACGATTATTCTCATTTCTGGCTTTGGTAGGCTCCACCCTGTTCTTTTGATGCCACCCTAAGCCTCCCTTAGTGCCTCCCTTTGCAACAGGAAGTGCACAAGGACCTAGAACCTGAAGGAAAGGCTCCATTGCCAGCGCTCAAGAAGAGCTTTCCAGCTTCTTGGCATGTCATGAGGTGCTGAAAACATTGGCTCCAGATGGCTCCAGTTACATCAGGGTTTGTGGCATTCTGTATATTCTGTGGCACGTGAGTTTTGGAGTGTCTCCATGGAGAAAGGCTTCAGTTTTAGACTGTTATTATATGTTATTATCTCAGGCAGAATTTTGGAAGGTCATTTTCAGCTTCATTTTTCAGTGATGTGACATGATGTGACTGACCTTGAGGTGGTGGCAGTTCCCAGTGACACACGTTTGGCACACCTGGACGCTTGGCAGCTGCTTCTTGGAGCTCTGTCTTCATCAAGTGCCCGTTGTTGAGGAGCCTCAACATCCAGATGGGGTTCTGGAGATCTACCAGAAACTGGAGGTTCGGAACCAAAAATTTCCATGGATTTCCATGGAATTTATGGTGATTTTAGATATGATTTTGTTAGCTTGTGCAGGATGAACACGGGAAGTATATTTTCGAGCGAAATCAGCAGCAGGCAGGGCTACTTTCATCAATTGTTATCGTTGTATATCATGTATATCATGTATATCGTGGTGTTTTTGTTTTCTCTTGGTGTTTGGCAGGATGCAGTGGAGATAGAACGGTGCGGAGCTCAAATGGACACCTGAAGCGTGAATATCAAATCATTCCGTTGGAATTTCACCCGACACGAGGCGAAAACTACAACTGCAACGGCAGCGAACAAACAAAGCGAAACATGATGCTGACCGGGTCTCATGCTCAGCATGGTTCGGATTCTTTGCGGACTTGCCATTGATGATTTGATATGATTTGTAAGTTGTGAATCATGGAATGTACAGTGAGAGGGAGGGGGGTCAGGGCGAGACAAAAAATCACCGACGCTCAAGTGTTGGATGGAAAATGAGGCAGCGCAAGATGCAGAATGGCGAGTCCTTACCTTAGATTTGCACCATTTTGCACCCAAACACAAGGCTAGGAATGTCAACAAACAGAAATTTTGGCATTTGCCAAGGTTGCAGAAGCCCAGCAAGCTGTGGAAGAGCGACGTGGCCGCCGGGAGAGAGATTTGCAAGCCTTAGAAGTGCAGGTGCCTTGACACCAGTGGTGCAAGCATTTGCTACATATCATAAAGTTCACAAAGACTGTTCCAGAATGCTGGAACCGGAGAAGGTGGAGAGCAGCAATGTGCAAATGATTTTTCCATATGGTTTCCATATATTGTTCATTATTGTTCAAATGATTGTTCTATATGTTTTCCATCATGATTCCGTTTATATATAATATAAATCTGGTGTTGTTTGTTACACACATTTCCAGAGGTGTTGTTGTTGTTGTTGTTGTTCTTTTATGTATACTTTTGTTTTCGTTTCCAAGGTGCGCCAGGCTGACATCCTCTACGATGAGGCACAACGAGAAGTCGAAAAGTGTGGAAACTCAAAGATTTCAGGTACCTGGGACGTTGAAACATGTTCCAAACAAAGTTACAACCAGGTTACAACCAGGTTACAACCACCTGTTCCACTCAATCATTTTCCAAAGTGGCTGAGGAATAGTGGGAACCTTGTAACCACCATTACAATAGCATCAGTTCTAAGGCGCTTGGCCGAAGCAGAAGGTCTCAAGCGAGCTGAGGAGGAGTTTCAGTTGATTTTGTCGGAGTATCATGTGATGTGTGTTTCGTCATGAGTTGGAACGGTGTTGAAAAAAATGCCCATCAACAACATTAACAACATCAGCAACAACCGCAAAACAACGAAAATGAAACATGTTTTTTAAAATATATAATTATAGCAAAACCAACATCATCAGCATGATCATCAGATCACCAGTCAAAAAACCTAAACCCCAAGACCTCGTGGTTTGAGGGTCGAGTCAAAACCCAAGATCGGACAAAATGGTCTCAGTTGGGATGTAAAAGCATCACCCAGGGGTTAGACCCTGTGGGTTTGAACGGATTATCGCAGATAGACCTTTGTCTATCCCTTTTTTCCCATCAAAGTTGCCATTTTGGGAGGTATATGCCATTTTCAATGTAATTTTTCCTACTATAATATCTACAATTGACAGAGGGGGTAGCCTTCCATTGGGTTTTGGGGGCCCCTAGCCCTAGAGAGGCCTACCTTGCAGCCAGCCTTCGGCTTCTTCAGAGCGCCAGTGGGGAGTCTTGGGAATGACGAACTGCGGAATCATAGCGGATTTAACATAATAGATGTTAACTGACTATATTGTTATAGTTTGATTACAATAGCTATTATGTATTTATCCCCAATAGATCCCCAATAGATATGTTAACTACTATTGGGGATATCGACTAATTATGACTAATTAAACATATAATTATATAAACTATAGTTACTCGATGCTTTCAAAAAAAACATCTCTAAAAATGGACGACTAAAAAAAGATGATCCCAACTGAGGAGAATATTTTTGAGCGAAATTCATCGGTGCATTGGGCAGATTGTAGAAGAAGATTGCTATAAGTGTTTGGCAGGTGTGGAGATTTATGAGATTCATGTGCGACATTGGTGTCATTGTTTCCAGATGTTTCCAGCTCCACCAGACCTTGGTAGACTCAGTTTTTTCCCAGAGTTTCGACTGGTTGCGCCATCAGAAGCATGGATTCAAGAAGAACTTAGAGCAGTGACCAAGGTCGAAAAACAGAAGCAGCAGAGAAGAGATACAATGAACTCAAGGCAGGCTGTAGTGTGAGAATGCCGTAGATTGGGTAATCAGGGTAATCTTCACAACTGATCGTATTCTTATCTTGGTGGTTTGATGTGGGTCGAAAAGTGCTATGTGAACATGAGTTTGGAGCGGCCACAAATGTTAGCTGCTCAAATGCAGGTGGGAAGGAATGCTACCTTTGCAATGCAAAATAACTTCTGAAAGATGTGAACCATTGGTTTCAAGGCTGTCCTAGTAAACGATAAGTATCAAATTTCAGTTGGGTTTGGGCAAAAGAGTTGATTTGGTGTCATTTTATTTGTAGAAACAACTCTGAAACAGTGCAGTTTTGGGCATACCATGGTGACTTTCGTTTTATGACCGGGGATTTTCCAGCTGAGGTAGAATACACAGAGAGACTTGCAGCCCGGAGGAAGGACATTCAAGAGATCATTGATGAGATGGACCGCAAGGCTGGGGCATAAGGATTACACCCTTTGAGGTGATCAGGGTTGGTTTATAGCTCAAAAAAAATAAGTATGGACTATGGATCCCCAACAGTTAGGCAATGGTTAGTCCAAAAGCATCCAATGCTAAGCCAGGGCCATACCCCTCATTGATTGAGTTTGGTATCACCCCTCCGAAGGATTGGAGGAGGAACTGACGCTGTGTTTGTTTTCTTTGCGGTGCACTCTTGTAGGTTCCTTTGTTTTCGTTCGTTGTTGTTTGCCTGTGTCAGCAGATGCGAGTAGTTCGCACTTTGTTAGAGCAGTACAAAGCATTATCCCTCAAGGAAGAGGAGGCAAAGTTGCGGGCAGAGGAACATTTGCGACTTGTTCAGGCAGGGTCATCGGTCATGAAGGTCTTGCCATCCATTGCCCATTGACAGTTTGAAGAGAGCACTTCTGGTATGATATTTAAAACATTTTGAAACTATAGGAACCATCTCAATCTGGATCCATGCTGATATGAATCAGTGATATAGAATCCTCAGATATAACATGATATGACATTATATAACAACATATCCATACAAGACATATCCCGCAGCTACAATCCATGGAGCTTCCAGCTGTTGCAGGAGCAATGTCAGCAGCATCTCCAAGCCGTCCGCGAGCAATCGGCCAAGATCAAAGAGGCCTGGGGCCTGGGGTGGAAAATGCTCCATGTTCCCTGTGAGCAGCTTAAAAGACCCATTGGCTGATTGTTAATGTATGTTAATGTATATATAATGTTGGAGTTCCAAACTATAGAAAAGATAATATCATTGCACTCCATGATTGGAATGGCTAGAAACAAACCAGTAGATGGCAAATGTTGTTGAAAAATGTTGAACATGGCAATGGTGTGAAATCCCAAGCCCCGCACGAGGCTGTAGCCGAAAATGTGCCGATAGCGACAAAGCGAACAGCAGCTGCACAGGAGCGTCGCTGAAATGCCGCGGTTTTTTATCATACAACAACCAATATTCGTACGTGTTATATAATTGATGTAATGTATATGTACAATATAAACACTATCATACGCTATAATATCATAAACTTAGATATTAAATGATATTACGTATTGTGACATATGTGATATTGATCCAGGGCAGAGCTTCACCCAGCAGATTCCGCAGGAGTTTACTCAGCAACGACGTGCTGAAGCGCAAGAGCGATTAGTCACGGAACGTGCCTTGGACTACGCAGTTCACACGGGAGATGCCCCTGGAATGACTGGTGCTAAACAGGATGGGAATGGATGGGAATGAGGGAATGATCCAACCCATAACTACAATCGCAATCATCATCAACCATCCCATTCGCCCCATTCCCTACGAAGCACAAGTAAGTATAACATAGTATAACAGTGTAGTGATTGGAAGTGTCAATCTTGATGTAGCTAAGAAAACTGGGAATGTGATATAGGAACATAACTTTCTATACTAACTGGCAATGATGATTGTTCTTGGGTTCTTTTCTGTTTCTACTTTGAGTTGTACAAATTGCTCCTGAATTCTGAGGCGGTGTAGCTTCGATTCAAACGACTGCCTTGCTGCAGCCTTAAAGAAAACATGGCCAGTTTCTGTCTCAATATCAAAACGTATTAATTTGCCCCCGCAACTTGACTTTGGAATTTTAACTGACGACGTCGATTACTTGGATATGCCATGATATGCTGCCGTGACTGGCAGGGAGGAAGACTGCTGCATGATGGTCCGGCGCAAAGAGGAGAGGGAAGAAGCCACTAAGAGGCCACACGCCATGGCCATCGATGACTGTGACATGGAGATGGGTCAAAATTTGGAACGCCCGAAAATCTCGTGATTTACATTACCAAATTATTACCAAATTAGCATCATGTTCCCCATGTTCCCCAATATTTCATTGCCAGTATACTCGTTGAGACCAAACCATGTAGAGTAACGACCGGGGATTGGTGCATCTGGACGACCATCTTTAGGGGATCACCAATACCTCAACACTTGGAATCACTGTAATTGGACAAACGGACGAATCATGTAGTCAACAATAGTCAGCAATTCAAAAAAAACATCAAAACACAGTAGAAGTGCAAGGCCCTTGCTGCAAGGCTTTGAAGCCACAGGAATCCACACAGGAGAAGAGTTGTTTGATGCTTGCTAGTACTATCTAGTACTGTAGTTAGTTGCATTCTATTGTCATGTGCACCTGCAGCAGACGCTCTGTGGAGGCACTTTGAGGACTTTTGCCGAGGAACTGTGGCTGACATGCACCACACAGCGGAAGGGTGGCACGGTCCTTAATGCATTGCACAGATTTGCACAGCAGATCTTAAGTGTTTGCCACATGTCCAATCATTTCCATACATTTCCCAGCCATGTAGGTGTGTCTGAAAATGGGGTCCACCCCAAAAATATGAGGTCTTTTATCGGAAACTGATGATTGATCGTTGGATTTGAGGGTACCCTTCTGGGTAGCCTATTTCCAGACAAACCCATCGTTGGATTTGTTTCATACGTTGGCAAATTCAAGGCACCGCCAAGCTGATCGCAACTCTCTTTGTGACAAGGCAGGGGCGGCAGTGGAACCTCCCCTGGCATATCTGGCATGTCAGATGTGTTGAGCACTGGGAGGTCAGCTTGGAGCAGACTGCCTGGGTATTGGGTCATCACTACAAGTCGCGGTCCACCTTCTCAGTGGAACACATGTTAATTCACAACACACCGGCTGAGCTCACGGATGTCACAGAGCCACAGATCTAGTTGTTTCAAAGCTCAGTTTCATAGAGACTATGTGGTTCATTGCCGATGGGCCAATTGGCAATAGTTAGATGACTAGAGCACACGGAGTCAAACATGCAGGAGGGGTCAGCCAAAAGGTCACCAAAAACAGCAGTTTCCCAATGGTTTTCACCAAGGTGGAACTACACCACTGCTGTTGACACAAAGGTCACCAACATCCTTCAAGGTTGCCTTCATGGCAGGAGACCAATGCATCCAGCTGCGTTCAGAGGTCCTTCTACTTTGACAGTTTCAAAGGGTCCTCTAACTAGCATCTAAAACATTCTCAAACATTCAAACATATATGTAAATAAACTAGATAAACCATGTTCTTCTTGAGTCTTCCTGGTTTCTATCTCAAAGCAGTTTGTGCAAAGGGCTGGACCGGGCGAAATCGCAGGGACCCAAAGTCCATTTTGCCACATCCATCGCCAAGGTCGCCGCTGCCCAAGTATTGATTCATCATAAAAACATTCATGTTCTATAACTATTGCTTGCAACGTGTGGTTGATCAGTCGAGCCTGAGCATTTCAAGACCTATTCAGGTCAAGGTGATGGTGGTGCAAGGGGATGCAAAGGGAGAAGGGGATTTCCAGATTTAGCACCAGAGTCGGAAGCATTCGGAATGGCCTACACGCAGCTTATCACAGCTTCGGTTCAACCGGAACTTGGATAGCTTTTTTTTGGGTTTATATATATAATATGTTTATATTATTTTATATTCCCATCGGAATTTCGTATCCCATAAATCCATATAAATCCCATGGTCCAATAGTGCCGTGGATCCACACATCTTCCACTCTCCAAGGCTGGAACCCCCTGGAGACTTGCCACTGCTGCGACCTCGACCTCTTCCCATGTTGGCCAATGGCTTGGCAGGACTGGAACCACGTCAGATAGTGTATGGATATGTATGGATATGTATGGATATGTATGGATATGTATGGATGTTACATTATCCTACATTATGGTACCATGTAAAAGGCCCTTTTACATCCTTTATCATCTGTTGAACATCTCTTGATCTGTCAGAAATCGTCGCAGGATTGCATCCAGTTGAATGTTCAATCAGACATCACAACTGACGATGGTCTCCTGGGAGGAAACCATGGCGCTTGAGTCCTGGCACTTTGTTGCCTGCGTGGCAGAGCCGACTCTTTTTCTCGCGCGGCACATGTTCATTCAGTCTCATTTGGAAAAGAAGTATACTGTTTAATGATGTCAAATTTCTACAACTTACACAATTGCTTCACTACTTGGTCTTGCAATGTGTTTCACCCCAGACGGCACTCATGTTCGTTGAGCTTGCGCGCCGAAATGGAGCCGAGAAGTATTCTGTTCGACGCACCCGAAATATATCGAGGTGACACAGGTTCTTCAACAACTCATTGGAAAAACGGTTGATCCTATGTTGACTGCAGCATCTCTTGCTCATAAGCAAAGCATTCTAGGAAAGTTGCAATATCCAAAGCATCCCAGAACTCTGCCTGTTCAGAATTGAGACCCAGCAAATTGATGTGGGTAAACGATCAGAAAATCTTCACGCATCGTCACGCACACTCTGGCTTTTTGTTCAGTTATTCCTCAAATGGATTTGAACAAGTTTGGACAAGATCTCCGAAGCGACCCGATAGAAGGTCCAGACTTCCTTGACTTATGCATTGCCATCTTGGCCATCCAAATCCAAAAGACGAGGCTAATTTATGCTAGTAGGTTGAGACAGTACAGCCAAGAACATTAATATTCCAAAAAATACATAGCTTGGCTTAATCTCCATGGCGCTTTTTGTTGTTCGTCCTAGTGTTCCAAGGCGTGGGTGGTTGTGTGACACTGGATCCCGTTGCCAATGAAGAAAAGACCTTGGGAGGTTCGATCCCACCCCATCCACGAGCAGCACGAGCAGCCAAAGAAGAGGCACCAGCATGCTGTCAAACAGGGTCATACAGCGGTGATGTCAGGTTTGATTTGGGAATGCACTTGCATCACTTGCAATTAGTAATGAGTAGTGTTGCAATATGTTGCAATGTCTATTCCCAGAAAAATGTCAATTGGAAATGCAAGCAGGTGGTGATACATTGAGAAAGTCTTCCAGTTCGCACGGGGTCTTAGCCATCAGTGGCGCAGCACTGAATTGATTTCGAAGTATACTTGGCATGAAGTGTTGTTGTTTGCAGCATCAATGTGCATTTGTGCATAATTCTGTGACTGCTGGAGATGTGGTTTTGCTGCCGGTACTGAGAGTACATTTGCCATAGATGGATCATTAATTACAGTCATCATGAATCATAGTACATTATGATACTCGCATCATTTCATATCCATGTTTGGATCCATTTGGATGAGTGTTTGCACCCAGGCCAAGCGAAGCCTGCTTGGCGGCACTTGCAGCATTGACCTTAGACTGCAACGTCCAACGTTCCAAAGGCTGTTGGCGAATGTCCCAATAATAAACGTCATTAGTAGTGATTTGTGCTTGAAATCATTGTCAAATTGTCGTGAATTCGACTTTACCACCTAAAAGTGTTAATTTGAATGAAACTCCTTATGTGATGCCCCTGAAACAACTTGGGGGTTGAAATCTTGGGTTGACAGATGGTCTCTTTATACATCCCCTCCAGCTGTTGGCGATCCCCAATGAGCTCTGCGAACATGATGCTCAAGTGTGTCATTTCTTATTCTTAGTTCACCGGAGCCTATTCAAAACAAGTTTGAGACAAGAATTGTCCAACTTTGAGCAGCTTTCTCCACTCACTGTTTGATTCGCAGTGGTTGCACGTTGTTTCATTTAGTGAAGAGCATTGCAGCTGTATAGGTGACACCAAGCTGCTTTAAGTCGAGTCTTGTGTACAATGCTCCAGCATTCAGCATGGCATGATCCGGGAAAAATATCACAAACGGTGCAAAATGATCAAACATGTGCAACATGATCTTTCTATCGACGTGAGGTTCAAATTTGGGGCTGCCACGGAGTGCGGCGGGGAAGAGGCAACGCTTACTATAGCTGATCCAAAGAAATTTCCTAGTGAGATCTCGACGCAGCATTTTGCCCAGGGAAAGCTTGCAAGAGGAGGAGCTGGGTTTGCACAGAAAGTTCTGATTGAGGCTTTCAATTCTACAGAAAAGCTAGGCGTGATTAAGAGATGTGGCTCTTGATTGAAACGTCGTTTGAAACCATACACCATCATACACCATATTGAAACCATACACCATAAATAACCATAAATGACCATAAATGTTTGCTGGTTGAACACCAGTGGATCCAAAGTGGTCATATTTCTCCAGGATTCTCCACCTTGCGACCGTATCCCTGGAGCCGAGTGTCACAGAAAAGCTGGGACGAATCGTCATCGACCAGGCGCGCACAAAAGCGCGCAGCGGTCTGAAAATGGATGAACATTTTTAGGTGAAAGTGAGAAATCTACTCCACTAAGCCCATTTGAATCCCATTAACATGCCTAATTGTTGGGAAACTGATCATTCACCAGTGGATTCTGGGGTACTGTCATCAAACCAACATATTTGCTGGCGAATTACATCCAAGCAGCCTGCTGTTTAGGTGTACCATTTAGCTTCTGACACTGTGTAGCCAGGAATTGTTTGATCAGCTGAACTTTTTGGCTGCCAAGGGTCAAGTGAGTCGGAAAGCTCAAGCCAGCCTCAGAACAGTGGTGGAAAATGTGTATCAATAGCTACATCATATTTAGAAGGATATGGTATATACTTGATATATATCTATATTATATATAAATATATTCATCAGGTGTTATTGTCATAGTTTGATTCTCCTTTTCACGATTTATGTTTGGGTCGGTGTAAGCTGGGTTTGCCATGAAATTGAGGCACCACTGGTTGGTGAATCCCAACGGTTTGTGGTTAAATCGCGAGAGTCCATTACTTAAATCTCCGAGTGTGGGCTGAAACCACCCACTAAATCAGCTCAGATCCCCATGTTTGTTCAATTGAAACCGCATCAATTCGGAGAAAATCCCGAATTTAGTGATGAAAATGGATGAAATCATCCGATAAATCATCCATTTTTGATCCTCTGAAACTCCGGACCAAGGCAGCGCTCGTGCCCTGTTTGAGCAGATCCTGGCGTCCGCCAAGGCCCCGCCAGTTTTTTCAGGGCCTGACGTGGCCATGACAGCCATGACAGCCATGACAGCCATGTGAGGAGAGTGACCCAAAAAGATATATAGTTTTTAAACAAAATCGAAAGACATGATTACTCATGATGCAAAAAAAATAGAAAACTCAGAAAAACAAGAAACAACTGGGAAGGAAACTACCATGAGTACATGAACAAGACTGTGCGAGTCAATCCGCAGGTTGCGGCTGCTGACAACCACAACAACAAAGGACAAAATGGATAGGTACAGTTAACGTTGAAATGTAGATGCAAGAAAAACATGGCGTAAGAATTGGTGTTCCGGTGCCCAATTTTGGAAGGAACATAACATAACGAATATGTGATTCAATGCCCTTCGCTGAGGTTCAAAATGGAACTGTCAGAAGTTCCTTGTCGAAATAGCGCCATCAGCGTGGGCTTATGTGGGACTGCAGCCAAGTCAAAGGTTAGTACTGTGATGAAGGATTTGGCTGATATGTGTAGACTGCAATTCACTATAACTGTAGTCAACTCACTGCGGGACTAACTTTGACATCAGCGAGTTTTAGGGGAAGATGCTCTGCAACGATCCATCTTGACACTGAGCAGATCCGATCAAGCTGGGTCACCAGCCAAGGTTCACAGAAGTCTGTTCCGCTCTCGATGTTGCTGCGCGGCTGCAGGAAGGCACAAGCATTTCTCATGATTTGTCAGCTCAAAAGCAAAGACTGGAGGGTTTGTCCATGGACAGGAGCTCACGCATCACCATTTCAAACCGAAATCATCCGAAATCTGATTATGTTTTGAATTGGATTGATTGCTGTTCATTCCCTACTAAGGTACAGTATGAATTATGAATATGAAAAAACTACTTCGTACCAAAAGTAAACTTTGGGAAGGTGCGGATAGATTCTGATAATTTGCTCACTCTATATTTTTTGTTGGGGGGCTTAAACTCATTAGCGTTTTTCCTTGGTAAACGGGCCTTTGAAAGGCTGAAGCGGAGAAGGGTTGCATGTGAACAGAATTGGACATGAGTTAGTCCAAAACGGTTTCAAATGAGAACTTTGAAGGCTGAAGCAGTGAAGGGTTCCACGTGAACACCAGTTGAACATGGGCTGATCTAACAGTTCAACAGAACTGTTTGAATAAATTTCCAGATTATTTTACAACAAACATGCATTTAAAGAAATGATGTGAGTATACAGTATGATGATGTAAAAATGTTTTCTTGGAGAGATTGTGTTTGATGATTTGATGAATTCTGTGAAGATGGCCTTCCCCATTCAAACAAAAATCCCCCGATCGTGAGTTTGAATGCTGTTGTAGGTTTTGAATGGTTTTGATGATTTGGTGAAAACAGTTCAGCGCCCTAAGATGAATATGGGGTGGCGGCCAACCCTAACTAAGTCATGACTTAGCACTCTTTTTTAGCACTATATGAAACCCTAAAAATTGTATATTTCCATTTTTTGTCCATATACCATCTGGTTATTTAACATAGCCATGGAAAATCACCATATGTTTAAGTTCGGTAAACCATCTATTTCGATTAGGGCCATCTATGGCTATGTTAGTCATAACCAGAGGCTATTTCCCATTCAAAAAGCCCTTCCAAAAAGCCATGGAGACAACGCCGTGTTGAACCGGCGCCGAGGTATGGCACCATGCTGAAGGCATTTTGCAACGCCGGCGACGTTCGAGGTGCTGAGGAGATGGCGTACCGCGCACGCAGGGATCCCCGGGATCCCCGTGAACGGCGGCCCCAAGAAGGAGATCGGTTAGTGACGAATGATGTGACGTTGTTTTTTCAGATTTGGAAAATATGTGATTTGTGAGGTAAACATCTGGCAGTCACATCATGAGATAAGATATACATCATGATATATATATATATATAGTGTGTGAATATTTAATGATGATGTGACTAATGATGTGACTAATGATGTGACTTTTTGTTCATGATGTTTGACGTTGATGATATTTATTGATGTGACGAATGATATTAGGCAACTAGTTAACTAGTTGTTCTGGACACGTTTGACAGTTAGTCAAAAACGACAGGTTGAGGTAGAAAGGACCTGAGAGTTGCCACCCACATTAGAAGGCCACAAAACTAAACCCTACTCAATGTTTGCTGTACAGTACTTTTTTGGATCAGACATTGAATCCCGAAAAACTGGATGGTGAACTTCGGCGCAGTTCAGATCTCAGCGCCATCTCAGCGAGGCGAAGAAGATGTGCCAATGAACCACAAGTTCTATGGCAAGTTGCTGGAGACAGCATCCAAAGCAGGACAGCACCTCAGCACCTCAGCGCGATCGATCCCATTTGGTCGACATGGTCGGGTCGTCGTTCTTGTCGTGGCACCGAGGTGATGTTGTCATGGCCAACAAATGGTTCGAGGAAAGTAAGGCAGCAGCATCCTGCATCCAGGCTGTTGAGTTGTAAGGTTTACATAGGTTTACTATGTTTACTACCTCCAGTTGCAACATCCGTAATCTGACATAGATATGGGATGATGATGGATGTGGGAAATCCACCATGCATAGATCATTGAATAGTGGATTTAGTGGGCAAACCCATGGATTTCCGTAACTGTAGCTCTTGGAATGTTTACTGGAGGACAAGTACTGGACAAGTCATCAAAGATCCGTCACAGGCGGCAGGAAACCGTGACGGAGTGCACTTCAACTTCATGGTGGAGGCCTATGCCAAGGTGCATCCGGTTGATTTCCTTGGCACCTTTGTGTTCCATGGTATGGGATCCAATGGGTATACCTGGGGTGTACCTGGGTATACCATGTTCCTTTTGCGACCCATGTATTTTTTTTCAATTTCTGGAAAAAAACATGCACAGCACATTAGCTTGCCTGCAAGATGTAGTTCTGAGATGTTCTGAGATGTTCTTCGATTTTGCGATTCTTGAGGATCTTGAGGTATCAGGTTTTTTTTGGGCAACCCTCGCCCAGGTAATTCCTGACTTAACATACTTAACGGATTTGAAGAGATCTTGTCTAAATTTGTCTAACGGAGGCTGGTGAGCTGGACGAAGCAAAGAAGTGGATCCAGAGGAGATGGCGCTGATTCGGTTCACCTGTGCAGGGAAGGTTGCCTCAAAATACCCCAAAGTCCACCAGGCCAAATCTCCGAAGAACTTGGGCGCATGCTTTCAAATTGCGTTAAAATGTAGGATTTCAGAATCTGAATGCAACCCAGCACGGCAGAACCTAGAGTCGCTGAGAGTCACTAGAGTAAGCCTTGAGATGTTCAGGACCACGCAAGCAAACTGAGCAAACCATGACTTTCAATGACTTTCATAATTTCAAAGTTTCTGTTCAGTGCCCAGTGCCCTGCAGAACACGAGACGCTGGGGTGCCAACGGTCACAAACATGCCAAGCTCTCAGATCCGTAACAGCTTGGGCAGCTCAGCAACAGCGGGTGGAAGTTGGGGGCTACAGCAATCGTGCTTAAGTAGAACCTGTTAAGTTATATTTGTTATCATTCTCTTGTGAATGACGATAGGTTGATGTTGTTGGCGGGATGTTTTGGTATAATCAACGATTGTGCTGGGGAGTTGGGCAGGTTTCATCGTTTTCCTGAGACGACCTGACGTGATCATAGGTTCAACAGCCTCATCTTTGCGTATGCATCCAGGGGCCAGATGAAGGCGCACAGCTGGATTCGGCGTGGAAGCCATTGACTGAAAATGTTTCAATAGTTTTCAATAGTGTTCAGATGGCTATATAAATATATACTATAGATGTCTTCAACATGTAAGTTTCTGAAGATCAGAAAATTACTATAGTTTTTAGATGTCTATACTCTATACTATAGTTTTTCTTCAACACTTTTCCTGTTGGCTCCTGTGTTTTCATTGTTTTTGCTCCGATCAGGAAGCTGCTGGTGAGGACCCCAGCAGATGCTGATTTCGAAGGATCCTGGGTGATTTTGGAGAACTATGGATATTATCCATATCAATGAAAAAACCATATTATGTCCAATAATATCATATAATATCTACATTATCACCACCCTTTTCGTGGGGTGTAAGCAGCCTACACCTGAGGCCTACAATTCCTGATGATAAATCATGATTTAAGATTATATAACAAACTTGAAGCTAGGAGGTAAATTTGAAGACCTTCAACATCTCATTTTACATTTATTTGAAGTTCAAGGATTTTTCATGATTTTCCAGTAATTTGCAAGGAATAATATACCTTCTCTACCTCTATGTTGCATGTGGAAATGATAAAAAAGGTGCAAAAACAGTATAGAATGTATTGGAAATACCAAGCAATTGGGACCCTACAAACTTGCAGACCTTCACACCATAATTTTACATTTTTTCCTGTTCTTGCATTTTGTTTCAAAAATGCAATCTTACATCTTGAACGCCCCCCTGCGTTTCTTAAGAAAATAAATGAAATCCCGTAAAGAATGAGGGGACCTACTAAAATGAAATTTTGCACATAGAACGTAGTTAGAAAAATAAATGCTTGCTGACATTTGCCAGGCCCCCCTCCCTCAAAAACGTCTAAATTGTGTCTTGCAATTTGGGTACGTCCCCCCTTAAAAGGGTAGTGATTCTATATTGACACCATAACTACCAGATTAACCAAGGGTTTTGGCATGTTTTGACGCATCCTCATTTGGTGACATGTTGACATTGGTTTCGGAGGGAGAGGGATCAAAAAAAAAAAATAAGGATCAAAAAAAACAAATAAGGATCAAAAAAAAACAAATAGGGATCAAAAAAAAAACAAAATCCAGAAAACATGAGAAAACACAAGGAAACTATCACGAAATGAAGGCAAAACCCATGGATCAAAAAAAACAAAATCAGGACAGGAAAGAAAGAAAGAAAGAAAGAAAAGAAGGAAAAGGAAAAGAAAGAAAGAAAGAAAGAAAGAAGTAACCTTCTCTTGAAAAATGAAAGGAAAGCTTCCTTCTCTTGACCCCCCCACCCGCTTTTATTTTTTAGCCGGCTCCCCTTGCTACCTACTATTCTTTTTTTTCACAAGCATCATCGTTGTTTATTTGGATTCATTTAATCTTGATTGATATCCATCGCGACTTGTGCCTATGTACTTCTTTCTTGGTACGCATTGCGGGGGGAGGCGCTGCGCCCTCCCCCCTGCACCCCCACCCGCTTTTTTTTTAATCGGTTCCCCTTGCTACCTACTATTCTTTTTGTTTTTCATAAGCATCACCGGTTATTTGGGTTCATTTTATCTTGATTGATATCCATCGAGATTTGTGCCTATGTACTTCTTTCTTGGTACGCATTGCGGGGGGAGGCGCTGCGCCCTCCCCCCTGCACCCCCCCACCCGCTTTTATTTCTTAATTGACTTCCCTTGCTACCTACTCTCTTTCATTTTTTTCATAGGCATCGTTTCTTTGGGTTCATCTTCTCTTTCTTAATCTTTATTTATATCCATCGAGACTTGAGCCTGTGTGCTTCTTTCTTGGTACGCATTGCGGGGGGAGGCGCTGCGCCCTCCCCCCTGCACCCCCCCACCCGCTTTTATTTTTTAATCGACTTCCCTTGCTACCTACTCTCTTTCATTTTTTTTCATATGTATCGTTTCTTTGGGTTCATCTTCTCTTTCTTAATCTTTATTTATATCCATCGAGACTTGAGCCTGTGTGCTTCTTTCTTGGTACGCATTGCGGGGGGAGGCGCTGCGCCCTCCCCCCTGCACCCCCCCACCCGCTTTTATTTCTTAATTGACTTCCCTTGCTACCTACTCTCTTTCATTTTTTTCATAGGCATCGTTTCTTTGGGTTCATCTTCTCTTTCTTAATCTTTATTTATATCCATCGAGACTTGAGCCTGTGTGCTTCTTTCTTGGTACGCATTCCGGGTGGAGGCGCTGCGCCCTCCCCCCTGCACCCCCCCACCCGCTTTTATTTTTTCATCAGCTTCCCTTGCTACCTACTCTATTTCTTTATCTTCGCAAGCATCGTTTATTTGGGTTTATTTTTTATATAATCAATATTTTCATTCTTGCTGCTGCTACTACTACTACTACTACGACTACTACTACTACTACTACTACGACTACTACTACTACTACTACTACTACTACTACTAGTACTACTACTACTACTACTACTACTACTACTAGTACTACTACTACTACTATTACTACTACTACTACTGCTACTACTACTACTACTACTACTACTACTACTACTAGTACTAGTACTAGTACTAGTACTACAACTACTTTCTTCCTTCCTTCCTTCCTTCCCTCGATTTCGTTTTTTTTGGATCCTTATTTGTTTTTTGATCCTTATTTGAACTTACTGGTTTTTTGCAAGATCGGAGAAACACACTTACAAGTATTATGACACATCGTGGACGAACACTTGACCAGACAACATGCAAGCACTACGTGACCTGTTCCTGGAAATGTATGTGCCGGCCAGAGGCCCGGCAAAGCGCGCAAACTAGCTCTGGCCAAGCCTTTGTTGCCACAAAAAGGTGGATGGTATGGCCCACCAACTGCTACGTTTAGTGTTACGGTACTACTGCTGCCGCTGTAATCCGCTGTATGCTGTGACAGCGCAACAAAGGTGGATGATAAGGCCCATCTACATTGCGAAATGTATCATGACCATGTGACGCTTTGCGGGGGGAGGCATTGCGGGGGGAGGCGCTGCGCCTCCCCCCTGCACCCCCCACCCGCTTTTATTTCTTAATTGACTTCCCTTGCTACCTGCTCTCTTTCATTTTTTCATAGGTATCGTTTCTTTGGGTTTATCTTCTCTTTCTTAATCTTTATTTATATCCATCGAGACTTGAGCCTGTGTGCTTCTTTCTTGGTACGCATTGCGGGGGAGGCGCTGCGCCCTCCCCCCTGCACCCCCCCACCCGCTTTTATTTTTTAATCGACTTCCCTTGCTACCTACTCTCTTTCGTTTTTATTCATATGTATTCCCAGTTGTTTTTTTTTGATCCTCCCTTTCCGCAGTTTCTGGACGATTTTCACTACGATCGTCCTTATTTGTTTTTTTGTTGATCCTTATTTGTTTTTTTTTTGATCCCTCGATTTTGTTTTTTTTTGATCCTTATTTGTTTTTTTTTTGATCCCTTAGCCGGTTTCGGATCTTTCTTCGAAAACCAAAAAAAGGTGTCATGTTGACATCGGTTGCCATGGGGCCATGGGCCCCAGGTGTCATCCGGGAGATGTTGCAAGAAGGTCACGACCCCGAAGTCTCGTCCTTTGCAGCTTTGGCCGTGGCAGCTGCACAGGACGGCTCACGAAGTCATGACGGATCCAAGCTGCGAAATCATCTGTGATGGGTCACAAAACCAATCAACCGGGTATAAAATGGATTAAAGTGGTATAAAATGGATTAAAATGGTATAAACCCAAGCATGTTCAATACATTTTATGATGGGATAGATCATCTTACAATTGGGATACAAGTCATGACTTGGAAATGCCAAAGCTTTGCACGTCATCCCTTGTTTCTCATCGTCTCAGGAGGGTGATGATGAAGCTGCAGAGCGTTGGATGCAGCAAGCGCGCGACCGGAAGCTCGAGTGTGACAACTTTGATGCGGAGGTGCCATAGCCACAGTGATTCATTTGAATAACATTAAATATGGCACAATTGTTTAATGTTATTCATTGAACAAACAGTTCATTTATTGTGCCATAACTGTTTTCCCAATGTTATTTAATGTTATTTATGTGTTTTGCCAAGTTGGGGATGGATGAATCGCTTCAATTGTTGGGTCAGAGAATGCTCTTGCACCACATGAATTGATATTGGTTTCTTCAACATCTTCAAGCTGCTTTGGCAAATTCTGTTGTGTATAGGCCTGGATATGGATTTTTCATGATTTTTTCATGCATCAAGAGCACTGGCATGGATTTGCAGTGCAAGAACATGCAAAAACCACAATGTTTGTGAAAGGTTTCCACGCAAGCAGCCTATACTCGGTGAAGGGCTCAGGGGAACTCAGGGGTACCACTGAAGGCTGTCGGATGTTCACACTTGGGGTACCCCAAAACATACCCGTTGAAATTTTTGTTACTAAATCTGAGGCCTCAGGGCCGTTACAGAATGGTTTTTGGCTACCATTTTGTGCAAAATTTTGACCCTGGGTTCTGCCATCTTGTAAGTGGACCCCCCCCTGGTACCGGAATTTTGCATTGGAAGTGCGAGTTTGTTACCCTCCAGTCCCGACCATTCTGTCGGAGTCTGGAGGGCTAATCAATAACCACTACAAATTGGATGAATTCAAACCGTAAAATTGATAATACTCAACTATAGCCCCTACAAACTGGATGGAATCAAAAAATCACAGAATAATTTTCATAGCCTAGGAGATCTCAAATAAGAATGTATATTGAATGCATCAAGTTCCAATGCAGTCTGATAAGTGCACTTTATTGATGCCAACGTGAACAAATTTAACATCAGTCGCGACTTGCGAGGCTCAGCAACAATTAGCAAAAGTCTGTAAAGGGCAAATCGAGCCAACGGATGCGAGCAGATGCGAGTCGAGCAAAATCGGTGACTCATTTTGTAACTAGGGGTCAGGTAATATATATATATATATCGATATTTAATTTTTTTGATTATGACATCCAACGTTGTATTTAATGTTTAGCTTGGCCACTCAGACAGCGTCACGCCAAAACAGACGGATGAACGCAAAAGAACAGAAAAATGAACCGCGACTTGGGCTGGCCGGGCTGTTGCAGGTTACTTCCCAGGGATCCTAGGATAGTGCGAGTATAGCCATCCCCAGTCCCCACCATTCTGTAAAGGGCAAATCGAGCGAGCGGATGCGAGTCGAGCAAAATCGGTGACTCATTTTGTAACTAGGGGTCAGATAATATAAATATATATATATATCGATATTTATTTTTTTTGATTATGACATCCAACGTTGTATTTAATGTTTAGCTTGGCCACTCAGACAGCGTCACGCCAAAACAGACGGATGAACGCAAAAGAACGGAAAAAATGAACCGCGACTCGGGTTGGCCGGGCTGTTGCAGGTTACTTCCCAGGGATCCTAGGATAGTGCGAGTATAGCCACCCCCAGTCCCCACCTTTCTGTAAAGGGCAAATCGAGCCAACGGATGCGAGTGGATGCGAGTCGAGCAAAATCGGTGACTCATTTTGTAACTAGGGGTCAGCTTGGACTGCCATTTTGTAACAAAAACCTTCCTCGGTGAACGTTGGGTTCTGCCAACTTGTAAGAAGGGCACCTTGGGGACGCCGTTCTGTAGCTACAAAATGGGGCTCCCAACCCCTCGGGTCCAATCTGAACGGGGATCCCAAAACCACGTCCTGTTCCTCCAGTAGAAACGATCATCATGATTCATTTTTGGGATGGGGACCTCCCCTATCCGAAGATGCGGTGCCCATGGGTACCCCCAATCATTGATGAATCACAATTGTAGCTATTGAAATGGCAATTTTCGTTTTTTTTTGGAATATGCAATAAGAATAATGCTTCAGTCTCAGACCCATGTTGTTGATTATACTATTAATAGTAATAGATACATATATATATATACATACTACGGCTAAGTATACGACATACGAAACAAGTTCACTGCGAATCTTGGTGCTGATCTTTGCTGCCAGGTTGGCCAGCGCGAGTAGCACTCCCGAGGCTGCTGAAAGCTGGCTGCGGCGCTTGCAGGACCGGGGCAGGGGTTTGAATTGTGTTGTTAAATTTGAGTCTGACTCGTGTCTTGAAATTTGTATCGAATCGCAGCTGCACGTGAAGCCTTCATGTGCGGTTTTTGGTTCGTACAAGTGGATTGAGCTAATGCATGAGGCATGTGCCAGGTATTGAAGGTTATTGCACCTTGTCCAACCCCCAGCCCCACGGATGAGGGACAGTTGCAAGTGATCCAATTTACAGTCGTAAGTGAGCCCCGGTATACACAAGTGAGCCACAGTCGCCAAGTGAGGCAAGAATTACAGTCGTAAGCGATCCCCCTCCCTTTTGATATCTTGTAACTGTGGACCACATTTCGTTGGCTTAAAAATCAAACCAAATATTCGGATTTGGATGTTGCAACATTGAGCACTGGTCAAACTTCAAGTTTGCTTTCAGTCAGGAAACTGGTGGCACGAGCTTTGGTTGCACTGTGGAATGAAGCAGCGCAGTTGTTCACTTTTATAAGTACTGATCTACGTTGTTTAATTATGTTTAATTTTTATTCTAAGTTGGTTTGGGTTACCAACTTATTTTGCTGCTTTTTGCTGCTTTTGGTAGTTTCCTCATGATTCAAACTGTTTCGATTTGTGGACGCACTGCACATCGGTCCGAGCAGAGTTTGTAGAAACGTGCAAAGACAGTTTTCGTCAACGAGAGAGGTATTATACAACAAAGATCATCCAGTGAAGATTATGTGCAGTTAATTTCTCATAGATGAATATGCACAAACGTATGGTTTAATAATTCACAAAAATGTATCATTATATATCATTATATGTATCATTATATAGAATTCACTGATTTCACATATAATATAGAAATACACAATCTGTTTCGTTTCCATGTGGAAGAAACCTGCACCATCCTGCAGATTCAAATGTCAGTGGGGGAATTGTGGTGTTTGTTGCGAGGCCAAGCGTTGAGAATTTCTCAGTCGTTGTGGATGTTCGGAAGCCAAACCATTTCATTGGTTTGTGCAAATGATTGAGCACTCCATTATGGAAAGTTGCCTTTTGCATTCAGTCTTGGCGGAAATGATGGAGTGCTGAGTGCTGCAACATGGTGCAACCCATGCATCACACTTGGTGCCAGTTTTGTGCTTCTCAGATGACCATTGTTGCAACTCTGCCATTCACCACGAGGCCTTTGCCAAACAGGGCCAAGTTGACAAGGCGTTAGAGTTGATGGAGGACTGAGGACAATAAGAGATATAACAGGTATTCAATACCTGTCCTGGTTAATAGCTGGATCAAAAACAAAAGAGATCCTCAAGAGTCAGGATGGGGTCCGGCAGCGGCGTTTCGCCCAGGAGATGAAGGATTTGGAGGTGCCGCCCTCCGTGGTGACCTACAGCAGTGCCATGCATGCCTGGACCAAGGCGCGGCTGGTAACAAAAACAGACAGCTCATGGGTGGTTACCATAAGAACACCTGTAAATATACAGTAACTACACAATATCGGAGAATTTGTGGTTACAGGATGTTACAGGTAAATTATGGGTATGTCGATCTGAAAATGATGCCAAGGCAGGAAACCTGGATCAGGCGGCATCAACTTTGTCGAAGCTGTGCTGCAATCAGCTGAGCCTCCGGTATCCAAATGTCTAATGCACTTCTATCGAAATCTGGGAATATCAGGTAGATTCATGTATTTATAATTATATATATAACTATATTTTGGTAGCTTCGGTTGCTTCAGATTTGAGAAAGTCATGTTGCTATATATGTCGCTTCCAGGCATTGCACTCAAAACCACAATGGGTGGACTCCAACTGTCAAAGTTCTGAGGAAAATGATGCAAATCCGTCTGGCTCCTGACGGCAGCTTGGATGCAGTTCAGACTGTGCACGTTTTTGCACGTCTTTGCATCCTTGCATTATCTTGTATTCATCCCAAACTCCACCATCCTGGAATTGACTGGAATTCTCGCTCACTTCCACAGCGCCAGGTGTTGCCTATGGGACGGTCATGGACGGCTTCGCGAAGGTGGCTGACCTGGTGGGATCCCGTGTTTGCAGCAGAGATTCCAACTGTGAGGCTGGAAAGCCTGACGATGTCATCAAAATGGCTGAGCAAATGAAGGCCAGACGCAGCCATTGGGACAGGCACAAGCAATTTGACCAGCCTGTTTGGCCATGCCTGAATTCGAAAATCATGGAGAATGAGCACGGATCATGGTGGCATCAGAGAATTACTGTGTTTTGTCTACATGTGCCATGTGCAGGTGGCTAGTAGGTAGTATCTTTATGAAGCTGCATCAGTTTCACTTCCAGATGACCACCCAGGTGTAGGCAAAATCAAAATGGCAGAATGACATTCATAACATAAGCAATTCATCAGAAATAAACAGCATGATTTATATATATATAATATAATATAATATAATATAATATATATGTGTGTGTTAACACTTATCAGATATATCAAAACGTTTAAAACTATATAGATGTAGTAGGCGCATATCTTATGTAAAACGTCCCATGGAACATGGATCTAATCTTCCTGTCGACCCACAGGCCAACGGAATCCCAGTCACCGTGCGGCACCAGAACAGCATTCTCGAGGCAGCAAATTGCATGGTGCCAAGCACTGTCAGGGAGCCAGCATAGCGCATAGCATTGCCTTACTCTACATGCTTCAAACTGCCAGAAACTGGGTCATATACCAGCTATACTGAGATCCATTAAGTATGGATTGTGTACCAGGTTCTCTGGGTTTAGAAATGCTGGCTGTATAGTGCTATGGTACATTTTCAGGGCTCGGATTTGGGAGGCATTGGTTAAAGCTGGCAAGCCGAATGATGCCGCACGGTGGCTTCTGCAGATGTCCAACAGAGCCCATGCCTGAGTCAACCTATGTGAATCATGACCAAAATAGCCCTGTTGATTGGTGCATTTGTTGGGGGTTACACTAACTGGTTGATATTTGGGATGGTTAGTTACTACTATATATATCTATTTAAAATATTTAATGATAATATAATATAATAATATAATATATATATTATTATATATAAAACCCATAACATAGAAACCCATGTACTACATCTACAACGGACCAACCAGTCTAAAGCGGGATGGGATAGGGGCGTTTTTAAAATTGGCTCAAGGCACCTCAGTCCAGATGGCAGAGGCCCCGGTTGGGATTGGGTCAAAACCGGTTTCGATGTGAAAGCCAGTGGAATCCAGAGTTTTGACAGTTTTGATCCCACACTGCAACACAAAAACACCACATTTTGCGAACATCAGCATTGATCAACGTGTCCAAATTGGGCAAGGCATTCCATGTGCCAGGAATATGGACGAACCAGATGTCTATTCCTACGCCATGGTCATGGGCGCGTCCGGCTCTTGGATACTGCAGCTTGTGTAGTGGGCTACCAGGAAGTAGATTTGCGGTGCTTAGCTTCCCTTACTTGTACTAGTAGTTAGGATGAAAGCACGTCGTAGGAATTGTCGACAAGCTTCAAGCGCCACTATCATACCACTGATATTACACCAACATACACCAACTTATTTTCTCGAGTGCCAATTTGTGGGCTGGTTCTTAGTCTGCGGATGGCTTGTCCAAATCAACAGTGACCAAGAAGCGGTTGATATTAGTATGGGCATGAGACAAGAAGACACCCATCCAATATATCACAGAATATCAGTTGAATATCACAGAATAACATTGGACTTCTGATACCTGCTATCTGGGACAGGACCTCCACTGCCATGGCACTGAGGTTGGCATCAGCAGGGCGAGTAAGCTCTGTTGAGTCTCTCAACCAGGCGTGCTACACACCTTCGGGCCATGGCGGCATATGGCGGCCATCCGGGGCCAGAGTTACAGGTACTTACAGGTCATGGGCAGCCAGTGGTCCTTCGGGAGGCCCCTCTATGAACCTATTTGTGGGAGAGGAATGTGGCTTTGTCTACCAAAAGGTGATCATTAGGGCCATTGGATTCATTAGATCACGGGGAAAATGAGATTGAACCATGAGATTTTGGGGTTTCATGACCATCATGACCCCTTTTGCTTCAGACATCCGGAATGCAGGCAATGCGACTGGCTGGAACCGAAGCGACGCCTTTGCTGCACGAGGTAGTCATGAGAGGTGCCACTGGATGTTGTTCCTGGGGAAAAGGACGGTCCGGTCATAGGAAAGGACAAGGATTCATGATGGTTTATGAATATTTTATTGATTGTTAATTAGCATTTACTGATGCTTATCGGATCTTGTGGGTGTTTATTGTGCTGAACTTCAAAGAGTTGATATGTCATCTTGTCAGGCTACCTCGAAGCGAAGAAGACGAAAGATGCTCACAGGCGAGAATTTTCCATGATCAGTGCAGAAGATTGGTAAAAACTGGAGACCCAATGGAGCCACAAGACGAAGCATACGAAGCATGTTGTTGATATTACCCTCTGGTAAACTAACATAACTATGGAAAATCACCATATTTAATGGGAAATTCCACTATAACTGGCCATTTTCAATAGCTATGTTAAATTACCAGAGGGTATGTTTGTGACATGAAAAACGATCCGTGTTGGTTTGACAATTGTGACCCATACCCACGATGTGATGACATCTTTCAAGACTAATGCCATTCGTCGGGAAACTTGTCCAACATCAGAGCTGAGTCATGCTGAGTCTATGTAAATTGGAAGGCTTTACTGTACCTATCTGTACCTCACTTCTGAATGGATCAGAAACCAAGGATTCAGTTCTGGTGTTTGCAGGTGGCTACAAGAGGCTGATGCGTCTGGCATCTCGCTGAACGCCAATCTCGTCTGCTGCGTCCGCGCCTTTGTTTGCCGTCAACGTGGACATGGGTTCAAAATATCCGTGCATACATTATGTATTAAATTATATATATATAATATAATCAATTTTGATTAATCCTGATTAATTATACTGGGATGTTTACTTTAATTGAGCTACTGTATACTTGTGTTACACCACTTGCACCTCTGAGGCAATAGATGTGTGTCTCCGCAATCGGAAAGCAGAAGAGGGCTTTCGGTGGTTGGAGCGGATTCAGGACCAATTTGCCGTTGGGTGACAAGGGAAGATCAGGATCTCCGCGAGATCAAGGATGGCAAGGGTGCAGAGGCTAAGGCAATTCGCAGGCCATTAGACAAAGCCTGAACCGAGTGTTTATTTTTGTGCTGACCCAAGATAAAGAGCAGTGCAATGTGATATAATGTGATGTGGTGTAATGCAATGGAATGTCACGCAATTTGAGATAATGTAATGTACAGTGATGTATGGGTTTGTAAGGCTCACCCTTCAACATCATGCCACTCCACACTTCCATGACATCAGGCTTTGGAAGGGCTTTGGAGTCGATAAGTAATAACAAAGAGTTGAGGACACCCTCCATCAGGAAGGTTTCAGTCATAGGGCTGAAGGAGTCAAAACCAAGCGGCATAATGGCCGTGCCTTCCTTTCACCTTTTGGTCACCCCAGTATGACACCATGATCAATATGCTGTATAATTATTAATTAATATTAACCATTATTAACCAACATTCCCTTCCATCCAGTCACTTCCAGTCACCTACTTTCCAAGGAGGCCAACATTCCAGTACCGACACAAGGCACGGCTTCGCGCAGTCACTATCAGAGCCGTGGCAATCCCCTGATGTCACTGGACCACCTGAGGCTCTCGCGCAGTTCTATTCCACATATCTGCAGTGAAATGCTGTGCACAGGCAGAATTCATCCCGATTTTTTTTGGGATATCACAATGTATTCACAAGTCATGGCAGGGAAACATGAGCATCATGAGCTATCGTAGAGGAAGATGTTGAAACTGGGGGCTGAAACAGCCAGATGCGAAACATTCTTTGTATTCTTTTGTCCTGCATGGGTCAGTTTCGCGCAATTTAGATCAATTTAGGCGGTTGTGAGTTTGATACAAAGTTCATAGTCTATACTTGCGATACTTGATTTGGTTAACAGCAGTTTTGCATGCCATGTTCCAAGTGCAAAGACACAGCCACAGCCCCTCCAGGCAGGAGATGTCGATGCCGGCTTTGACTGGCTACAGCGAGCTGAGAATGCTGGTTTGTCGCTAGAGCAGCATTGTATGGTTTTACATGGTTTTACTATATGTTTTATTCCTGGAAGATTGTACTTGCAACACATTCGAATTCATGGTATATTACACATTCTTCACTCAGCAGAAGAAATCGGGGTAGCCATCCGAGGCAGATATTGTTTGTTCATGTTCATTCTGTGTTCATTCTGTTTGGGCGCGTGGGTGTTGAGTCTTGGGTCCAAGGAATTCGGAGCAGAAGGCAAGGCCAACGGATTGCAGTCATGAGAACAGCTGGATGAAGCAATCAAAGGTCCAAGCCTCCAAGAGCCATGCCCAAGCATTTTTCAGTAATTCTTGATACGTTGTTCTCCCCTTCCTATTATATATTTCATAACAAACATCGCTTGCCTTGTGGATTCTTGAGTTGTCCACCCTGACATTCGAGCCTTTTTCAGGGCAAAGGCAAAGGTGCAGCCCTCAGATTCGGCAGCAAGTCATGAGTTGGCCCATGTTGGACCCGAGGATGTGAAGTCCTGACACAGAGTCCCCATAGTCTCGACTTGACGCAGTGGTTGAGTCGGTTGATGTGTTTCTGGCGATATCTGGAGGACATGGAAATCCGGACATGGGCCATGGATGGCCATGGCACTGATCCCGGTTGGTTGATGATTATAGGAGGTCATACTACCCTATATGCAGAAATAATAAAGTTAGAGGAACTATGATGAACTGAACTTGGCCTCTCCATATGTTCATAGATATTATATGATATTATGCATATATACAGTATATGACATATAAATACCATATAAATACCATATATAACTATAAAACAAACACTCCATCCTTGAAGCTTTGGCGAGCGGCAGAGGTGTCCCTTTGCGGCCCGCCTACCTGGCCCTGATGAAGGCACTGATCTCGCTGGGCGCCACGGCGCATCGCTGCGCCAGTTTTTCGCCAGGCTTTCGCGTTTCGTTCGATGGAGATCCTGCTGCGGGTCTTGGAGTCTTTGGAGGACCTGGGGCTGGGGCTGGTGCTAACCCGAAGGAAGACTCCCAAAAAAGAACGCAAAAGTAAAAGAGGACCTGGAAGGTTTAAACTCTCAATGAATTTGCTTCAAGTCAAAGTGACCCCAAAGACAATGTCCGTTGGGCAGCAGGTCCTTTGAAACGAGCGCGGCAGGGAAACCTGGCGCCAGGAAGCCGAAGAATCCATCGATCTCATGGCTCGATGTGAGCTGATCGAGCTGTTGGCCAGCCAGAATCTCAGCAATGGGTGCCACAAATCTTCCAACAGTCCCAGTGACGATACTGAATCAGTGTAAATGTATTGTAAATGTAATAAATATCAAATAATTCTGTATGATTCTGTACTTGGTATTGCTTGGAAAGGCTTCACCAGGCCCAATCCACATGACTGTGGTAATCATATCACTCACACAACAGTGCCTCTACATGCTAAGATGTGGAATCAACACAGTAGCATAGAGGCTTTCAGGTCTCGATGGACAAACGATTGAGCAGTGTTTGAGCTTCGTAGTTCCAGTTCCGAGTTTCACCTGAGGCAAGATATCCAGAAAGGACTGCCAAATACTGCAAAAACCGGGTTAGGATACAAAGTTTGGTATTGAAATGTAATGAAAGTGGGTGCCGATCATGAGCGCATGGGTTCACATTGATTGTCGATCTATCAGAGAGCGATGTGCTTACTGTCATACCGTGTAAGATCGTGCAAGTCATGATGGATTTTCCAGCAATCATGATGTTTGTCTTTTCTATGATCAAGACCAAGAGTGCTTTGAACAACTTTGAACATCATTGAAAGCAACAAACATAGATATGATATGATATGACTATGGTTTTGGCATCCAGAAAAACGAGAGGACACTTCCATGGATTTGTTTGCTTCAGCAAGCCACCGTACGTGGTTACCTGCGCATACCTGGAGCGCGTTGCGCAGGATGCCCTTGTGTTACTCCAGCGGGTGAAGGACGAAGGGAAACTCTCGGTCTTCCTTTTCAGCCGAACCATTTCGGCGTGCACCAAGGCGGACGGCAGTGGCTTTCATCGAATGTGAATGTCTGCACAAATCAACATGAAGCAACTGTCTTTGAAACTGTGTGAACATGTAGTTTCAACATGTTTCAATGTATTTAATTTCATTGTGCATAATGATGTTGGATAACTAATATTGATTTACATAGATGAGATACATAATACATAATATACATATACCTCATCAGACTTGCCTGCCAAGCACAGAACTCTTTTGACCTGCACGATTGACACAGGCGGGCAGGGTGGACGAGGCCATCTTCTGGTTCGAAGTCCCTTGGATGAATCACAGGTTTTGCTGCACGTGACATGGCAATCAGAATTAGGATGACTGATTGTATATAGGGCATATAGGGTTATCATGGGTTATCATAATTTGATAACCACAAGGTCATATTTGAGTGTTCTTGCACATGTTTTTTATCCGCATGAAGCAATTACAATATGACAGCATCTCTGTTGCCAACCGTTATTCTTGTGACAATCCATGTTCTACCGCTTAGGAAATGCAGCGGGCCGGGATTGAGCCTGACACAGTGGCCTGGAATAGTCACTTGGCATCAGTTGGCTGAGTGAAATGTAGTGTCATTTATATAGTGTCGTTTGGAAAGGGCTAGCATGACAAGACTGTTCCTAGGTGAAACAAGGTGAAACAAGCGTGGTTGAAAGCATCTTTCTTCTGGATGTTATGAGTGAATCTGAGTGAATGTTGACCCTGGCCAAGGCATCATCAATGCGTGTGCCAGGACAGGGAAAGAAACTCAATGGAAACAATGAACAGAAAGAGTCTGTCGCCAAGAAAATGGTAGCAGGGCATCCATTGATTTCCTGGTTTGAAGCGTGATATCATGAGATATCTATAAATATGTGTTATCTACAATATATGATTCTGCGAGTCTTGTTCACTGTGCATTGTTACAATTAATAATTGCGCCCAAGAGCCTCAAGGTCCAGATAGTTCCAGTGTTTCTGGTGTTTCTGACCTTCGCCTAAAACGCACAGCGTGACTTTCTGTGACTTTCTGTGCAGGGCTGGTCGAGCAGCCGAAGCTGAAATGTGGTTAGGCACGATCATTCCACTGTGGATCAGAGGCAGCCCATAGCTAATCAGAATTAGGATGACTAGGTTATCATAGCAATAGCGTTATCATGAGTTATCATTACCAAACAGATCCAAATAGTATTACTTTGATAACCAATAGTTACCAATAGTATTACTTCCAGAACCATCCAACAACCATCCATTTTGAAATCGGACGCACAGGTAAGATGGAAGCATCTGGTACCACGCCAGATGTGGTTTCCTACAACATCGTCATCAACCTTTGTGCTCACACTGACCGTCCTCAAGAGGTCATATCCAGCGGAGGATTGGAATTTCCATTGGAATCTGCACCACATAAGATGTGCCTTAAAACATCTGCAAGTCACATCTTAAAACATCTTAAAGCGCCAAAGGTCTCTGTTTATTCTGTTTGCTTTGTTGAAGCCTTTTGCGCTCCAGAGGCATGTTTTGACCAGATGAGACCTGACAAGATCTACAGATAGAGACATTCGAAGAAATCTCTGAAGCCGCTTTCAGCATCAAAGTCCCATGCCAGCGCTGGCAGTGACGGAGACCATCAGGCCTCAAGCGCTGTGGCATTTGATAACGTGGTTACCAGTGGTTACCTACAACGGCAGTGTATCAGAGGTCAAGTCGTTCTTGACAAATGACCTGACTTGAATATTTGAGGGCACCTCATTGCTTATCGTGTTGGGATCTCTACTGACAACATCCATATCGTACCTGGTCATGCAGCGGGCAACTGACGAGGCGTGGATGGTCACAGTCTGCATACAGATCAGCAACTGGGCGCGGTTGAGCTAAAGCACAGAACACGGATGCCTTACTGCAGCGGAAGCTGTGGCACGTGTCCGATATCATCCATACAGTCCATCGCTGAGGCAATCAGCACCTTTGCCAAGACCAGTGACTGGCAAAACGCTGTCTACCTCTTGCAGCAGATGCACAGGTATGAAGTGCAGTCGGATGTTGTTCCTTGGCAGAGGATACAGGCCTCCTGCGGAATACATCACTGGACAAAAAGTGACAAGAAGGTGCTAATTGGCTGCAAATGAAAAGAAGGAAATACCATGAAATACCGGAAAATCAGCATTGAACGGCAGATCTCAGCTTTGCCCAGGTCATGTACAACGCCACCATCAATGCCTGCAAGGGAGAAAGATGGCAAATAGCTTTGTCGTTGCTGTTCGAGCTGGAGAGGCCACTGAATCCATGGCTGCCATATGCTGCCATGACTATCTTTGTTCAAAAAACATGACGTCAATGGAAATCTGCAGGGAAGCCTTGGAGAAAGATGACATCAGCTTCAACAGCTCCATTGGCGCTACAAAGCATCACTGGCCTTTGGCCATGTTATTGTTTGTTGAAGCACAGGACAGCTATGATCCGCTGGGGCCCAGTTCTTGCGTGAAATGTCCGGGATGACATTTCTGGTGATTGTTCGTTGGAAATCCGTCCGCTTGTTCAGAAACAACATATTGCATCATATTGCGGTGTGTCGACTTGTTCTTTGAAGAAGCACCAATTGAAATCCGCAGTGATGATAGTGATGCTACCAGCTACGACCTTCTTGGTCTCACTGTGTTTTCTCTTCAATTATATATTATATTCATTTATAATCTATATGAATCTTAGAATATCTTAGATCCGTGGAGATTTGCACATTGGACCTTGGGATCATTGGGACGTCACAGGATCATCGCCAGGCGGACCTCATCACCCGCAACACGGCCATCTCTGCCACTCCCTGGCAACTGGCCACCCAACTGTTGGAGGCTGATCCCAGCGGCGTGCCGGATGCGATCAGCTTCAATACCGTGCCTTGGTAAAGGGATGTAAAGGGATGGTTAGCCAAAAAATCTGAGTTACGCTAAAAAAGTGACTCAAGTTGGATGAATGAGTTCTTCAAGCCGGATGAATATCATGCAGCAACTAGTATGACTGAGATTTGATATACTGATATACTATGATATACTATGATATACTATGATATACTAGTATAGTAGTTCCCAAGAAAGTTGGTGTCAAGTCCTGCAGCCGTTGTGACACCGTGACAGCAACAGTACAGCAACGGTACAGCTGAGGCCATCAGCAGCGAGAAATGCCAGTGGCAGCATGCCATGGCCCTTCTACAAGAATTCGAGGTTTGCCATGGAACTGACACCTCTACTGACGTATACTGACCGAGGTTGCAGATGATTCAAGTAGACGGGATGTGACTCGATACAGAATTTCAGCGGTATCGCCGGTATCGCCATATTTAAACTACTTGAATACCAACTAGTTAGATGAGAGCCAACTAAAGTATAGTATAGTTAAAACCCCGTTGGGGCAGTGAACAACACACGGGGCTGCGATATCTGCGATGACTGCGAAAGGTGAAAGCTCTTCAACTAGATGTGATCAGCTTCAGTGCAGCAATCAGTGCATGCGGAGGAGGCATGGAGATGAGAAGCTGGTGGTTTTGTTGTGGGAAACTGGTGGGAAGCCAACCAAAATGTGCCGTGTTGGGCCGTGTGTTTTTTTTTTTCCAGGAAACCAAACGAAGACAAGCCTCTTATTATGTCTTACCTCATGGCCGGGACTGATGCACGAACACCGTGTAGAAGGCGAGCGAAATTTGACATACTGCCACGTATCAAGTGTCCTCGTGCCTACTCACTCTTGATAAGATAGCAAATACTGAGCGCGTCATGCCTGTCTACTGCTCACCTGCAGAAGATGTCATTTGGAGCAAAACAACATCTCTAGACTCTCCACACATAGAGTCCAGGATAAATCGGATAGATGACACTGTCCCTGCTACCACAGCACAACTTCCTACATACTCATTGAATGTCATTGATCTTATTGGTGGCACTGCAGAGGCCAACAGTGGGAGCTGACAATCCAACTTCTTCACGAGCTTCAAAAGGGGATGATCCGTGGCAGAAAGACTGCAAACTGAGACAATCTGAGACAGCCTGCTGTAGTTTTGACACACTCAGATAGCCGGCTTGTACTTTCTTAATACTTTTTGGACACCGCGTGGATTTTAAGTTTTGGACACGGCACGACATTCCCTCACTGTTAATGACAAACAACATCAAGGGATGAACAATTATGTCCATTCAGGAAGGCCACCATCGTGTGCTACAATGCCGTGATCGGAGCATGTGGTTCTGCCTGGCAGAAAGCTCTGGTGCTTTTTGATCAGACGAAAGGTTTGCAGAGGAGCATCATCACTTACAATTCGACTGCAAGTGCATGTGTGAAGGGCGAGCAATGGCAAACAGCATTGTCGCTCTTGCATGAACTTCCCAAGTTGAAGATTCAGCAACTTGGAATTGAACTTGCCGTTTCAACCCATTCCCAGTCTATTTCCAGCACGGGCTGGTAAAAGTCCCGTTTTGAGGATGTTTGATCTATATATATCCTCCCTTCAAATGTCTTTGAAGATGCTCCTTCCAATGGTTGGATGATGCTGCAATGGGGACATCTCATCAACTGTCCAGTGAAGCCGGCAGAATCGGTCGAGGCCAAACGTTGTGACGCTGGGCATCCGGATCGGTGCCTTTGAAAAGGGCCGGCGATGGCACCATGCGCTGTGGATTCTTTTTCATGGGCCGCACAAGTGCCTCGTTTGCTTTTCACTGCTGTTTGTTAAAGGGGCAACATGAATCAACATTGAATCAACATGAGATCATGACGATACCCATCAAATTCAAACGAATTCAAGTTCTCTTGTCAAACCCCACACAAAGAGACTTTGTGTCAGGAACAGCCTGATCGCACTGAATTCTGCCATCACCGCCTGTGAGAAGTGCGAGAAGTGGCAACACGCTTTGATGCTTCTGAATGAATGTTGGCACTTCGGGGTCCAAGCAGATGTGGTTTCCTTCAGTGCAGCCATCAGTGCATGCAGCAGATGTGAACAATGGGAGAAGTCCCTGGACCTTTTGCACGACATGATGGAGAAGAACATGCAACTAAATGTCGGGTCCTGAGACGGTAATAGAGAGGGAGTGTTGGGTCAAAATGACTGGCCCGCCAAAATAGATCAAAATATATAATTACACGGTTTCAGCAACACTAATAAGGATACGACTAGCAAACTTCAGCAAACATGGGATCAGAATTGATACTAACCCAACTAAGCCTGACCATTCGTCCATTTCTTATGATATAGCATTATAACTTATAACTTATAACTTATATAACATATTATAACAACAGTATAACCGTGTTTTTTTCTAACAGTATTTAACCTTTAACCCCCATGTTAAACCGGTTAAACCTCTCAGCCGTGGTCATCCTGGTACCAACCGAGGTCATCGCCTACAACGCCGCCTTGGACGCCTGTGCCGGGCGCTGGTTGGAAGCGATGGATTTGCTGCGGGACTTGCGGCAGCAAGGAGCGGATCGGATGGGCTGCGGGAGCTGGATACGAAGATTGCCGAGGTCATGTTGAAACTATGATAAACTATGCGAGTCATATTTATATATTATTTATATTATTTATGATATGCAATTAGAATCATAGTTATATTATGGTTCTTCATGTTCCCCATTGAAAGATGGTAAAGGTGTCGTTATTTTTGGGGGGCCACCCATGTTTGCACAAAGCCCTCGCCTTGGTGGTGCCAGGATTAGAGCAAAATGTGATCACCTGGGGATCGAGCATCACAGCAGTTGGACAGCAGCTGAGCAGATGAGTTCAGGGTCTCAAGATGCCAAGATGTATACAAAAAAAGGCGAACCAGTGAGTTCCTTCAAGATTTATTGATCACATCCCAACATTTGCGAGGAAACAAGTACATTGGTCAGAGGAGTCATGGGATACTCGGGATGTCCTGTGATTTGTATGATGTTGGAAGCATTGCCAAGGAATCTCCGATGGCAGAGAGCCATTTCATTTCTTCATCAATTGGAATCTACGGGACTTCGCCAAAATGAAATCACCTACAGTGCAGCAGTAGTTTCATGTGAGCTCGCCACCCATGCAGCGGAAAAAATGCAGGGAGCAGCACGGAGGGTTGACACTGCATCAAAGGAATTCAACAGATATCAAGAATCAGGAGTAAGGAGTCCAGCTTAGTATTCAGATTCAGAAGGAAGAGAACATTTATATTAGATATATTAGATGCTGATACGTTGCTTTGGCACATTCACTTCCTTTGAGATGTTGAACAGGTTGCAAAACCCAGTGGTGTATGTGGTGTGGCTGAAAGATTCTGAACGCAACGGGCAGTTCGGCTCAGTCACCCATCCTCAGGAAAACGGATGGCATCGTGGGAATCTGCCATCAGCAGTTTGTATGGGAACAGTGGTCCCAAAACTGTGAAGTCCTACAACGTGGCAATCAATGCATGTGGCAAAGGAAACCAGTGGCAACTTGCTGTGTTTCTCTTGGAGGATTTGAAAGTGCGAACCTTTCAACCAGATGTCGTCACTTTGAATTCACTGATCTCTGCATGTAGGGAGCAATGGTTGCTGGCTCTGCACCTGCTACACGAAATGATCCAGGGTTACTCAGTGGATGTGATTAGCTTTAGTGCGGCAATTCGTGCATGTGAACGAGCTGGAGTCTGGCAGCTTGCCTTGTCACTCCTGCAGCAAATGAAGGAGCAGATGTTGCAGAGCAACGTGATTGTCCACAACTCTGTACTGAGCGTTTTCAGTCAGGCCGGGGAATGGGAAAGAGCGTTGCTTTGGCTTCGAAACATGAAGGAGCAGATGGCTTGCACAACGATTTCCTACAATACGGCAATCACTGCGTGCGCAAGATCTGCTCAATGGCTTCAGGCCATTCATCTCCTTTCCTTCGAGTCCTTCGAGTCAGTTTCAACTGACATCATCTCCTACAATGCTGCCATCAACTCGTGCGAGGACAGCGGACTGTGGGAACTTGCACTGCAGTTGTATGGCCAGCTTCAGGAAAGTTCCCTTCAAAGGAACGTGGTTACCTTCGGTTCCATAATAAGCACCTGTGGCAACGGCAGCCGTTGGGAAGTGGCCATGTACTTTCTGCAAGAGCTTCAGTCATCGGACCTACAAGCGAACTTGATTACTCTCAATGCAAGCCTCATGGCATGCGAACGATCTCAGCGTTGGTCCACTGCGTTGCAGCTTCTTCGGGATGGCCTTAACACAACTTTAATCCCCAACATCGTGTCCTTCAATGTGGCCATCAGCACCTGCGGCAAGGCAGGTCAGATGCTGTTGGTCAGGCGCTTGCTGTTGCGGCTCAACCGCTTGGGATTGGAGCCGAATCTCATCACCTGCAATGCAGTGCTGAACAGCTGCGTGGCGACCTCTGGTTGGGAGCAGGCTCTGGCGATGCTGCACCAGGCGGTGTTGGAAGATCTTCAGCCGGACCTCACCAGTTGCTGGTGTTGGAATGGGTTTATGATGGTTTATGTCTGAAAAATGAGAGGATGCACTATAGTTGGATCATGTTGGATCTAGTTGGGTAGTTTATGGCTATTTTGATAGAGGATATTTGATGATTAGCCCATGGATTTGGTGTACAGGTGACCCGTTTTTGGACGGTTTGAACAAACCCAGATTGCTGGATGACAAAGATGGATGACGGATGATCCCAATTGACGTCAAATTTTGGGGTTGAAGCCACCAGGTTACAATGCAGCCAGCAATGCGTGTGTTTCTGCTTCCAGATGGCCGGAAGCATTGGCACTGCTGAAAAATGCAGCATTGGGCCACTTGGATTTAGATCGCATTTCCTACACCACTGCCATCAACGCCTATGAACGGGGAGACAAATGGCAAGAGGCAATTGCGTTGCTGGCCAGCTTTCCTGGTGAAGCAGATGCTATCCTTTTCAACGCTGCCATCAATGCATGCGCCGACCAGTGGCAGAAATGCGTGCTGCTGCTAAACCAAATGCAACAGGATCAGATCCAAGCCAACATAATCACCTTCGGCGCCATCATCAGTGCCTGCAGAAACAGCAAAGAGTGGAGAGAAGCAGTGCATATTCTAGGTTTCATGCAAAGGTCCCACGTTGAAACCAACGCCATTGTGTGCAATGCAGCCATCAATGCGTGTGGAAGGGCAGAATACTGGCCTCATGCACTCCAAATCTTGGTCATGATGGAGAAGGCTGCTGAGATGGTTTGACATCTCAGATGCTGACGAAAAGTTGGTTGAAGGTCACCAGATTTTGACCAAGACCCACCATAATGTACAGATCATGATTGTTCAATATTGTTCATTGTTTTCTCTCATTGGCTCACCATTTCGAGTTCTATAGTTTGGGCGTTTCAGCTGAGTCACCAGACATTTCTCGGAGGAGACGATCGAAGCTGACCTTACCAGCTATGACACGCTGATTGCAGCCACCGCCAGCTGTGGATGCAGAGAGCAGGAGCGACCACGGCCTGACTGAGGGTTCAATGATGTTCTATCGTGTTTGGACATTGACGCAAAGTATGTGACTCTGTGTATGTGTGAAAACTCTTGTACAGTTATTTCAAGTTATTTCTTATGATTTTCTCTATATAATATCTTCTAGTTTGGTTGGATGTGCTGAAGAACTTGGAAGGTTCTGGCAGATGAGTCTAGACAGAGTTTGGCCCCCTGAAAGGCTTCGCGTTTCAGATGTTGTTTGCTGAAATGGTCCACAGATAACGCAGAAAAATACATCTCATATCATGCCATCCCCTTTGCACATATGTTAAAGCTGACTGATCGCGGCGACTATTTAAAGTTTAAAATGTGTTCCATACATGTCCAGAAAAATCGCATATCATGCATTCAGCTGCACTGATAGCAGTGACTGAGAGGCCTGGATGCTGGCAGCTGACTCGCGGCCTTTGCGTTCGCCCCTGGAAGTTCTTTGGGCCTTGGCCACTGTGAGTTGCAACGATGCGGAGGCGGCAGCAGTTGCCAGCAGTGGCCAGTGGCGAAGGGCCAATATTATGATGGATATCTTCAAAACAAGCAGGATATACCGATATACCAGGATGTTTGGGTTAGTGCAACAACCAGTTTTGGCGAGTTTGGGGATAGAGATGGATAGAGTATCCCGAAATCACCCGAAATCAAGATACACCCAGGATGGAAGTTTGAAAGTGACTGCAGGTGTCACCTTGCAAGGAGGTTCCACAGACCCATGGCTGTACATCCTGACACTTTCACGTCTCAAGGCCATTCATGGCCATTCAATAAAAATTGAGCAGAACATGCCCGTGGAATTGCTATACCATGTCGATCCATGTCGTAAAGTTCTCCCAAGCTTAGACAAACTACACTGATCGCACTCTGATCGCATTTGCCGTTGAGACAGACGTCGCTCCTTACAAGGAAGGACGTGCTTAGTAGTTGACGGTACCAGCAAGCTAATCTTTGCTTCAGACCCATTTGCATCATCATTTAGCTACTCTTGCTTTGCCCATTACTGGTAGATCACTGCCATGGGATGTTCACTCTCCACCACCACGATCGTGGTCTCAGAAGGAGGGCCCCCAAAAGCAGTGGCTGAAGCGCAAGTGCTCGAAGCTGAAGCAGTTCTGCCTGCACCAAAAGCAGATGAAGCAGACAATCCACCGAAAGAGAAAGAAGTTGAGCCAATTGAGATACCAGTCCCCAGCAATGAGAACCAGGGGAACAATCAAACGAATCAGATCGCCGAAGAAATGATCGCACCAGAGTGGACCAAATCGGTTTCAAGTTTGACCTGGGCAGCTTCAGAAAAGTTTGCTGCCGATCAAAAGGGCCGACTTTTGACAGTGGAGGAAGCAAAGTCTTTCTTGAAGAAGCGTGGAAAGGCCCTATATCCTGGAGAAGACCAGTGGGCGGCGTGCATCCGGAAGGATGGTGGAAAAGACTGGATCCAGGTGGGAGACACCCGGCACCCAGTTAGAAAGTCCCATGTGGACGAGGGCTCAGGTTATCCACCCTGGGGAGATGATAGCTCTGGAAATCCACCTTTTTCGCGTTCCGTGATGTGGTTTCCAACCACCAGCCCCAAGAGCTTTGCAGCATCATCTCGGAAGCCACAATGGAAGCATGGGAAGAGTTTGACCTGGCATGCGTCCAAGGACTGGGGTGTTCCTAGGCGGGACCGCCCTTCCTGCTACAGAAAGATGAGGGACGTTGTAGCAACCCACTTATACAACATCCACTGTTCAGTTTTAGGGATGCAGTATTTCGGACCAGGCAAATCTTAAAATCTTCAAGATGCTAGAAACTATGATTGAACCATACAGGACCATACACTTTACTTGCCCATCAATCTTAGTCAATCTTTAGATTTAATTTAGACTTCATGAATAAATATAACATAATATAACCCGTATTATTTTCATGAATAACATATATATAATAACATAATATAATAACATATAATAACATACCACAACATACTCTGTGCATCTCTGTGGTCCCAAGATGGGTATGTCGTGCTGCCGTGTTTGCTTTGCGTCCCGGAGGACGAAGCATCCCGGGAAGGCGGTCGCCTCCTTGAGTTGGAGGACCATGTGGTAAACGGTAAATGTGGTATACCTCCAGGAAAATAGCCATGAAAAAACAGCAAAATATATGGAAAAAAACAGCAAAATATATGGCATCTTAGGCAAAATGATGCTTCAAACAGTGGGTACAATGGGGTACACCATGTTTGATCATTTTTGGACAAAGCCACATGCGAAGCCTTGTGAAAGATTGTGAAACAGTGATAATCTTATTCTTGGCTTCAAGATTAGTGTACTGTGATCAGCTGCTTATGATCTCTTATCTAATTGCATACCACTCCACCATACCACTCCACCAATTGCAAGCAAAGCACTGAAGTATTGAGACTGCAGTGCTTGCCACATATCAGGACTGCTGGTTGCATGTTTTTCACACAAGATGTTGAGAATAATTTGATATACAGCAACATGAGTTAACTAGAATCTGAAGCACAACCCACAGATTCCTCTTCATGTCAGGAGGGCAGGGAATTCCTGAAGCATCACGGACCCATTTGCCCGGGCGAAGATCAATGGGTGGCCGTGGAGCGAAAAGATGGACGCAACGGGGGACGTGATTGGCTGCAGGTTGGGAACAAAATTCACCGGGTGGGAAAGTCTCACTGTGACCAGTGCGGTGGATATCCCAAATGGGGCGATGATGTTTCTGGAAATCCACCATTTGCTCGAACACTGCTGTGGATGGCTTCAGAGTCAGCCGCCAAGCCTGGACCTGTGTGGCAAAGGGAAGGTTGCAGCTTGACTTGGGATGCCTCAAAGCAGATCGCTGCGCGCATGGGCGGTCGATTGTTGCTATTGCAAGAAGCACGAACTTTTCTGAAGGCTGGCACTTTAAGTCCGGGAGAGGACCAGTGGGTGGCAGTGATTAGACGAGACGGTGGGAAAGATTGGGTTCAGGTAGGAGACAAACACCACCATGTTGGAAAGTCCCACGTGGAGTGTGGTGGATATCCCAAGTGGGGGGATGATGCATCGGGGAATCCACCATTTAACCGCACTCTGCTTTGGATTTCCCTGGGTTTGGTGCCTCTTGAAACCAAGTGGGTGAAGCCTGAATCGACGATTTGGAAAAGGGACACTGGAGAGATTTGTGAAGCCATGTGGGTGAAGCCCGGACGAAGTCTAACATGGTCAGATTCCAACAACTTTGCGGAGGAAAGGGCTGGGCGTTTGCTCACCCTAAAAGAAGCCAAATCTTTCATAGCAAAGCAGGGCCCATTGTTTGCGAATGACGACCAGTGGGCAGCTGTAGTGCGTGAGGATGGCTCGAAGGATTGGATGCAGGTGGGCAACAAAGTGCATCAAACTGGAAGATCGCATGTGGACGACTTGGGTGCTTACCCATCTTGGGGCGATGATGCATCCAAAAATCCACCTCACTCTCAATCAGTTTTATGGCTGGCGGCCGACATTTTCAGTCCCGGCTTCATCCCTGGCGCTGTTGGCTAAGCCAACTGAGCCGCTACCGCCATGTCAAAAAGGCACAAGAGCTCCCAAGCTGCTAAGGGAATGTGCGAGATCAATGTCAAGTGGTTTTAAGGGAACTGGGTATGTTTTTCTTTACAAAGCTGCCAAACGCGCCTGGTGATGATCATGATGAATTCATTGAATTTTGATTGAATTCAAATCGAGATCATAAAGTCTCTTGGTTGATCACGCAAGTCACGAAAGGTAGCGTCAGCTACCTGAGTCAACGTGCGTTAGCACTTGGTGGTCCATTTCCACTCGTAGTCACCTAGTTGGATTAAGAAGGAAATCTTCACTACCGGGAGGGGGGGCTCCCTGAAAGTAACACCTCTTTTGCTCATTTGTTTGTCCACATAGATCGCGCCCCAAAGTCCCATTGTTTATCACGTTTTTCCACTCTGTTTCATGTCTTTTTCAATATAATATATACACCATTTCAACAAGCTTCCGTTCCAGATTCCAGGTGCTTCCACCACTGGTGACATCCCTTCTAGCCATTTCCATCTCCCAGCGACTCCGCCACATGCAGGTGATCCATGCTGCTTTGGTAGACGTGGTCTCGGCCGGCCGGGCCGATACTGCGAAGCTGCTGTGGTGCATGGGGCAGCTGGGCGTCTCTCCAGTGAGGCCAGCAGATGATTTGCCTGTATTGATGGATATTGATGGTGATTTTCCACAGCTATGGTCTAGTCTACTGGAGGATAGTCTTGGTATGTCTTAGTGAAGCTGTTAGTGCTATAGTAGATGCTTTGTAGCGGCGGTAACAAGACATATCACACACAAACGATCACGCATTCACTGTGTTCAGTCAAGTGCAAGCGATGAATAGCGATGAGGGATGCTGATGATATCTGAATATATCTGATGATGCTGCGCAAGGTCCTTTAGCCGGCAATTTCTCAGGGACATCCAGGGTCGCCAGCTGGAAGACTTGATTTTGGCAGCTGGAGCCGTTGCACCGCATCCGGAGTTGACTTTCTTCTACCAACTACAACAAGCAGCGGAGGAAAGGATTGTGGCCTTGCAGAGCCTTGCCAGAAGCTCTCACTAATACTATCATATATTATTCTAACGTTCACCAATCAGATCCTTATATCCTTAGTTGCCAGTGACACATAGTGACACTCGCAATCTTCAAATTCCCTTGGAGTTGACATTCACATCACCCAAACAACACGCAACTCTCCTGCAAGCAACCTTTTAAACCATCCATCCGCATCGAAATCCAATTCAAGAATCCAGCATAATCCGAATCCAGCATAATCTAGCGACCATTTTGATTTAGCTGAATGAAGCTATAGAAAATGTCATGAAAATGATTGAAGATGTGCTTTCCCAATCTGAGGCCATCCGCTTTGGTCTTCCAGCGCCTTGGCATTTCCGCCCTGGGTCTCCTGTCGTCGTGTCACCTGGCGCAACTTCTCCAGCAGGGCTTCGTGAGGTGCGTGCAGCGCTGCATGCAACGCGTGGGCCGCGCCATGGACAGCTGCGAGGGGCCCTGGGGGCCCTGGCCTAGGCCCAGGGGTCCACCGGAGGCTGGGAAGAACTATGGGAAAAATATGGAAAAATGTGGAAAAACATGAGAAACATATGATGAACAACATGATGAACATTGGATCAAGCACTGGGTGAAACAATGGCTTGAAGCGGTGAATCCAATGGTCGTGGTCGAATCACCGAGTCATTTATATATATTATATATATATATCATTGTATCATGTTAACGTTCACAAAAACGGATGAACATGGATGAAAATGGTGACGTTTGGATACGTTTGGCACATTGACACCTGAGGTGACTGCCGACTCCCCGTCCGTTGCAGCTGACTATGGCGATCGAGCGATCCTCTATAAACCAGAGGGCTGGGAGGCTCCGTTGTTGCACAGTCACCTCATGCATGATGAAAGCTAACACCCCTCAAGATCCAAAAAATCCGGGCAAGGTTTGTGCTTCAGAAAAGTGGTGTATGTCAAAATCCAATGGGCACCAGTATGTCGAAAATGTGTAAACTCTACAAATCCGCCCAAAACCATTTACACTAGAGTGGGGGAACATAATCTACGATAATATGCGATAATATATTAATGATAATCAATTTGGGACTTGGGATCACTTATGTTTGATTATGTTCGGCCATACCTGAATGATCCAATTGATGTTTTCTTTGAATTTGGAAAGCCATGGAAAATCTGAAGATCAACATTTGCCGGCTGGCTTTTCCCATCGATTGCTGTCAGGTCTACGGAGCCCACACCAAGCGCCAGCTCTCGATGTTCGTTCGATGTCTCGGTGGCTGGGCACGGCACCCCGTTTCCGGTTGATGGGAAAGGGCCATGATGTGGTTCAAATTTGAAGATTATAAATGGAATGAATTGAAATGACTTGGATCCACCAATTTTGGTATATTTTGGTCATGAAAATTAAATCCAACTATATAATTATTATATCAATTATTATATCCATTTTGTTTGGATGCACTTGGGTCAATGGCTCATGGGAGTTGCATCGGAACCTGAACTCTCTGGTACTGTTTAATTAAATTATATTAATATACTGTATACTGTTTTGTGAATTTCAATTTGCTGAGGTGACAGAAGGATCTTTTCCGACCAGCAACACAACTTGGGATTCTTGCATCGCTTAGATGTGCCCAGCTCAGGAGATTTATAGTTTACAGATTCTGCCGTTGAGAGCTGCCAAAAGACTTTGTATTAAGATTGGCAAAACACTGACGCTTCCAATTTGTTCAGACACAGTTCATCACAGTTCCCACAAAGAATCTTTCCCTGAAGGACTCATCATGTGCGCGAAGACCTATGAAGCATTCTACGACCTTCAAGTGCAGTTGCATGCGGGCCTTTTTTGCCGTGATTACATTGTCTTGTCTCACGGCTGGCTTCCGCAGTCCCTGACCCACATTCAAGCCCATCTGATTTCCAGCAGCAGCGGGCCAAGCCTCTCCGGAGGGAGAGGGAAATATAGCTGTACCAAGTTGCTGTCTGTGGCTCACATTGCAAGAGCCAACTGGGCCACATCTTTCTCTCAGCTCTTGATACGGATTGTTTCTTGGCGTATTTAGCTCTCTCGTTTGGTTTCCTCGGCACAGATCGGTTTCCTGTCGTTTCACCTTAAAGAAACAACAAGCAACAAGACTGAAACTTCAGTGCCAACTTTGTATTTGGCGCTATTGCTCAGGTGACAGGAAGGAAGCATCAAATCAGAAGTCAGTTATCCTTCGTGGGACATCCCACTGTGCGGGATGCGCTGTACACAAGCCTTTGGACCTTTTCAGATGATGGAAAGATCTGCTCTCGGAATTGGTTGCATCGGCACCGCCTCGAATTTCAGGATCAATTGGGCCGGAGACAAGAAGTGATCTCTCCGCTGCCACAGGACCTGAGAGAAAGCATGTTGCACTTACGACAAAACGGACTATCAGCTGCTGGGGCTAATCTCGGTTTCCAGTAGTGAACCCGAGGCATGGAATGAAGCACAGGATCTTGGCAGACAAATTTATCAATAACTGACTAGTTGTGTAGTAGCTTGCATTTTATTCTTGGTCGTTGTACGAGTTGTACGTTGAAGTTTGCCAGAACGGACAGAGTTGTGATTGTCCTTTCATTCTGCCTTTCCCCGCAATGAATTAGCGCTCGAGTTGCACGTGAAGTCCACAGCTACGGGTGGCAATGTCAAGTCCCTGGCAAAAGTGGAATCCTGGAGCCACCTGCCACAGAGGTACTTGAAGTACTTCAGGCGCCGCTTCCATCGTTCAATGTTTCATTGATGCGTGCACAGGTGCCAGTCCCTGCAGAAAAGCAGCGGATCTTTCGTCGGTTGAACATGGAGGGTTCACAAGCCGAAAGGTTAGCATGAGATGTTCATTGCAAAGCATCCTCGAGTACAACAAGGCAATCTCTAGCTGCGCCAAGAGCACTGAGTGGCAAGCGGCTTTGCAGCTTTTTGCAGACTTGGACCTCAAGGGTTTCCAAGCCACTGTGGTGACCTACAACTCTGCCATCAATGCTTGTGCTCAGGCTGCTAATTGGCGATCAGCCATGTTGCTGCTGAAGAACTTGGATGGGACAGGCTTGCAGGCGAACATCATTTCATATAGCACCGCAATCACTTCATGTGAGAAAGCCGGGCAATGGCAAGTTGCAGTGGTGCTCCTGGAAGATTTGAAATTGAAGAGACTGCAGCTGAATATCATAGCATTCAATGCGGTGATCACTGCCTGTGCAAAGGGTTGCTTGCATGATTCATTGGGCCTGGTGAACCTGGTTGTGTCTGTGTTCCAGTGGCCCACCTGTTTTGAACATGTTGGGGAAGTGATGGAAGTGTTTGTTCCACTTGCTTTTCCCATCAAGATGTTCTCAAGGCGAAGAATGGCAGCATTCTCTTTCTTTGCTGGGGGCTGTTCAAGAAGCAAATCTGACGGGGTCGGTTGTGACTTACAACGCGTGCATCAGCTTCCTGACTGCGGATGGCCGACGGGAGTCTCTGTTAGGAGCAGTTTCACTGAAAGTCATGCTGAATGGATATATATTTGGATATATATTATTATTAATAATATTAAATATTATTGTTTATATGGTTGAATACTACGGGAAACATGTCCAAAGGCCCAAACTGCGAAGTTCGGGTCAGTCTTGATTCTGACCATAACATTTACAACTACGTAACCGCTTGACCCTTTCCCACTGCAATTTAGCTCAACTTCTCTGAAACAATGATCCTACTCCAAGGGAGGAGTGGTAGGATGAAGGCACTCACCATACTGAAATCCTTTCATGGCAGAAACCAACTCAGGTGCCAGTGCCAGAGGGAACCAATGGCAACTGGCACTGCTGTGGCTGACCGAACTTCGAGAGGGAGCTGACATGGCTGACATCATCACATTCAATTCGGTGCTAGCGGCCTTTGATGGATCCGGGCAGCACCTTGGAAAGTCAGTGTTTCTGCTGGTGATGGCGTGCGGGATTGATGGGGAGTTATGGTGCAAAGGATTTGTGACAGGATCTTAAAAGACTTGACATTTGCAGAGTTGCAATAGATTCCGTTGAGTGCAGTTCTATATATATCGCGCTTTATCAGTGGCAGCCAGCCTTTTTCACACTGCAACTCAGGTGGGAGAGAGCAATGGATTTGCTGGGTGTAATCGCAGCAGACAGACTGGAAGCTACTGTGATTACATACAATGTAGCCATAAGCTCCTGTGCTGGCAGCGGCCAATGGCACGCAGCACTTTGGATTCTCAGCGGCATGGGGAAGCACTTTGGATTGGAGTGCAATGTGATCACCTGCACCAGCGCTGTGAACGCCTGCCACTTGCCAATTGAAAATGGGCCCAAGGGATTGAGAGGAAAGTATAGGAAAGTGAGGTTGCAATTTGTATAGGTTCTGCATGGTTGTGCATATTTATGGTTGGGGATTGGTGGGGATAGATGATATAGAGTTTCCATTTAGGCCGACTGGCACAGGAACCACGAGGCTTTTTGCATCCGAAGATGAACCCAGAAAAGCGAGAGCTTGCGAGCTTGCTCAACTCAAATGGATTCCTCATGCTACGTCTCAAAATGAGATGATTTGCCAATCCAGCAAATTTTGTTTAGTCGTTTGTACCTTATTTAACTTATTTTGCAGTAGGTCCTTGTGTCAAAGTCCAAAATGCCGGGATTGAGGTGCGGAGGCTGGCGAGTGGCAGCAAGCACTAGTCACCTTCGACCTGATGCTGCAGCTGCGAATACAGCCGAATGTTACTTGGCTCTTCAGCAACCGGTCAACAAAGAGGGACGAATATCAACGAGCACTTCGGTTCACCCTGCATTGTCAATCGTTTTGAATCAATTCTGCAGTCCCTAACGAGTTCAATGTAACTCACCATGCGAATATACAAATCTCTGTGACCAAGAGAAACATGATTTCCCTGCAATTCTTGTCAGGTCTTCACCTACAATGCAGTCATCAGTGCATGCGAAACAGCTGCCGAGTGGGAACGGGCCATCACATTGCTGGTGCAGTTGCGGGCGACAAGACAAGCGGGGGATATCATCACGTTCAGTACATTGCTGCTTTGGCTTTACTAACTCTACTAGTCGACATAGTGTTCACACGCTTAGGCAGCTTGGGGGTGCATCACAGCTGAGGAGGCCTCACAGGGCCAAGCCTCTAGGTCCAATAGGGTCCAATTACTGACTGGTTTGAGCGATTGAAGGTTGGTAGCTGCGAATGTGAGAACTGGTGATCACTAATAAGACCATACTTGATTTTACCTGCCCGCTAATGGCTAGCGGCTAGTGCAAGACCTTTTCGATTCTCACTGGAGAGCTCTTCATGGGCTACAAACTAGCATAGTTTCTTTGAATTCTCCTTTCTTCTACTCGGTTAAGCATAGTTAAGCCAAGCTTTGCAGATTGAAACAACCGTGGGGCATTTGACCCAAGAACCCAAGGATCAGTGCCTGCGGAAAGTCTGGAGCTTGGGCGGAGGCCTGGCATCTCTTTTGCACATTGCCAACTTGGCGCCTTGAGCCGAATCTTGGCGTTGAACTCAGGTTGGAAGGTTGGGTTCAACATGGTTCAACCAGCTTCAACGGTTTCCATGGACATCGGTAAAAAGATGAAAAAGGAACGATCGGTGGAATGTGAGCAATAGGTCTGCATGGGACTTCGGGTCTACAAAATGCAGAGTTTCATTAGAGATCAATACCTGAATTAATTATGAGTTGTCAAGTTACCATCCCCAGATTAAACAATTTAAACCGTTGTTGCTGGTTTATATAACCATTTATAACCTCCCATTTTGCCCATGTTTGATGGTTCAATCCCTAGATTTGATGTTACCCCATGTTTTTGGCGGTTCAACCCACAGGGGACATCTCGTGACATAGTCCGGGAGCTGCAGAGCATCAACTTGAGCTCCAGGAACATCATCACCTTCAACTCGATGATGGATGCCTTTGGCAAGGGTGGCGAGTGGAAGCGCGCCTTGTCACTCTTGGAAGAGAGGTTGGAAGGCAAATCTTACGGAGTGGACGTGATTGGTTTCAATGCTGCGATTAGCGCATGCGAAGAGGCGGCAAAGTGGGAGGAAGCGTTGGAACTCTTAAAGAATTTGCAGGAAGCAGATGCGTTGCAAGCAGATGTGACTCTTGCCTCTATTCATCCTTGTTTACAAGTTTACATCTCTTGACCAAATTAAATATAGTTAAATGACACAAATGTACCAAAGTTCCAATGCACAAATGGTGGGGGTTATTCGGGATGAAATGTTGGGATGGGCTTGGGTTCGCTTTGCAGCACAGGATCTCTTTCAATGCAGCCATCAGTTCCTGTGAGAAGAGCGGACGATGGCAAGAAGCCCTGGGTGTGTTTTGGGAAGCCCAGCTCGAGGGTGTTCAAACCAATGCCAGGTGCTTAGTTGTTGTTTGTCAATGAACAAGTTTCAGACTTCAAGGGTGCTCAACCAAACTTGTTTCTTTTTCCAAGTGCATGTGACACAGCATGTAGGCTCTAAAAAGTCAACTCCAAAAGTTCCTTGATGGAGATTTCCATAGATTTCCATAGATTTCCCATGTTCTGGTCCATTGACCTCCAATGTTGGGTCGTCCCCCGTCCCAAGGAAGTGACCTCCAATGCCTTGGTGAACGCCTGTAAGGCCGGCCATTGGTTGCAAGGCTTAGAGCTGTTGGAAGCGGCCGTGGTGACCTACGTGGCCTGCAATGGGCTGCTGAGTGCCTGTGGGGGCAGCTGGGCGCTGGGCCTGGTGGATGGGTTCCCACCTATTCCCACCTAGTCAGAGGAGAGTGTTGAGAATCTTAGGCGGTTTAGGAATGAGAGGGTAAAGACTGGTAAAGTCTCAAACTCTGGCAACCTATTTTTCAGGGAGTCTTGAAACCACCAGTAAATATGCAGATTGATTTCCAATCACTCGGTAATCACTCGGTAATCACCCGTGTTGGTCCAGACTCCACCCTTTTGCCAAGGCAGTTTGTGGTGGATGGCTTCCTCGTTGTTGTCCGAGATGCGCTGGCAAGAGCTCGAAGCAAACATCGTGTCCTACCGCGCCAGGTCCGCATTTCATTCGGGAACTTATTTTGGGATATTTTGGGAACTTAGACCTGAAACATGAGGACTATTGAGAAGTAACAAGCCAAGACTTCATGAAACAGTTGCTTGGATATTGCAAAATATATTTGTTTTAGAGTTTTAGCTTTGGTTTAAGTTTAGCTATCTGTGTTATGACAGAAGCCAAGCAGTCTCGACATCTCAGGTGCTTGCATCACATGCACTGAGAAGGCGGGTCTGTGGATTTCAGCCCTGAAACTTCTGATGGCTGCGGAGGACTCGACTGGGAACCGTGTCCTGCCACACAAAGGTTCACAGTGGCCCACCACCTAACCACAACTCTGTTTCTATCACTGTTGTTTTTGACGAACGTGAATGGTGAAACACGACCGTGGATGACCGTGGTATGTACTTGCTCAGGAGACGAAGTTGGAAAGCAATTCAGTGGTCTACAATGCAGCTGTCAGTGTACTTTGGATGCAGGACTTTCAAAACATAGCGTGCCTGATGCGTATAGATTTCCTTATGCAGCAAAGCTGAATGGAGACTTACTACATGTTTGAGATAGTTGAGGTAATGTGAAGAATTGTTGAGAAATCGGGATCAATGGCATTGCCAAGCAACTTCAACCTAGGGTACAATTCGTCCGCACATGTTTTTGCTATGTTGTGAGGCATGCACCAAAGCGTGCCTTGGAAATGTGGCAAGGGAGAAAAAGTGCCCCTGAACGGCAGACATTTCGCAGTCGTGGCAGCTTCGCCAAATTGGTTTCAGATGGATCAAACTTTAAACCGAGCACCGAACCCATAGTCTAGTAATATTAATATAGATGTTGGATGATGTTGGTAACTGTTCATAATCATATCTCTTCATATACTTACGTACCATCCAATTCTTCCGCTACATATTTTGACACAGATGACTCAGATGACATGTTCTCGTGACGTTCTCGTGCCACACATTTGCTTCGCATGCCAGGCACAGAATTGGCTGAAACAGATGCAGGAGGCAGATCCTACCGACCAATGTCAGGATATGGGAAACATTGGAACAGTGTTCACAGCGTCGGATGTAATCCACAAGGGAAAGACTTGGCTCAACATCTGAGACTTGGTTCAATGTTCAAGCTACTTGGTCCCACTTTGTATCCACTTTGTCAATCTTTGTCATGGCCAATACGTGTACTGTGAGTGACTGTGAGCTGTTGGAAGATTGTGGGAAGTAGGACATCCAGGCCAGCAGCAAACAGTTGCCGTTTGAGAGTTTTGAAAGGCTGGCATTCACCCAGACGAAGTCACCTATGCCACTGTGATCAGTGCTTTGACAAAGGACAGGGGCTCAGAAAATTTCAAGCAGTGGTAACCCAGAAGCCATCAGAAGCCGCATCAAGATGTCGTAACATGTCGTAACATCTGACATCGGATCCATGAGGCCAATATGGTAGATGAAGCCATCGATATGTTGGTGACCATGGAGGCAGTCAGATCGTGGTTGATTTGCAGACGGTGGATCTTTAATGTGCAGATTCTGCATGGTAGATAACAGTCAAGAAACATTGAAAGGTTGTTAAAAACCATGCCGTTGCATTGGCTTATTTCCAGCTGTATGCAGCTATCCAACATCACTGACCATTGCCAAGGGGATTAGACAGATTTTCTCACCATTTGCTGATGCTCGTCAGGAAGTGGGACTGCCACGAAATCAAGCTGCATACGCCACGTGGTTGAACATTGATGAGCCAGGAGACAGCCACTGCCGGTGAAAAAAATATACCACGGCCGGTCAACCTATGGCACCTATGGGTTCTCCACTCTTCCAAAGGATTTCAAAAGACATCATACCTTGGGAATTTGGGATCTTTACAAACTCGGTTTGGCGTCTGAGATTTTATATAACTTTCCACTGATTATTTTGTTACAGTTTTTTTTTGGGCGCAGCATTCTGAACCAATATCCTCTCACGTCCTAACAATGCTGACTTCGTCCTAACCCCAAGGCCCGCGTGGTCACGGGCTTGGGTCGCGCCGGCCGAGCACGAGAAGCAGCTGCATGGCTCTTCCAGATGGAAGAGGTGTTGACCTTGGACCTGCTGCAACTGTCACGGCCATGGCCCAGTGGTCATCGCTACTACAAAAACATACAAAAACCAGAAGTCAGAAGTGCCTAGAAGAGCTTTGGCAGTGTTGATGACATTATGATATTTGATGATATTTGTTTGTAATCGTCGTGTTTGCTTCCGCAGGCTGGGTTGAAACCGATCGCTCCAGTCTACAATTGGGTGATTGCAGCTTGTGGGCTTCCCAGGAACTCGATATCTGCGGTATGGAAGTTGTTCAAATCGCTGCACAGGCTGAGGAGTTTAGACTTTCTGGAGTGTATACCTGTATACCTGCAAGTGCTATGGTCTAATGGTTTGATGATGTTTTAAAATGGTTTAATTAATATGTTTTATATGGTTTTAGCATGTTTTAGCATGTTTTATATGGTTTTAGCATGTTTTATATGGTTTTAGCATGTTTTAGCAACGAGCAGACAAGTGATTCGTCTTCAAAATGGAAGTGACATCCGTGTCCTTCCGGCACAACACCTGGGTCCTTTTTAACCCACCGCCCAGGCAAAAAGCCACCGAATCCAGATTTGGCAGAGAGAGTCGCCCGTGAAGCTGGCATGTGGAATGGCTTCGCAATAAAAACCCACCATGTTTCACGGTTAAGCCCCGTTAAGCCAGTTAAACCCTTTGGGATAGCTCTAAACATGCAATTTTAATCAATTTTATCAATTTTTGAGGTATCCGGTATCCCCCATTTCGGGAACCTAGGTCCAAAGTGTGGACAGTGCATTGAGTCACCGAGCTCACCAAGACGGGGATTGCCCAACAATTGAGCATATTCCAAAAGTATATACAATTTTGACATATTTTGATAAGGACCGATGATGATAGATAATCCCTTCCTCCTAATACTAAACCCCCCCCCTAATACAAAACACGGCAGGTAGTTTTTAGTATTAGGGGGGTATTTATTATTAGGGAACCAAATCGAAGTCATGTTAATTAATTAATTAAATTTCCTTATATAACGCAATTAAAATATTGCCAAAAATGGCAGTTCGAAGCTTACCCCTAATACTAAATTAAAACCCTTAATACTAAAAACTATTTTTTCCGATCTCAAAATCAATTAAATTTCCTTATATAACGCAATTAAAATATTGCCAAAAATGGCAGTTCGAAGCTTACCCCTAATACTAAATTAAAACCCTTAATACTAAAAACTATTTTTTCCGATCTCAAAATCAATTAAATTTCCTTATATAACGCAATTAAAATATTGCCAAAAATGGCAGTTCGAAGCTTACCCCTAATACTAAATTAAAACCCTTAATACTAAAAACTATTTTTTCCGATCTCAAAATCAATTAAATTTCTTTATATAACGCAATTAAAATATTGCCAAAAATGGCAGTTCGAAGCTTACCCCTAATACTAAATTAAAACCCTTAATACTAAAAACTATTTTTTCCGATCTCAAAATCAATTAAATTTCCTTATATAGCGCAATTAAAATATTGCCAAAAATGGCAGTTAGAAGCTTACCCCTAATTGCTAGAGTAGCTAGGCAGCTTGGAGTGAGGGATTGGGACTAGGCCCCCCTAATACTAAACACCCCGGGGTGAACTAGTTTTTAGTATTAGGGGGGAGAACCCACAAATGGTAGGTTGATTTTTAAATTGTTTTTTAAAGGGGATCAATTAAAAGTCAAATTGGCCAAACTTAAATTTTCGGAAATTGGAGATGGATGCCTGTTTTTAGTATTAGGGGGACGTTTAGTATTAGGAGGAAGGGATTAATTAGATTCTGGGGGTATCCTATTTTCAGACAAGCTGCTGTGGTCACTTCACAAAGTCTTTGGTCAAACTACTAAACGATGTGAAATGTTGGAACGTAGCGCCAAATTCAACCACCAACATACAAAGTTGGTTGGTGCATGTTGGCGCTATGTTTCAAAAAATGAGTCCCAAAATCTCTAGCTGGGATGAGAATCTCAAGTTGCCAATGTTATTGGGATGTGTTGATTGAAGCCGTTCCAAACTGCAATCCACACATTCGATGTGTAGGCCGCTTGCTGGGCACCCAGCAGATGCCCAACGAATTCTGTCTCTAGGCTGCAGGGATATCCTGAGAGGATGAGACACAAGGATTGATCAGTTCCTGGCAATTCCAGTGCGGTCTCTGAAGCATGCTTTGAACACCACCTCTCCCTCGCGAACTCTTCGATACTGATAAACCATGGTTGTGAGGCTGCTTGGTTCCGCTGTAATTAGCCCCTATATGCCCCTATAATCCCTAGAGTCTCCGCCAATCAGTCAGCACTAAGCACAGAGATCCGCAACGTACATGGTCATGCGTATACAATTGAAGTGCTACGTGTCACTTGACTATGTAGATGCTGACTCTATAATTGCATATAATTGCTCATCATAGTTTAGTTATGTTTAGTCAAATTATATATATAATATATGGTATTAAAATATTAAAATGTAGTGTTAAATTAAATGAGTGTAATATTTCTGTTGGCTCAATTCCTGATCAGAGCTACTTAGTCGATTCAGTCGATGTTTCCAAGGCGTGAGCACCCTGCGGCAGATCCTGGGGCCAGAGCGCTTCTCGGCCCTTCAGGCAGTGGCGTAGTGGGTTGTCACTGGGCGGTGACAGGGATTCGCGTAAGCGGAAACGTCGCGTAAGCCTTGCGTAAGCCAATATGCACGTGCAAGGAAAATCCCCAGCGGCGTAAGCCAGGTGTAAGCTGTGCATAAGCACATTCTTACGACCTTTGAACCTATCAAGGTTTTTAGCAGGGCTCATGGAGCAAAGCAGGCCAGACATATCCAGACATAAAAATCATGAGCAATGATGAATGATCCATACTGATCCACAATGTTTAATGACACTGCACTGCAAGAATTGGATTTCTTGAGGACATGTTTCTCCTTGACACCACAGCACAGCACAACAGGCAGAGATTCCACTACTGCATCGTGCTGTGGCAGAGGTGGAACAGGAGAGACGCAGGCACCCTCCAGGATCAAGAGATTAATTTCGAGGTCTGTTTGAAAACCAGTTTATCAATGTTTATCAGCATCTCCCCACTGAACTGCGATTTTGGGCTTTTATCCCACGTTTAGACAGACCCAAAGAATGAAGTCTCTTACCAAAGAATGACTTAGCTGTGCTATGCCTCGGAGGTATTCTGTGCTTTGGAATCTTTTGCAAGGAATGATTTCTAAGTATGTTTTTTCAGTTTATAATATTTATAGTTTCATTAATATGGCCTTGAGTGCAGCTATACGTGAGCTGCATGCTGGCCGCGGCCCATCCGTGACTTGGCGGATGACTTGTACTTGTCATGCCCCATTTTCAGACACACCTTCATGCCGAAGCGCATTTTGGCATTGAGATCTTCAAGCTGCGAAGTGGTGAGAATTGTGGGCCTTCAATGGGCTTAGGGCAATCTTGGAAATGATTGAACTATGGAACAATACTGTATGGATTGCCAGCATGGAAAGTATCTATTCCGCAGAGTGCATCACAAAACCAAAAGGAATGATATGTATGATGATTGTACAAGGTGGAAACAAAATTGCACTGTTCAGATATCATATCACTCAAGAGTCACGTGTGTTTGTCTTTCAGCGTAATTAATCCTGTAGCAGAATGGAAAGAAATCCAAAGATTCACATCATTGAATCATCATTTTATCACCTTGTTGCTGACAGGCAGCAAGGACGAAGAGAGGCCAGTGAAGTCGTCGCAGATGCAAATGACTGAAAGGATGTTTGTTTACGAAATCCCTATAAAAGATTATAAAAGAACAATAGTGAACATGTCCTTAAAATATCTTAAAATCATGGCCATCATGGATGAAATATGGATCTAGGCCAGGTCGGCCAGGTCTTTGCGAAATCCCAAGTTCTGCCAGGAAGGTTCTCCCGAGCGCAGAGCCCCGCAGAGGACTGGGACTCTAGTGAGTTGCCAGGTGCTTGAAGGCAAAGATGGACAGGAATTGAAACGTATTGAAACCATTTCAAACCTGAGAATTTGAAGATCAGAAACAACAAAGACAAGATATGACAAGTGAATTTCAATGTTCTCCTAGTTCAAGCCTCCCGAATCTGTAGAGCGGATGGGTTTCCAAAGCGACGGATTTGTCAAGAATATGGTGTGCACGGGGCCGTCTCTATGAATACCAGGCGCAAGGGGAAAGGAAAGGGACGCGGTCCAGACAAAGCAGGGCTGCTCAGACTTTCACAAATTGCTTCGCACAGAGTTGCACAGAGTCCAATGTCATGAAACTAGAAAATGATGAAAACATTCGCTTGCGACATGCATTTGATTGCAGAAATGGTTTGAAAATGGTTGAAATGGTTTGAGGACATTAAAGATTTGATAAATTTGATATATTTGTTTATTGATATACAATGTTTAGCACAATATTAAAAAATCCAATGATAAATTTCAAATGAGGTCAATATTATTCCACCGTGAAAAAATATACTAAATAATTAAATAATATAAAATCATGTATAAATAGTATATTTGAAAATTAATATATATTTAATTTATTTTTCTAAAAAATATATAATATATTATAATATATTTATAAATATATAGTTCTAGCACGTTTTTGAATGGTTTTTTTTGAACAAATATCTGCCTCTATTTTAATGCAGAAAATGGAGAAAATTAAGGGTACAATAATATAAAAATATAAAAAATAAAACAACAATAATGGTATTTTTTACATTATTGTTCCTTTATTTTATTTATTTATTTTTATTTTTTATATTGGGTTCATGTCGTTTCTTGTCTCGTTTCCCCTGAAGTTGTCTTAGGTCGGTGTACCGTGGGGAAGTGTATATAAAATATATATATATAACATTTAATAATTTTGTATAGCACGGTGTGCCTGCCATTTGGTGCTAGTGGATTTAAGTTCGGGAGCTGGGTCGATGTTATAATAAGTACCGATGACAAGATTTTGTGCCAAATCGTGGTGTGCTTATGGGGAAAGGCCCACATGGGGAGCGCCTATAATTTTAACTTATTGATGTATTTTTTGGTACTTCGTATAGGCAT